TCTACATTATCAACATATATAAAATTCCTATCAAGAAATCCTCCGATGAATGTAACTTTTATGAAGTAACAAAGATTGTTGTGTCAGTCGAATTAAAATTTCTACGTTGTCAATATAGACAAATTAACATGTTCAATGTCACCGTCTCCTGGCGTGACATGTGACGTTTCATAACAAACAAAGTGGCAGTGAATGTGTTAACAGCTATAATTTAATTTCCAGGGACTGTGCCTAACATTACTACTGCTGGCTATATTCAAGAAAGCTCTGCCGGCTTTGCCTATATCTATAACATTCGGACTGATATTCTACTTCGCGACTCGCGGCGTCGTCAAGCCGTTCGCGAACGCGCTCGCCGCCGAACAAGTCTTCATTTAGCTACCGCCCACACATCTTAGGTAATTCAAACGAATTAATCAAAAGTAGCATTTATTGATAAAACTTTGATATAAAAAAACAGAACTGACAACCAATTTCACTTACAGTTATTGTATATCTTACCTACACGCAATTTATTGGCCTAAGAATATGTTTAGTGTAGAATTAGTATGAGATATGTACGCTAAAAGACCGTTTAAGTGACAAAAAAAATGAATTTGAGTGCGACTTTAACTTTTTTTTCATATCATAAGGTGTGAAACAAGGAACTCATAGTGAAACAGCCACTGTCCATAGACAACCGCAAATGTAGATGCATAGTCTACCTTAAACAAAGAGGTGGACACATAGAAATAGATTATTCCCCTTTTTAGGCGTTTGTTTTAATCCGGCCCATTCATGCAACCATTGTTGTTGCTGTTAAGGTCTTATTAATAGTATTATTTAAATTAGGTCTTAAAGAAACATATTGTAATATTAGAATTTTTGTATGAAAAAAATCAGTTTTTAAAAATCTATAAAAAAGTACAATATAAATGTCTCTTTTCCGTTTAGGTTTCAAAAATGTATATCATTATTTATTTAATGTTTATATTTTATATAAGAATCGATTTCTTGATCATTTGAATGACATTTTTACTATCATTTTTTATTTTATTCGATACATATCATTCTTCTATGTCGTAACTAATCTTTGTAAGTGAAATCGGTGTCAGTTTCGAAAGTACTATCAAAAAATTCCTCATTTTAACATGATTTAGTTTCATATTGTAATACAGTTTTTATGTGAAGAGTACTTACAATTGACCTGATGCAACATTATTACTATGAATTAAAGAACTTCGCCTACTCGCGAGTTAGATAGAAAATACAGACATTTTTGGACTTTTATTAAAAAAAAGCACAAATATAAATCAATCTGTATCTATATACTTAGTTATCGTTTTGACTTGCAGTTCATCAAGCTCACTATACGTCCCCACTGAGGACTTGGAGCCTACCCTAAATCAAGGGTGACTAGGCATTGGTCAACCACGCTGGCCCAGTGCGGGTTGACTTCACACATATCTTTCAATTTCTTCTCAGATATGTGCATGTTGCATTACGATGTTTTTCTTCACCGTAAGGACGTCGGAATAAATGTACATATGTAAATCAAAAATCGAAAAACACATTGGTACATTGCGGGATTCGAACCCAGGGCCTGCAGCTTGCAAGTCAAGTGCTTAACCAACTGAGCCACCGACGCACTTGTAACTACATAAAAACAAATGATGATACAAGTTTTCTGTCAATACATAGAACTAAGTAAAATGGGCAATCAGGTGACACATTTTTATATAATGCATTGAAATTCTCTTCATATAAAAATCCTCTTATTATATTTTTAATGAAGGCTAATTTAATAATAATTTTTCCTTACATAAGTTGGAAGCTTTAGTTTAAGTATGATATTGAAATAATGCAAAATAATCAGAGGAAAGTAGATATTATAATGTAGATATAGAGGAAATGTCGCAATAAATAAAGACACCGATAGAGAGTAATGTTTGATAGTGTACATAATGAATGTTATGTAGATAGATTGCTCTGGTTAATATTACTTAAATACTACATACAAGAAACACAATTGGATTGTTTAGTATTTGTTAAATTGTTGGTATATCCAGTTTGTATTTAAAACAAATTAAAATTAGTCCGTTTTTTTATGAATTGTTGTCAACTCATTATAATTATTCGAAACTACATATTATCTTTTTCTTTTAGAAATAAAAATAAATGTATGTAAAAATTGCTTATCATACTATTTGATAATTTCCAGAATAGTATTATGTGTGTAAAGTTAAATAATTCTATTATAAATTTTGGAGGCTAATGAAGTACATTGAAATTTTAATTACAGTCTATACAATGTTAGCCTTTAACGGCCGAAATGAAGCTGATATTTTCATCTAATAGTGGGTTTCTAAGACCTAACCTGTGATTTAACATATCTCTGTTTTTTCAATTATTAATGACGATATGTTTTACATAGTGATGCTGGTCTCAGAAATCAATAGTAAATCTTTGTATTAGATACATATTGGATGGATTGTAATGTACAATGAACATTTTTTAACCGAAAATTACTTGTATTGTAAAATAAATGGATGTAAATTTTCCTTATAGTTCGGGTAACGCTAGATTAAGTAGATTTTTGCTAAAATTGTCGACAAGAAATAAAGGAAGTTATTAGAAAAAAAATAATAGAATAATTTGTTAGTTTATTGGCTAAATCGCAATTTATCAAGCTATTTATTGATCACTGAAATGTTTTATTTTTATAGATACAAATAGATTTATTAAACCCAGCTGTTTACAATTTTCGTGTTACTTTCCTCATAATAATGCCTATATTGATACATACATTCCATACAATATTTTTTTTATTTAACACCGAGTAAGTGGTACTCAGTTTTTTTTGCAACTAATGTGTTTTAATATATCTTCTTTATATTTATGAAGCAAGATTTTTTTTATTTCTCCCTCACAATATTGTTCATTTTCCCATAAGTGTATGTAGGCAGAGATGTTATGTCTAATTATGTCATTATAGTTTTTATCATTCTATTTTAAAAAGAGGGAAGATGAGAGATTGTAGAAATTTTAAGGTAATAAAAAAAGTAAGGGAAATAAAATATCTTCATTTTTCATATAAATAAATTTATTTTCAATACAAAAAAATATTCAAAAATAATGTGCGTTTTACATTTACAACTTCAAACAAAATAAAAAAACAAACAACATAAGTTAAAAAAAAAACATGTAGAAAATGTATAAAAATATGAGATTTAAAACAATATGAGGAAGAACGATTGCAATATGTATTTACATAGATCTTATTGCACTTTTTATTGGTAACCTGTAAAATATATTCGAAATGTTGATGATCTCGCGTATAAATAATTTTTTATTCGACAATTTGATAATTTAATCAACTTTATGTTCAGCCTCATTGTTTAATACTGGAATATTTTGTAGCCAAAATCTCTGAGATCCAACACAAATGTGAAAACATCTATATAATTTGTATTTATATTCTAAGATTTCAATATACATTGTACTTTAATTAAGGTATATTTTGAAACATTATTTTTCGGAATGTTATTTGGAATGACCTAATTGACGCAATTTATTTTGATTCATATATTTGTATCATATTACTTTGTTATTATTTAAAAAAAAGTTTTAATAATTATTTTCTTAAAATTCCCATTATTACCTTAAATTAACAAATATTCCACAACCTTATTTTAGTTAGGATTAGGGATTTCGACTGGTCCAGTCTTTTTTATTACTTTCAATGTCTCCTTTGCTGGCTGTACTTTATCGGACGGAATCTCTTCTTTAACTGGAATTTCATCTGGTACAGGTTTTTGGGGCTTATTTGGAGTCTTAACTTTTATTTTGTCCTTGTTTTTGTCAGTCTGTGATGTTTTTACCTCAGGTTTCTCAACTTTAGCTGCTTTGACTGGTTCTGGTTGAACAACATTTTGTTTAATATCTGATTCTTTAGATTTTTTACTTGGTGTGTCTTTGCCTTGGACAGTTTTTGGTTCCACGGGAACAGTTTTGGTCTGTTTTTTGCTTGATTCCTCTTCAACAGTTTTAGGCTTTGTTACACTTTCTTGTTTCATGGGCTTACTTTCAATTGGTTTAGGTTTTGTTTCAGTTTCCTTCTTAATGGGTTTGCTTTCAACTGGTTTTGTTTTGGATTCTTCTTTTATGGGTTTTGGTTCAACTTTTTTAGGTTTTGTTTCTTCTTTGATAGGTTTGGTCTCAACTGGTTTAGGGGTACTTGTGGTTTCTTGTTTATTTGGTTTGACTTCAACTTTTTCTGCTTTACTTGGTTTTGGTACTGGTTTTTGAACAGGGGTGGGTTCTTTTGGTTTTTGTACTGAAGGTTTAGGTACATCTATCTTTTCAGCAACTTTCACTTTTTCCGTTTCTGGTTTTTTAACTGTTTTAGTTGTAGGTGCTGACTCAACTTTTGGCTGCTCCCTTTTTACTTCGGCATTATTGGCTGCACCTGCGCGAGTCTTGGAAAAAGCGCCCTTTAGAAGTGGTGGAACGGCAACTGATCCAATGTAGGAGGAATGTGGGCTTCCTATGTACAACTTATCATTATATACAATAACGTCACTAATTGTACCAATGCTTTTGTCTGTATTAAAATACGATGCAACTATTTCACCGTCCCAGTTTAATTGCAATATACCTGACTTTTGTGGTATAATACCAGATAAACAAGAGAAATGTCCAATCTGTAAATAAGTAAACATGTTTTAGAAAACCATAAACGGATCGCTGTATTTAAATTTTGCGGATTACAGTACCAACCTTGTAAACAATTTCTTCAAGTATGACGTGGGGATACTGCTCGTAAAGAAATTCGAAAGGTATTTCTATCATTCTAATAAGACGCGCTAAGAATTTCCTTGCTAACGGTGTGGCGGCCATTGTCCGACTGAGGTGAGGATCTTCATCATCGTAAGCAACGTACAACGAAACAAGAACACCAGAGCCATCGGGTAAAACTTTCAAGTTATCTGGAATTCCTGTTGAAAAAAATTAAAAGTTTTATCTACTTCTCAAACCAATTAATACAAAGGAAACCAATGTTTGCTCATGTGTTTTAAAAGCCATGTTCATATAAAACCTCGAAAAACAATTGTGTAAACATTGAGTTATAGCAGTCAAATACTGAATATAGCTTAGTATCACTATTTTCACCAATATGTTAAATATGTATTTCTTAACCTCTTGCATTATTATTTCTATTGTATGCAAAAATGTGAAATCACAATATATTTACGAAACAGACATGAATTTTCGTGTGGATCCTGGATCGCGGACATGTTTCTTTGAATATGGTAAAGTTGGACAAATGATGGAGGTGCATTACGAAGTTTTGGATGGACAACATGGCGATTTGGATATCTCTTTCGATATATTAGATCCAAACGGTATGAAACTATTATCAGATTATAAGAGATCACAGAATACCTTTATAATGGAATTGGAGCATGAAGGTGAATATGTATTTTGTTTAGACAATTCATATAGTATTATGAATTCGAAGCTCGTGTTTGTCGACGTGCTGATGGAGAATAAAGATATGGAAGAGGAGACTACTGTGACAGCTGAAGGTGAAGAGTTGGAGGAGATTGTGCAATGGATGGGGGTCGACGAGGAGGGTGTAACATATTACATTGATGTGTCCAACATAACAGAATCATTGATGCGGATTCTCAAGTCTGTAGTCCAGGCACGACATCAGTTAGATCGGTACGGCGCCATGAAGTCACGTGACAGCTACATTGCATTTGAAGACACTTTCATTGTGGATGTATGGTCAAGTTTCCAAATAACTTTTATGTTTATTGTTGGAATGCTACAGGTTTATATGATTAAGAAGCTTTTTAAGAACCCATGTTATGACAATAAACACTGATTTTTCATTACAATAAAAAAGTGTTTCATGTTATGTCCTGTGTTTATGTAATTTACTCATAAATAACCTCACCTGGTAAACCTGCTGCAAAGACTTCAGTCTTTCCTTTTTTGGGTCCATTAATGTAATATTTAACTAGTCTGTAGCGATTTGATTCACTCACTAATACAAATTGACCATCGGGTGACAAAACTACTCCATTAGGAAACCAGAGATTGTCAACAAGCACATTGCTTCTATTAGTTTTTGAATTATAAAATGACAATCTGAAAGAATACATATTGTTTATTATTATTGTATGACTGATTTATCAATTAGTTTGTATAATCTACAGCAAAGTTACATTGAAGGTTGATTTAGTTTGGCAACAGCATTTTATCTTTACAATTTTTATTACATTATTAACTTATAGGTACGAAATTCAGCTGTAACCTTATTATCTTACTGCCATTGTCTAGAAAGGAGTTACTGTACCCATTTTACTTTAACTTACTTTTTAAAAAATCTTACCTCCCAGATGGGTCAGAAAGAGGTGTCATTGCACCGTCCTTCAAGTCATAATCACTTGATGAATGTGTCCAATATAGATTACCACTCTTGTCCAAAGCAATATCATTAAATATTTTTGGATATCTGTCATCTATTGCCTCATTTGGCAAAACAAGTAGTTGTTTCTTATTATTCTTAAGATTCACTTTCCAAATACCATAATAGGCATCGGCTACATACAATAAGTTATTTGTTTCATCTATTTCTAATCCAAGGGGACGTCCACAAATATGTTCTTGTGAAAGGCCGGCTGAAATAATATGTTTATTATAACCTTATCATATAATTCATTTAATAATTTATTATCTATAACTCTGGTACCCCATTGTTCAATTTAAATAAATTAATAACTCAGTATAAATTATGTTGTTGTTAATGAGATCTGCGAACAGTTACTACATCTACACATACACCTATTGTAAATTCAAGAAAGAAAAATCAAATCAGTTTGCTAAGGTATTTGAGAACTTTATATTGTAATAATTTGTAAGAGAAGAAGCTACGAGAGAATGATTTGGCCAAGACAATAATTATTCATAACCATATTAACATTTAATATCTACTTTAAAGGTTATCAATAAAAATGTTTGTTATACAAATAACCAGTTATCATTAACCTGCATTCAATATGAGTAGTTATATGTATGCAGTCTGACAATCCATACATCAATATCAACTAAATTACAATAAAAAGCATCATAGCAATTTTACTATAATATTATTATAATTAGAATGAAGAACATACTTAATAAAATTAACCAACTTATCCCCAACTTAAATGTGTTAAAGCTTGTAAATACAATATCAAAAAATAATGATCTACTTACTGCAAGGCTGACCTATTTTCGTAACAAAAGTAATATGACCGCCAGGTGAAATTTTGACAACTTCACCGGTCGCAAGACCAGTGTAAAGTTCACCATTATGAATTAAAAATGATTCAGGTCCAATTAGTTTATTGGTAAATAATTTATCGGCATTGTTAAGAGCTGCATTAGGAGCTAAAACTCCGCTCCTAGGCTGTGTAGGTTCAAGCCTAAAATTTCAAAATTATTATTTTCACATAACGGTAAATTCGAATAACTTTTTTATGTCTACTTACTTTATAGCGGTGAACTTCGTGTATGGAGGCAAATTCGGAATAAGGAGAATAACAGATACGAACACAGCAAAATAAATTAATATTTTCAAAACCAATTTTAAAAGACATACAAATAACCCCATTTTATTTCAATTTGATGCTTAATAAGGCAACAAAAAATACGACACGTCTAATAATGTAAAAGTCAAAATGAATAAAAAACTCTCAAAAGTTGGACTTTGTAATGACGTCAAGTGAACACAAGTGAATGTCATTTTTTTTTAAATTTTATTACCTGGTAACATAGACCTTTAGGTCATATCTTATTTGGAGTGAATGTCAAAACAAATAATCTTAAGGTAAGCTTCACTCAAATGTCGTTTTAAAATCTCATTCTCATTTTTGCTCTGTGTCATTTTTACTCTTTGCCAAATTATTAACAAACTGTCAAACTCAAATTGCACAACATTTTCCTTTTTATTCTGTAAATCCGCCATATTGGACGTGTTGTTCACCGACTAATCTAAGAAAATTATATTTTCGTGATGGGTCACGCAAATATCTGGTATTCTCACCCCCGAAGATACGGGCAAGGATCCCGTTCATGGTATGTATAGTTTTATAAATTGTCGTATAGTGTTTAAGATTGTGGTTATCTTTGAACACGTGCTTCATAATGAAATTCTTTCCAGCCGAGCTTGTTCTAACCGACATGGACTTATTCGCAAGTATGGGTTGAACATTTGCAGACAATGCTTCAGAGAATACGCACATGACATTGGTTTCAAGAAGGTAATTATTGTTCTAGTTAACCAATTTTCTACATTAATTATGAAGTGATCTTGCATAGAATATTATTTTGGAGCTTTTTTAAATAATGTATTCCACCACCACTTTGTGATTAGTTTCTTTTATAATTTAGTAATTGCACTAAGTCGATTGAAAAGGAAATTTAAACTTTTATTGTTTGATTCAATGTTGGTTTTCTGTAGTATGACAGTGTATGCTTTGACCAGTGTTGCCAATGAAAATTTTTACCGGGCCGTGATTGTATGGAAGAATATCAGCTGTGGGCAGAACTTATAAAAAGAAAACATTTTTCAACAAGTGCCAAATTACACAGTTTTATCTTTAACATTATATTGAAATGTTGCCAAACTGTCATTCTTTATTTTATTAAAATCAACAGTAGTTAAATGTCAAACCATTTCAACTTCAACTTGCTCAACTGTTCAATTGGTAGCGTTCGCCTTTTTAATTTTATATTTATAACATCTAATAATATTATTTTGTTTCAGCTGGATTAACATGGAGATAACTTAGGTTAATAAACAAAAAAAAATGTATTGTTTTTTTATTCCAATCACATAGCTAATCGGATATTTCGAAACATAATCATATCTAGAAAGGTTCCATACTGGAACCCTTAAATTATTTTTTTGGGTCATAAATATGGTGCAAGTATTACCACAACAAAACTTTGACTCATAGGCTAGAAGAATAAGCAGACCTTATAGACTTTTATTTGGCTCAGCCTTAGCAAATCATTCTCACTTTCATATGTACAAATGATTATACACAGACATTTAACTTTTTTTAGACCTCCAAGCTACTTTTTCTAGCAAACTTTGAAAGTAACGTAGAGACTTTATATAATTTTTTATTATTACATATGACTGTGTAGTAATAAAATAAGTAAAAATAAGTTAAAGTGAAATATTACATTTTAATCTTTAATTAAGAAATAAAAATACATTCAATACTTAAATACAGTTATTTATTTCTAAAGATATAAAAGTATAAAACATAAATTACATATTTTTCTTACACACCTTTATTTACTTAAGCTGGCATTTCGAACTTCTATCCGAATCTCTGAAAAACAAAATAATGTTAGTTAAATAGAGTTTTAGTATATTAGCTGGTAAGTTACTAGTGGAAACAAATGTGTGTATTGATTTGATGGTAATACAAGACTAAATGGTTAAAAATACCTGTGTGACACCAGCGAGTAGAGAGAAAAGGCTACGCTGCGGAGGACGACAATGTTTTTTACCACCTTCTGCACAACACAGGTTCGGAAAACAGTCTACGCTCGAGCTGCAGCGTTGCGGGAATGGGTCGTATTGCGGCGGCGCTGTACATTGCAAGTACTGTTCGAATGACCGCAGAGCTAGAAAATAAGTAATTGCTTAACAACCATATCATTTGATAAGATTTATCTGCCGTTTCAATCCAAAGCCCAAATTGTGTTAACAAAGAGAAGTCAAATTCTATATATTATACAGCGTGTCAGACCTATATAAGTATGATTATTTAATTTAAAAGTTTTAGCGTAAACTTTGCTTCATCTATGGTTCAGGGTTGCTAGATCGTGTTTATTTGCTGTCACTGTCATGACGCCGTCACAGCTCAGCTGACCATAACCTAGTAGTAGCTATAGTATACTTATTATACTCTTTGACCATAACGACGCTTTCGAATTAATTATTAACGATTTATTTATTATGTTATAAATAAAACTAGTGTTTTAGTGTACCTTAATACGGTAAGACTAAGTTTTATACGTGCTACGATAATGAGTAATAGAAGTGAGTATAGTGTATTTTGTGGAGAACAATTATTTAATAAAGTTATTAAATTTACGATAGTAATAATGTAAAAAAAAGGATTGTTTTGGGTTATCGCAATAACAAAGTGGAACAATGTAAGCTGTTATCTGATTCTAATGACATTCACTTTCAGATTGTCACTTACAAAAAAGATATTGGATACTTTTCACAAAAAGATAAAGACTATCCGTATAGGAAATAAAAAGTTCCTTGCCTCATTTTCGAACCAAAAAAAATCATTTAATCAAATCCGAAAACAATTTTAGTAATTCTTAGCTCAGTTATACCCAAATTGCCCGAAGATTGCCCTGCTGAAGCCTCTTGAGTTCCTCTAAAACTTACGTGCATCAATGGCGTTGGCAACAGGCACGAGGTCGAGACGGGCGCGCGCAGTGCGGCAATAGGAGCGGGTGCCATCAGGGCAGCAAACACGCGGCCAGCAGTCCGCGTCAGACTTGCACGACTGCACCTCAAACAGCAACTCGCCTAGTGGCGCCGCGGGACACTCGCGAGGTATCACGCCAAGTAGAGCTGAAATGAATAAATTATGGCTGGTTTCAATAAAATGAAATTGAGAGATGTGGATTTTCAATTTCAATCTTTCAATACGCTAGTCTGAGAAATTTCTGTAGGCTACCTATCAGCTAGATATATCGAAAGTTGCTTCGTCTGTTAATAGATAGTATCATTATGCCTACGTTGATGGCTTTGCTGCACAGTGGGCCGTGGAGCTGGTTCTCCCTTGACGCATCGTCCTTGACAGCACACCTGGTCTGCCCCACTACTTGCTCTACATTGGGCGTTGGTCTCGCAGGGGATCGGGAACAAAACCACGGGAGCCGCCTTCTTTGGACACACGTATTTCTGGGTTTTCCCTGCATTTTAGAGTAAAAAATCTAATTTTAATGTGATCATTTGATTTTATTAGGTGGATAAATCTGTAGTAATTACGCTGGATTACTGTTGGATAGGTTTTCCAACAGTAATCCAGCGTAGCAACAAGCTTTTGTCCTTGTTCACGTTGACTCTCGGTTGCGGTCTAAACACCGTCCAACGTGAACAAGCAATTTCAAACTGTTGTTGTGTGTTATCGGGAAGTTCGCAAAGTTTTGCTATTGCTACAGCTTTACGTTGTATATGGGCATCGTGAAGTAGAAATAACAGGGTAAATCGAATTGTTAGTTTATAGTGCTATACAAGAGAAGAAAAAAACTTACCGACTTTAGCGGGCGCTGCAGGCGCGGACGTGGGCGAGTTCTGTATAGGCAGCAGCTGGAAGAACGGTCTGGGCGGTTCCGTGGTGGTTGTCGTGGTGGTGGTCGGCGCCGGTGTGGTCGTCGTGGTGGTGGAACTGGTGGTGGTGGTACTGGGAGTTGTAGTCGTGGTCGTTGTGGTGGTGGTGGTCGTTGTGGTGCTAGTTGTGGTGCTGGTGCTACTTGTGCTGCTACTCAACTCGACTACACTACTGCTCGGCTCACCACTACAACATTCGGAAATGACTTCGAATGGCAATAGAATAGTGCAAAATTTGTGAAATGGTACTATTGAATTGTGATATCTTAATGAATTTGCGCTAATAAAAAACTAATAAAGCTACAAGCAATTGGTACTGAGAATATAACTTAAGGAAACCTTTACAAAATAACGAGTTTTATATCTGAGTACAATTAGTCTCGCTTGTGGTAATCAAATCATCACGTAATACGGTACTGATAATCTTTTTAAGCATTTCAAGCAATAAAACTAAGTAGTTATAAGATCACTCATGGTAGATGTACTTTTTATGACATAAGTACATTCAAAATACCCACAATTAATAAAACGCGTATTCACCATAATGGAAATATTAAAAGTTATCTTTAATGTGCACTTTCATAGCTATGAAATGTTTTATTAAAAACGAGGAAAAATACATCTTAAAAATAAATAAACACTGCACTGCCTGTCCTGTATTATTGAAGGTAAATTAAGAATATTACTAATTATAGTGACATTACGGCCTAGGTGAAAAAAACAAAATAGTAGGCTGGCAGATAAATCTGTTATGAAACTTTATTGCAAGATGATGGACTTGGCTTGACCGCGCGGATACTTGGCCGCTCACTTTTAATTATACTTGCGTGCGTACGTATTATAAAAATATGCATCTAATTTAATATCTTTGTTGTAATTGACGATTGTTTGAATTTACGAATGAATGAGTTTGCAAATCTAACAAATTTAAGTTTCTACGTTCGTATGTAAAATCGTGTAGTCACCTGGACAATATTTCGATATAACTGCGTACTATACTTAGTTCATTCTAAAACAATTTAATTTCTTATGTAAAAAACATGGAGTTTTCCTTATTTACTTCCTTACTATTAAAATAATTACGAAATAAAATGTTTTACGCGAAGAAGGTAGCAAAAGAGCAATCAGGTATGGAATGAAACTTTTAGAACCCTCTGGTTCCCCGCGCTAAAGATTTCTATATAAAAAAATGTGTGATGATGATAATGATGATAAATTGTGAATTCTAGAAGCATCTATTACTCGTCTAATAATGTGAACTCATAGACCGGACTTACCGAACAGCGGCTGCTCTATTCACACCCTTTGTACAGAAGCCCTTGCAGCAGAGGTGCTGGGAGCCCATCACGCCGCAATCTCCATGCTTACGGCACGGCAGCGGGAATAGGTCCAGCCAGCCGCTGCTTGTCCGAACAGATGGACACGATAACGACTGACACTTACCTGAAAAAAAGTGAGGAGAATAAATTGATGACGAGATCTGAAGAAAACTGGGACAGGCGAAAATTAGACGACATTAACTTTGTGAAGAAGCGCGTTCTAGTAGAAGTTTGGGACGGAAACGGCGCTTTAATGTGGCTTCTTTGAAGAATAATTTTGTTATTGTTCTTTAAGTCCCATCTCCATTCATCGCGCGATAGAATGATGGTGTACTATATTGCTCTTATGTAATGATTTTTCAGCCATGAGGTTCGCTTTGTCGATTATTATAAAAAGGGTGAATATGGTAATTATTTAACAAGGTCTCTATATAGTTAAATACTTATTACCATAAATAAGTATTTTCAAGAAACACTAACCTAAATAGTACCACTATCTATAGAGGTCAGTGACAAGAAAGGATTGCTGTTCTATTTTATTTTATTTCTATTTTGACATAAGTAAAAGAAACGAACGTTGACGTTGACGATTAGTGACAATACAAAATTTTGTATAATTATATTAATTCCTTGCTGAAAACAAATTATTATTTTCAGTCGACGTTTAATTTAATAACATTAGTCAGTAATGGTTTTGACAAAAAATGTGAAGCTACCGGATTGCAGCGAGTTGATGGTGCCCGAAGTGAACTTGACTACTACGACGTTGATGAGCGCAGGGCCGCACCTCGGCAAGGACTGCGAGGCAGTTAACAACGAGTTCATGCTGTGCCGCTACGAGCTCAACGACCCCCGCGCTTGCCTCGACCTCGGCAGGAAAGTCACTGCGTGCACACTCAACTTCTTCAAGAAAGTAAAGAAGAACTGCTTAGAAGAGTTCAATCAGTACTCCAACTGCGTAGATAAGAGCTCCGGCAATTACGCGCTAAGATATTGTCGCACAACTCAAGCCGTGTTCGATGAATGCATGCTACAAAAGTTGAAGATAGAGAGGCCGGACTTTGGTTACTTTACACGTGCCCGCGTGCACTGCAGCCCGAGTCCGGCACCCTCTGCGCCGCCCTGTCCGTGCCACAAGAAGTATCCTGACGCAACGCCCTCCTTACCGGACTCCAAGCCGCGCCCACCGGCTAGGTTCACTAGTCGCTACTACCATGTCACTGAATAAATATCGTAATAAAGTTTATAAATTGATTCAATAAGATGTATTTTTATAGTGCGAGAAGAGCGGGTACTTTGGGTTTTTAAGATTCAGAACGAAGTATTTTATTGTATACTTTATATTACACCTATAAATTGTAATGGAATAGATGCTTAGTACCAAGATTTCCGCTACTCTGGTCATTTCATGTGTCCCTAAATTGCAAATTTCGATTTTCAAAAATAGAAAACTTGATATTTTGTTTCGATTTTTTGTATTTTTACATTTGAATTAAACATGTTCATATGTACGAAAAAGTGTATTGTTCAAATAGCGACAGGAAGCTGGTTTTGATGTCAAGGGTAAAACATTCATCAAAGGAATTATAACTTTACATTCACGCACTTACATAATAGATATAATATAATTAATTCATATATATGTGTATTTACATATTCTGCCAGTGTTGCTTCACTGTAAAGTTTCCCAATGTGCATAATCTTTGCTTCATAATATTTAGTAACAATTTGTGGAAAGTGATTAGTTTGAACTGTTATATACAGCTAAATGTCCTTTATATAATAGTATTGGCATATTTACTCAAACTTTATTAAATTAAAAGACATGTAGATATAGATTTCCTTAAGGTACGGATGACATTATTTAAAAAAATATGCAAACAAAGGCGTCCCCACCCCGCGCCCGTCCTCTATCGACGGCTGCCATCGCTCTTGAATGCAGCTTTAATGCAGTGTTTCTAAATATTAATAGCTGAAATATCATATATGAACACCCCCTCACCCCCAATTGTGTTGGTTATTCATTATAGAAGACATTTATACTATTGTAATATTCTTGAAATCTTTGTTCGGTTTTTGAGTCTATTATGAACAAAGAAACGAATGATTGCTGCACGTACTCTTGTACTTAAAATGGGGACCCCTCTTATTGATTTCTCTAAATGGCACTGAATACGGCAGCATATCTTTTCTCATTATAACATTAGCATAGGTAAAAGATGTAGATGTTTGTTGGTACGGAATCAAACTGGGAGTTGCTTTATTGCTTAGAGAGCGGTCGGCTGACGGCGGCTGAGCGAAGGTCGTCACAAATGCACCGTTAACTGGGTAAGCAGCTCGACTACGTTTCGTAACCAAATTCGTTTATAATTGTGTACTGAATACGACATTGTTTCAAAGGGTACCCTGAGTCTGATTGATTTGTTAATACATATTTATTTGTTACTTTAATTATTTTATATGTATCAGCAAATCAGAGACGTTTCATTAACGAAACTTAAGTACATTCTCAAACTTTTCTAAGCTGAAAAAACACCCACAATATTTGTTATTATTTAATTTACATAATAATAAACAAAATAGCGGTCCTTTAACGATATTTTGATTTAACAAATGTTAACATCCGTAAGTGGTGGTATACTTTACCTCAATTGCTAAAGTGAGAAGATAGTCTGTAGTTACAAAAAATATCAACATGACACCAATGTATTATGTAAGCATACAAATTCTCTTATTAACTAAAAACATATAAATAAAAAATACAGAACAGCTTTAAGGAGCTTTCAAAAAAAGTAAAAGTAACACACAGCCCTACTTATTGACCCCCATTCACCTGGATATTAAGAACTTACGACCGTGAAATATTTCCTGATATTTTAAATCAACAGTTTTGTTATCGGATAATCTATATATATATATAAATCAATTGTTGTTCGTTAATCTTGCTAAAACTCGAGAACGGCTGAACGGATTTATCTTATCTTGGTATTGAAATGTTCGTGGGTGTCTAGGGAAGGTTTGAAAGGCGAGAAAAATTCGAGTAATTGACGGGAACTAATAAAGTTCTTTTTTCATTCAAAATGTTTAGTATTTTAATGGAGATTTTCATAGAAGTGGCGATGTTTAAGGAAATGCTAAAGATCTTCGTCATTTCGAACTGGGCATTTATATAACCTTAGCTATTTTCCTTACAGGACCTAAACAATTCCCTCTGTCTTTGCTCAGAAGTGCAACAATAGTAAGTCACAGAAACAGGTTTAACTAAGACATAACTGCCATTAACTTAAATTGATATGGTACTTTGTGTTAGTTGTAACTATAATTCGATTGAATTATAACGCACTTAATGTACGGAGCCTTGAGCTCGATCCGGCGACAGCAAATTAAGTTCAAATATACGTTATTGTGACGAATCTTTTTATTTAAGTTGCTAAGGTGGTTTTAGATTTCCCCGACTGACCTGCATGCAAGGTTGCAATTCTAGAACAAAAGGTAAAAAGCAAACTAGTTTACATAATTATCTATATTTAAGTCTAGTTCCCCTACTCAGAGTCCTACAGTGCTTAAGAAGCGCGACTTCCTATAGATTTAGTAGGTAGTGTAGATTTATTAGCACTAAGAGAATGTGGTAGATGTTTTGTTAAGTAATTCTAGTTAAATGGAGAGAATACGCTTCGCTGGTTTCGGTATGTTGAAAGGATGAGTTTAGAAAGATTTACAAAGAACATATTTATTGTAAAACTGTTGTCTTGAATAGCATTTGTGGGATTTTATTGCAGAATTTGTCGTAATGTTTATATTTAATAGTAATATTCTATATTATTACAAACATTCTAACCGGAAAGACCGGCTATATGGCTGAATACAAGCGGTCCCAAGTTACTACCTACTTTCTTTATTACTTATTTCCTCAATTTATCTCTTATTTGTACACAGTTGTAAGCCTATGTACACGGTAAAACGCTTTAATTTTTCTATAATACATAAAACAAAATTATGATAACCGTCGTCAGGCATATTAAGCGATGAGTCGTTAGCACGTTTATTTACAAGTAAATAAAGACGTTGTGCTAATTATAAAATTATTATTTTGTTACACTGCTGCATATTTATTTTAGTTATTCGACCAAATAGAAAATTCAATAATTCGGTTTTCCGTAAGTACCAACTGATGTTCCCTTTGGTGACTTCTTCGGACTTTTCTAACATCAAAGAAGACCCGCTGACTAGAGGTTAAGCATTATTAGGTAAAACGTGACACTAAAATATCTCAAACATTGGAATTTCGACTACAGGGAGATCACGAACGTTTTTTGGCACAAAATATATTTAACTACTCGTTGAAGTCTTTTGTATGTGAATTTTGATATGATCACGTTATCGCAGGAAACGAATGAAAAAAGTTTTCAGTTATAATGTTTCATCTTTAAAGATCAATAATAACATACTCTATCAACTGTAGTAGGCAGAAATGTTTATGATAAAAAAAAGAAATGTGTCTTAATGACGTTAAGTAATACTCAGCATTAAATTGCCTTGCAAAAACATGGTTTTCCCAAAATGTCATATTATGCAACTATTATTTTGTTGTGCACATAAAGACGAATCTGAGGCAGTAAGCTTGTGCAAATTATGTCGGTTACGTATAAAATCCGGTTCATTTTTTCCTTTAAAAGTATATTTTGCTATGGATCAATTAAATTATGTATGCATCGAATGACCATATAAAGGAGATTTATTTGCAAAAAAAAGTTGACGTAATCATTTATAGTTCATTGACTGCGTGTCTCATCATTTGTGACCTAAATTCGATAAGAAACCATTCCATATTTTGTAACGAACATATGTACCTAATTTTGTAATGTAACTCAAGTATAATTTTCGATAACTTAAGAGGTTTACACAATTTGGCTTTTAAAAGCTCACTTCCATTTGTTGTTGAAGTTGTGGAGTCAGACTTTAAAAAAAATTACTTGTTTCTTTTTGTATTTTAACATTGAAATTATGTATTTATAAAAAACTGAAAAATATATTTAAAGGAAAGTATATTTTTGGATGATTTTGTTATTAGATAATTGAGTGTTGAAATAGTAACCTGTATCATTTAGGTGTTTATAATCTAAATGAAAGTTTTTGTACTCTTATGCAAAACACAACAATGCAAAGGTGTATAGAATAGGACTATAAGTAATAATATTAGCGAGAAGAAACGTCAATCATTATAACGCGTACGTCTGTTACACCAATCCGTTTTGAAACGTTTTTACATTAACCTTACGTAATTACTGTTTAAGAGAAATCAATGATACAATTTCTACGAAGTTAATAATAATATATTAAGTGTTTCTCAGTATTTTTATCCTTTACATGCTATATTTTCATAACTTCAGTTGTTCGGGTCATTGCCATAAATGTACGTGTACTTAATTAATAAGTCATAGGGAACAAAAGAAATTGTTTTGGGCTTTGTTATACAAGGAACAAAGTACATCAGTCTCGATAGGCTTTATACTTTGTACCACAGCTACATTGTGTTTGAAAGTTTGACCGTATTATTACATTAGTCGTTCAAAAACTGCTACGACAAAACTGCAGCTGTTTAAAGATTAACATTTGATTAATAGATAAATATGTTGAACATTATTCGGCAATAACCCGGATATATTATTATTACTAGATAAATAAATTCGGGCAGTTAAAATTATCTGTATTTTCACATCATATTAGAGGCACTTGCCTTAAACAAATACGATAGCAAAACAATGAACAAAGCAATAGATTACTAAAATGCTTAAATGCTAGATAATATCTTACGCTTGTTCTCCGTGTTTTTTTTCTACCGGACTTATATTTCAACATTTTCAACTTTTATACAAATAGTTTACAAATCATTAGTGTTGAATAATCCTTGGGTTAATTAATTAATAAAATATGTTTTATTTTTAAACATATTTTATTAATTTATGTTTGTAAAACTTACCCTTAAACTCATTTTGTGATTACTCACTCACTGATGTAATTTACGCGCATTAAAAAAAATGCTATTAACGTTAAGAAGACGCTTGCTAAATCTTACTGCAAATGGAACATTAATATGTTTTGTTATGTTTGTGAACATGTATGTTATGTTTTCAAAGAAAATATATATTAACATATGTTTCTGTAACCATAGTAACGAAAGCTTAATAGGTCTAGAATTTACCGAAGGTCTTGGGTTCGAATCCCAATTGCTAATTCTTTTGATCGTGTTCAAGAGAATGTTAAATGTTTTTGAAAAATATTTAAAAACTCACCTAAAATCAGTGCTGCCGCTAACAAAAACAACGTTAAAACAATTCGGTGATTCATTTTGTTCGTTTAGCACTTTAGAAATATCACATTAGATCACGACAATGGCACTTCGCGTTTGTTAGTTTGAACGTTGTCCACAGTAATTGCTGGCTCTCAGAGTAAGGTGTGGTCCGCCACTGGAGCCACTAACGAATGCCGCTCGGGAGCTGTCGGTTGCATAAGTACTTGCGACTCTTGATACAGATTATCATTTGGCGGACACCGACCACTTTCGCTGCACTTTACTGCTTCAGTGTGTTTAAGTTAAGTTGTCCTCTTACTGAGTTGATTGCGGTCGGCGAACGTAATACGTGCTTACAACGCCTCGTCGTGTAGACAGTTTGTGATATAACATCAAATTTATATTGGTAGAGCTCTACGTCAAACTACCTTTCCAAAGGGATTTAAACCTTTTTGAAGAATAAAAGTACCGTTGAAGAGAAATTCGTAGTTTTAAGGAATTCCACTTAAAATCATAAAGCGTAAATACAACCCAAATGAGATTTTGACTAACAAATTATGCGAAAAAGGAACGCCTATATTGGAACATACCACTGCCCGCAGCAAATGTAATGAATATAGGTGACGACTAATATGATGATGATGTTGATATTTAAATGCTATGATGCTAAATAACAATTATGATTTATATGCGTAAATTATTGTTTAAATATAATTTCTAGTTCCGGCCAACCCTTGAAAGTTCAAATCATGAATGGATTTTGTAGATAGCATTAATTTTTTTCCAAAACTCCTACTTGATTTAAATAGCAATCATAATTTTGAGTATTGAAAAATCATAACGATGTATTGCCTAGCCTTAAAAAGGTTGAAATTACATCGCAATTGATAGTAAAAGTTCATTCATTTCCTTATTGCCGTGTTGGAGTATATATTAAGCTAGTCCAGTCTAAAATGTTAATTAAAGTAATAGTTTTCTGATTTCTGTTTTATTAACAATAGGTTATTTGATTACGATTTCATTAAGATCGGGAGGAGAAAGAATGCACCTGGAATTCCAGGTTGAAAGATGTAATAACACCTCAATTTCATGCTAGCTGAAGTGCGTGACAATAATGTCTGTCTTTGTCGAAAAAATAATACATCTGACAAACGTCAAAACTAAGTTAAAGTCAAAGGCATGTGTTCATTTGACTTTGACATTTAATTATAGCATTGTCGTAAGATTTAAATAAACATAAAAGAAATAAGTTTAAAGTTAGCTGAATAGAACATTTTTACTATCATTATTTATAATTGTCGACTATTGATTTATGATGCCGCAGCTAGAAGAAAAACCAAGAATTTTCTTAGAAGAGTATCGATTAAAGGTTATATGTTTTTTAATATTTGAAGAAGTTAATCGTTGATAGATATTATTTCAGTAAGCCCAGATGTAACTAAATTGTTTGCTGTTTCAGAATGCTGCAAACGATTACGGGATGGCCGATGAGAAATGGAATTTTAAAAAATTCGTGAAAAATTTCCGTATTGTTATTGTTAGACTAGATAACTTTGAGATGGAATTCGACTTGATTGGCCTTCAGCCAGCATTTGCTAATGCTTTTCGAAGACTTATGTTAAGTGAAGTTCCCAGTATGGCCATTGAAAAAGTTATCGTTAGAAATAATACCTCAATAATACAAGATGAAGTTCTTGCCCACAGGCTGGGTCTAATTCCTTTGAAAGCTGATCCTAGGTTGTTTGAATATCGTCCTGAAGGTAAGGAAGCTTTTTCAAAGAATATTTACTTGGCCTGATAAATAACAATTATAACTAGACGCTAAAAAGAAATAAAACATCTAATTTTTTATTATATTTTAGATGCTACAGAAGGCACTGAATATGATACCTTAGAATTTTCTGTAAAAGTCAAATGTACTGCAGTTAAATCACAGCCCAAGGATTCATACAAAACTGAAGATTTGTATGAGAATCATAGCGGTGTGTATATTTAACTTTTAATGACTAAAATGAACTGACTTTTAAATTTTTAAACACTATTATGTTTTTTTTTAGTTTATTCATCACAAATAAAATGGCAGCCAATTGGGAATCAAGCATCTGTTCACAAGGAGGCAGATCTAGGGCCAGTGCATGGTGACATTCTCATATCTAAAATGAGGCCCGGTCATGAATTAGATCTACAATTAATTGCAGTCAAAGGGATTGGAAAGGATCATGCTAAATTTTCTCCAGTTGGTTTGTATTTTATTTATGAAGAGGTAAGATACAAGAAAGATTATGAGAAAAGAGGCTATTAATAGTCAAACTTACATTTGTTTTCAGCCACAGCTTCTTATCGCTTATTACCAGAAATAACATTAACACGTGAAGTGGTAGGAGGCCAAGCAGCACTCCTGCAAAGTTGCTTTTCCCCTGGTGTAATCGGAATTGATTCAGAGGGTAGAGCTTATGTTAAGGATGCCCGTTACGATACTTGTAGCCGAAATGTGTACAGATATGATGACATTAAAGACGCCGCTATAATGAGCAGAATCCGTGATCATTTTATATGTATGTATAATAATATCAAATAATAAGTTTTTTTACTCAAAATTTATATTGTGGAATGATTTTTTTTTTTCAGTTAACGTAGAATCTGTTGGGGCCATGGTTCCAAACGTAATATTTGTTGAAGCTGTTAAAATACTAAGAGATAAGTGCAAGACATTATTGGATGAATTAAACAGTTTTTGAATTAAAAGTTTTTTTTTTCGTAAATAATTATGTGTGGGGCTGTAGATGTAGTAAGAAAACCAAGTTTGTGATATTTAATTTACATTTGGTATTTCATATTAAATATAAAAGAAAAGTATAGGCTTGGTGTGATTAGAATCACTGTATAATATAATTCTTTGTTTAGTTTGCTATCGCTACCTAGAAATGGTAAGCATCACTTAGTTCTATTTTAATGTAAAATAATTACGACTACCGCAACTCGGTTTGTGAGAAATCAATAAAATTATATATTTATTTCGTTATACACTAATTCTGTGAAAAACGCAAATCAGTGCCACGAAAACAGTATACAATGTAGTCTATATGGGACTCAAACCAAAATAATATAATGTTATCTATAGGAATATTTCATCAACACAAACTTTCGTATTTTTTATTTAAATACATCAAAAAAATGCATAGCTAGGCGTTTTAGGTGAGGATCAGTAATCCAGTAATGTTACTTGTCGCCAATAAATAGGTAAGTATAATCTGTAGATCGATGTTTTGTCTGTGAGAAAAATTCTACGAATCCTTTCAAATCTGTTCTGTCTTTTGTATGCTCTTTGAATCTTTCAGTGTATTTCTTAGTTGTTTTTTTATATACTCTTTGGGTGTTTTCCAAATAAGATATTACCTAAAGGTCTATGTTACCAGGTCATAAAATTTAAAAAAAAATCTTAGTGTCTATAGTATACTTATATCTTTGGGTGTCAGATTTTGTTGTGAATTGCAGTGAATTGTGATGTTTTCCATTGTTGTTAAAAACAAAGCCATAATTCTAAAATCACATTGTTTTGATGCATTTTAACTTCCACATTACGTAGTGAGCAGTGAAGAAAGATATTTTATTTTTACAAAAAAACAAAAGTTTAAGGGTGTGCTGTATAATTTTCTCAAGATGGGTAGTTTGGATAGAGCAGTTATAACTGGGTTTATTTGTCGATTATGTTCTGAAATGCACCGAGTTGTTTTACATATCTACGGACACGAAGGCATTCGTCTAAATATATCTGAAAAGATTAATAAGTATCTTTCAATAAACGTAAGTACTGCTTTTCTTTTCAGTTGAATTTTGTGGTTTGTGTAATACAAATAAAATCGAAATAATATTATAGGTGTCACCGTCGGACCCATTACCAAAAACCATTTGCAACAACTGCTTGGAACGACTGGAAAGTCAACATAAATTGGTGATGCGTATTGAACATGCTAGTAATTTTTTAAAGGGACGTTGTTAACATGTAGCTTTTAGATTTTATATCACATTACCTTGTATTTTTCACCAAATTGTAATTGTTTTTGTATAAATTTGTTGTTTAGTATCAAGTGCAATTTCTGTAAACAGTAATGAAGACAAGGCATATAATATTCATTTATAATTTGAGAGGTCTAATGGAACAAGAAATAAACATACTATTAGCTAATTTAATGTATTCATCGCGATTGCTTTTCTAATCTTGAAGTTAATATTGAATTATTGAGCTTTTTACAATGTTTCAAAATATAATTGTCACCTTAGTTGTTTGAAATATTCACTGTTCACTGAGAAAGAATAAATACCTACCAGACACCAATAGCTCTGAATCCAATTGAAAAATTATACTGTTTTTGAGCTGTAGTAGCCAACATACTTTCATAAAATTATAATAAAATAATTATGTTCTATTTATAATCAATAAATTGTGATGTCACAGATTTTTTTTCTATTTCCACTGTTTGTGAATATACTTTTATGTCTTGCAGTTGCATATAAGATATCAACAAAGTTTAAAAGTACCCTTTGTCTCAATCTATAGATTTCCGAACTGTTTTTACTTGGATAAAGAGTGTTTATAGTTTTATTACTATGAGTTACAAATTTTTATTCCTCTCAAATTGGTATAGTAAATAAAAGCAATTATAAATTTAATTTTTAGACACCTTGTACTCATAGTTTACATCAACAGAATTAGACAAGGAAATAAAGAAAAACCTTTAAAGATTGCTTGTAATAATATAATGAAAAAAAGGAACATCAAATTGTAATTTTATTGCACATTTCCATTAGCTGAAAGGAGTGTTTCAATTCTATAATAATTCTTAAATACTACAATTCTGAGATCATTAATTTTATCTCGCTTCTCTTCTATATCCGCATCTAGTTGTTTTATTTTTGCTTGAAGAGGTTGTAGGGATTCCTCATTGGTGCTAAAATAGAAATAAAATGTAAGTATTATAGTATAAAACATGCACTCAATAAAACAAAACATTAATTGTAAAATTTTCCTATAAAAATGTTTAAAAAAAATCAAAGAGATGGCTATCACTTGATCATTTTGTAAAGTTCATATAACTAAATGTAGGAGCTGTTTCATTAATATATTATCTCAAAGTGTGCAAGGGAAGAAAATCGTTTGAATCTTTCAGTTATTGTATGTTAGTAAAAAAAAAATACCATCTATGTACTAACATTTTTTGTTTAGATAATTCTACAGATGCTTCTTCATATTTTTTCGTCCACTCCTGTAGTTCCTGTCTCATTACCTCAACATCTTCTTGTATATGGTCAATTAACTTCCCCAATGGGTTGCTAATCCGTGATAAAGCTTGGACATTGAACCGCATCTGTTCAATTTCTTGATTTACCACATCCCTTGCTTTTTGTGCACCAAAATGCCATTCCTATACAAATGTAATAGCAATTGGAAATTCTCACTTAAATACACAATTTTTTAATCACAATATACATTACAAAACATTTATATTACACAATATTACTTTCATTATTACTACAATACTCGTTGGTAAAGACATGAGCAAACTACTAACAACCACTTCCTTTTCTGCCTTTTATTACACAAACTAATATATTGTCTTTACTCCATCATTTATTTGAAAATTGCAAATTTTTATCAATAGGAAGTGTTACAAGCTTCAAGTAAGATGCTTATTATACAGTTAAAAAAAATACACCTTTTGCAAACAACTTACAATTTCCGTCTTTCCTGATATTTGGGAAAACTCTTTTTGGGAATCCAATATTTGTTGTACTAAATGGCCATGCTGTTTGGAAGTTAACTGTAATTGTTCTTCATTTTGCAGTATTGGATCTGTTTGATTTTCTACAATAATAATACTTCCATCCTCTTCCTAAATTAAAAACAAATTATTATCATAGGTTAAAGAAACAAATTTAGAATATTTTATAACTGACATACCTCTTCTGGTACTGTATTTTCGACTATGATATTTGGTTTTTGAGCAATAGGATTCTCAGTTCCTATCAATGTAGCATCATGTTTTTCTTTCACTCTTGGAGCTCCTGGTCTAGATGATGATGGCCTCACACTTTGAGGCCTCTTATCCACATTGTTATCTGAATTTGATTCATGAGAAATTTTGTTTATGTCAATAGAGTTACTAATTGCTTCATCTTTAGTATTGTCAATAAGTTTATTTTTTGATTCTTCAATAACTGTCTTTCCAAGATTTAAAGGGTTTTCCAAACTGTCTTTATCATCTTGAATTTCACTTTTTAATGATTTCAGTTCTGTCTCAGACTTTTCAGGTAATGGCTCATTTGCAATGTCAATATTTATTTGATCTTCTATATCAAAATGTTGTGTTTTCGGTTCTTTGTCATCATTTGTATTAGTGTCTGTAGAATTTTGTATTTCATTAACTTTTGTAACATTGTCACCACTACCTTTTTCAATACCTTTTACTGGTTCATTAACTTGCTTCAAATTTGGAGATTTTTCTTGTTTAATTTTTTTGCTATTTGTTTTCAGATCTGGTACATTCTTAATAACATTTTTCTTGACATTTGGTATAGATTGTTTTTTCGGTGGCGATTCTTTAACTGCAGTCTCTTTTATTCGCAATTTGGGAACAGCTTTTTGATCTTTGTCTGGGCTATCACTTTTATTACTTTTTATTGAAGGAGTTTTTTTATCATCTTGATTTTTCTTTACAACTTTGGTAGTGTTTTTACTACTTTTATTAGTGTCCTGGGTTTTTATATTTTCTTTAAACTTTTGAACAGCCTCTGCTGAAGACAGTTGTTTTTCTAAAGCTTGTCCTAGACATTGTAGTAACTCATTAGTTTTTGCTGGTTCTTGTCCAGCAACTATTTTAGAAGGCTTAACTGTTAAGGTTTTTCCAGTTGCAATACCTATTATGAAACATAAAGAAAGGGTAATTATAACTAGATACAGGTGAGTAGTTAGAACAATGATTTATAGCTTGGCCTCTTTATTAAGAATTCATATAAACTTACCTAAGACCCATATGACCTTATTTAGGAATTGTATTTTACTTTCTCTATCTTTTACATTGTCAGATATTAATTCATCTTGTTCAAAGAGTCCATCAAAGAATCCAGTAGTTTTCAGAACCTATAAGAAAGTTATCAGTACTTACCATCATTTTCCTTTTAACATTACACTGATAACAACTACATACTTTCTAGAATGCAAAATTGTGGCATGGTGTTAATTATTTAGTCGTGTTAAATACGAAAAGGGGACCTTCGTATTACCAGAAAAGTATGGTACACGTACCGTTATAATAACATCGTGTAAAAATCTAAATGGCGGTTTCCTTAATAACTTCTCGGTAAGTGGAGGTCGTTTCACAAATTTTCCCAACGATAACTGCGTCGTTTTTATAATGTCTGCATTTAATTCTTCTTCCATCGCACATTCTTTACATTTGTTATTTTTTATTCGCCTATAAACTAATTTTTGAAATGTAAGAAGGTAATAGTAAATTAATTTAAACTGATACGGATTATATATATAAAAAAAAGCAGCTTTATAGTGTTAAATAATTGTAGTATTATAGATTTAAATCAATCAATGACAACGATGTTGTAATATTGTACACAATCATCACCATGGCAACGAGGGAGTGCTGCCACTAGTAAAATTATTTAAAAAAAAAACCACTGTTTATTGTTTTTTTTTCCCTCCAAATTCTTTACTTTGATTTCCTTTATTTATGCCCTTCATACATATTAGAAGGTAAAAAGAGCAAAGTAAGCGATTTTCTGGCGAAAAGTTATTTGAACCAATGGTTTAAAACCTGCCAATATTTATAATCTGTCAAATGTAGGGGAGATTTATACTCTTTGGGGAGTTTTGATTGGGAGAATCATGTATAGTCTGTGCTTTTTTGTCTTTGCTTCTACCAGAGAGTTTATATACTACGTGGCAGAACGTGTCATTACCGACAAACTGAAAATTTATCAAGCGATTTAATGACGTGTGGTTGTGGAACATAAAGACGTTAATTGCGAAAATAATTTTCTCATTTGACAAGAAAATAGACATAGCCCCAGGAGCCATATTGTTTTCGTAAATGAACTGGGGTAGCGCCTGGGTGAAAGTAATATCAATTTTGATGTGAGTTAACTTGATAACTCACCATCCAAGGAGTATTATTTTCGTTACAATTTGCAATTGTTTCTAGGATTAAGAATGCCTCCTAAGCGTAAAAAAGTAGGGCGGCCCAAAGGTTCTAAAAACAAAAAATCTCTCAACGGTAATGTGCCAGAAAAGAGTTTCACCTGTGGACTTTGCAAAAAAAAGTTTATCTCCGAAGAAAGTGTGTCTGAACATAGCAAAATATGCAAAAAAGCACTATTACTGAACCCAGATGTTATCAAGGTAAACAAAAATTATATGCTGTAAGAATCATAAGTCTCAATGAAAAGTAATATAATTTTTATTCATTATAAAACTATGTGTTGCAAAATTTAAGTGATAATAGGCTGACAGATTATCACGAATATTTTTTCTTTAAGTGATTTGAATTTGTATAAATACTTCATCTCTTTAAAACAAAACATATGAATATGGTTCTTAGGGATCTAATTTAACAGGCACACAGTATATTTCAACTTACAATTCTGTAATGTTTATGTTACTGTTTTAGGCAACATTCAAATGTGAAGAGTGTAACAAGAGGTTTACATTTGAAGACACATACAAATCTCACTTAGAAAATGAACATTCCAAAACCCCAGGCAGCGTAACATGCGACCTGTGTCCAGTGTCTTGTCCTAATAAAAAAGTGTTATCGAAGCATATTGAAAACTATCATGGTAGAGACATGTTTATGTGTCCACATTGTGACAAATTGTTCACAAGACAAACTCATGTGATGAGACACATGTCACAGAAGGGATGCGGTGGACAAATCTCCCTGTACACATGTGAAGTATGTAGCTTGTATAACATTCAAATTAAGAACAAAATTTTTCAAATACACTAGTATGTCAGTGGCCATAATATTAGTTTAATCAGAAATTATGAAATTTTGTTAATATATTCAGTGCCACTGATTCCCAGAGTTACTTTGACAACTGAAAATTGTAGTGTTGTTTAATATTTTACAATGTTTCTTCAAATACTTTAGAATTAACACACTTACTGTTGGTTTCTGAGATCAAAATCCCTGTATGAAACATGTTATCTCTGTTGTATCAAAGATGAAAGACAGGGATAACAATATCTTTTATACAAGGATTTTGGTCTCACAAACCCATGGTCAGTGTTAATGTTTAAGGCAAACTTTGTTTAAATTACTCATGTTTTGTCCGTTTTCAGATATGTCACAGTTCTTTTACAAGAAAAGACAATTTAATGGTGCATTTAAGGTTGCAGCATATTGCCAGTAACCATTTCTCTTGTAAACAATGTCCATACCATACCAAAAACTTCTCTAAATTAATCATCCATTGGATGAGATTTCATACAGGTAATAAGTTTTTTATCTCTAAATTTAATTGAATTTTTTTTTTAAATTTACCACCACAATCAATTAGGGAAAAAACTCCAATTTTGTGAAATTACATTTAGCAGTTATCTATACATCCCCACTGAGGGGCTCGGAGCCTACTTCAAGTTAGGGGTGTTATTTTATTAAATTCATAAAATATTTTCATTTCTCTTGGTTCGATTATCAATATCACTTCTTTATATGTTTTTTAATTTGTGGAACTTACATTTTTGAATTTTCATGTCTGTCTTCAATACAGTATTGTTACTCATTTATGCAATATTATTTTATTTAATTTCACAGAAAAACCTCTGAATTTTGAATGTGACCATTGCGGGAAGACAACAAGATCAAGAGCAGCTATTGCAAAGCATTTAGAAATACACGGTTTAAAGAAATTTCGCTGTGATGTGGTAATGTATTATTCATTATATACTTTGATGATACATAAAAAAAATATCCAACAAACCTTATAAGTGTTATCTTACTTGTATTATTTAAATCTCATTTGAATTAATGAGACTAAGCAAAAGGATGTTTGGTATTTGTTATGTTATAAATTAAAAAATGTTAAACAAATCTGCTTTTTCATGCTTTCAATGGAAAGCAGAATTTTGATGTGTGAGGTAAGTGCATGTTTATTGTTATTTATTATATTTTAATGGCATTTTACTATGTGCATTCTTTCTTTTATATTTTGTTATCTTAGTAGATTTATTTTATAAAAGTAAAAGCTTAAATGGGCCTTTTCCAAGTCCATATATTTAGAATACTGTTTACACATTAGAGATACACATTTTAGCAAAAGTCGGACCTGGATAGGTGAGAAACTTCTATAAACCAGAGTCATTGTTTAGACAGAGGATCTCCACAAGTGAGATACTTGGGTTAGAAACAAATTTCTATAAGTAAGGAAAGTGTTGCGGTGTCTGGTTTCTTGCTTATCCAGTGTCAATTTGATTTTAACTACATGTATCTTTATTTTGATATATTTGGTGTCATTCATTTCATCTTATCTCCTACAAAGTTACAGGGGTAAAGTTAGAAGCATAATAGCACTGGTTGTTTTCAAAATTCATGACAATTTACAGTAAGTGTTGTTTTCCAGTGTGGGTATGCGACGTTCACACTGGAGGTGTTGCGGCGTCACATCTTGACCCATGTGGAGGACAAGCCGCACAAGTGCGAGATGTGTGACCGCTCATACATCCAGCGCATACAGCTGCAGAAGCATATGGAGCGTCACTACGGATACATCTGCGGAGAATGTGGACACAACGCTAACACTAAAGCTGGGTACTATTAATATAAAAGCTAACTTTAATATGAATTATAAAAAATAAAATTAGCCAAAAAAAATCGTACTTTAACTTTATATGTAGTGTGATTTCAATTTTGTTTTGCATTGTTTCAGATTATTGATTCATAAACGAGAACATTTGGATTTAAAGAAATTAACTTGCCACTTTGAGGGTTGTTCATATTCTAAAAAGGAATTCAGAGATGAAGCCAGCCTGAGGAAGCACATCAAGGACCATGTCAATAATAAACGTGAGTTTAAATTATATCAGTATTGTTAAATCTAATAGGAAGGGAAAACTGTCTGTGGCACTTTAAAAGTGAAAGTCACTGTAAATATCCCACAGATGTACAAAAAAAATATTTTATAATTACAAAATACTCTGTGGACTGTAGTCATAGCAGTGACTTCCATCAAATTTAAAACAAAAAATTTTTTGACTTAAGCTCATTCCACAAAAATACTTAATTTTTTAATTGTAATGCACGTTATCTCTACTGCAATAAAAATTGATATATATTTTTAGTTTTTTATTTGCATGGACATATACTTTTAATATATAACAGCGTACTCGTGCGAGGTGTGCGGCAAGAGTTTCCACAACGAGGCATACATGCGCAAGCATGTGCAGACGCACACGCTGGAGCGGCCGCGGCGCTGCATGTACTGCGTGGCGGCGCGCGCCTACGTGCGCGGCGAGCAGCTGCTGCGTCACGTGCGCATGCAGCATCGCAACATCTTCCGAGAACATCTCACCCACGTGCGCCAAGTCCTGGTCAGTTATACACACACCACTATATTTCTCATTTACACTGCCTCAATAGTATTCATCATCATCAGCTCATTACACGTCCCCACAGAGGGGCTCGGAGCTTATATTAATATATATAGCTTTGATTTTTAAAATAATGCATAAACTTTCCGAGGAATTAAGGATTGAAAAATGGTTCAAGAAAAAAGTATATAATTAGATAACTAATATGACTTTAAATGTCATCCAAATATTTAAATCAACAGATTTAAATTGACATTGTATGTTAACTATTTATTTGTGTCAGGGGTCAAACGTGGGAACGGAGAGAGTAACGAAGTCTGAGCTGGACGCCATCCTGAACGTGCTGGATGCGGAGTCGGAGCGCATCATCGAGGGCTACGGCACCGGCGTCCTCTACGGTGGCATGCTCGAGGTCGAAGCTGACGCATCCTCACAAGATACTACCTCCACCAACACTAATGTCAGTCTCTTTTTATATTTATAATAAATACATTATCTTAAATTTGCATTCAGAACAATAACTAATTTTTGCTCTTTTTATTTTCCTTAGAGCGAAAGCAGTCCGCTGATGTCAGAAGAAGAGCTCGCAGAAAGTCTTAAAAAATTACTGAGTCAACTTATTGATAAAGAAACATTAGATATTTTTGGATGGCCGGACGAACCAGTAGATACGGTATGTAATATAATTAATAAGTAGTTTAACAAAAAAAACATAATCTCTACTTAGCTTATAATCAACAAAATAGTTAAGTGTGAAAATTGTTAAAATTACCTGGAATCTTGCTGTAATCTTACTAATATTATAAATGCAAATGTTTAAATGGATGGATAGATGTTTGTTTGAACATATCTCCAGAACTGCAGATCGGACCACAATGAAGTTTGGCATGTAGAACGTAGTCTGGAAGAATACATATGCTACTAATTAAGTATTTTTTAATTTCGCGTGGACGGATTAGCGGGCCACAGCCATATTATGAATGCATTATATAATTATTCCAGGTGTTAGAGAAAGTGATAGAGCAGTGCGGCGCACGCGCAGCTGATCGCGACAAGTGGACGCGAGTGCAGCGCCTGCGGGAGAACACCAAGCATTTATTCGTTTACGTAATCGATGACAAGAACATAGCGCGCATGCTCGACACACATACCATCGACCAGATCATCAAACACATCCTCGCACAAGTCGGTACAATCGCAACCAATACCAACAAAAAGTGATTCTAAGGTATAGCGCCATGTAAACTTTATTCCGGCTCACAAGGTATACGCGGCCCAGCTACCATCTGCCGCCATAAAGTTTGAATCTTATTATACCTTGACTAGGTATTTTGGATTTCATAGTTTATTTCTAACTTTACATAATTCCGTTTTTTAAGAACAGCCATTAACCAAGACAAGTATTGGAATTTTTCACTGAAATATAATTTTTTGCAATATTATAATAGTATGTGAATTATTAATTTAAGTTTGTTAACAAATCTTGCATATTTAAAGATTTTTTTTATATCATTACAAAAATGTCAGTTCGAAAAATTATTGTTAATTTTAATATAATGCAACTCAAACATATTGATTCAGTTCAGGCATGAGTTCTACTTTTCGTGGTCCAATAGTATGGTTGTTATCTGTTATTCAATAGTATATATTACATTTATTATTAGGATAGGTTATAGGAACCGAATATGTGCAATAATATCAATGTAGCACAAATGGTTTTTAAGATAGTGAAAATGCGAAGAAAAAATTAATAGAAAAATATTAAGAACAAATTTAATGTGACGTTAATCTGTTAAAATCATTATATTCGTACAATATAATGATCACATATTTTAAATATTTCAAGTTTTCAATTTTAGCATTTTATCTTATGTTTAACCGTCTTTAATTTTTGTCTAAAAATGAAAACGAAAATGAAATGTCAGAATTAGTAGGGACACAGTTATTTTGAGTAATAGAGCTTAAAATTATGTATATCTACGTTTATTTTATTAACGTTCGTTGTTATAAGTGTGATGAATAAAATATTTTAATATATTGACAGATTCAAGTTATATGCTAGGGAAAATATAAATGGCAAGATGTAAATATTTGTGAATTTACGTGCACTGTGTAGGCGGCGAGAGAGTATCTGCCATGACCATGAAGAGAAAATGCAGATTAAATAGCAACCTCTGAGGACGGGAGTTTATTATTTTTATTTAGTGTATTAAGTGAAATCCATTTTAAAGTTTGCTATGTACTATGTACCAATAATATTGAATTTTAATATTGTTAAAATAATTTACATGGATTGTTAATTATATTTTAAGTGTATTTGTATTCATTTGTTAATTTAATTTTGGTATTCTTTTTGTGGTGAGGTAGGGGTTATGTTTAATATTAAGTGCCTTATTTTTATACTTCAACTGTTAAAATGTAATGGGATGTGTATAATGGTTAAATTAAAATTTAGTTACTGAAAACACTTTAAGATATTGCGAGAAAGATTTAATAATAAAAGACTATTGTATTTTTAATGTCATTTTTTTTTCAATCAAAAAGTACAATAAGCAAACATTTACGTTTATGTAAAACATGTAAACATTTTTCTTGTGCAATTTTTGTTCGAAAGTTTCTTTCGGTGAAATGATGCCACATACGAGGAAAAAAGGGGTATATCTGATCTTAGTTGTATATTAATATCATTGACGAATATTCTAGAAACAAAATCTGCGTTTTCATTCAATTTTAATAATGGGAAAGGGGAAAAATATTTTTATGACGAGTTAAATATTTATTGGATCTTAATTAACGCTCTTTTATTAATTTCTGACTAGTACTGTGCTGGCAATTTTTACAGAAACGTCAATGTCAAAACTTAAATGTCAATTGTGTCAATGTCATTAAAGTAATCAAAAACTTTATTGGCTTTAGTTGGTCAATGTTGAATTGGTTCAATGGTTATTTGCAAATTGTAAGCTGCAAACGTGATTTCTTACTAACAAAGTCACCTTAAATAACAAAAATGTCAACATCTGTTCCACTTATTGTTAAATTACTGGCTTCTTCAGTTTCTGTGGCAAATAGAGCTGGAAAAATTGTGAGAGATGTTATGAGTAAAGGAGAATTAGGTATAGTTGAAAAGGTTTGTATTTTCTTGAAACTTACGTATATTAAAACTCACATGCGATTATGATTACGGTACCCTGATTTAAGTATAACGTTAGAAAGTATTTTTTATTTTGTGTGACGATTTCTCTTGCAGGGTAAAGATGATTACCAAACTGAAGCAGACAGATCTGCGCAACGATGCATTATTGCATCACTTGCCGCGCAATATCCAAATATAAATATTATTGGTGAAGAAGATAATCCTGACACTGAGGTAAAAAGCATTTGTTCATATTTGTTGTGATTACATCAAGCAACATCAATTGGAAACAGAATTAGAGTTATTTGAATGAAGCAAAGACTTTTTCATAAACCATTTGTTTAAGGGTGATGTTCCAAGTGATTGGATAGTTATAGACACAGACAAAGATGTTCTGTCTTTGGAGTGCCCTTCGAGTCTGCAAGGTGTGAAGGAAGAAGACATTGTTGTGTGGGTAGATCCACTAGATGGTACATCAGAGTACACTCAAGGTAAAGTTTAATTTTTTATATATTGACAATAGTTTAATAAGTTGTCTTAGAAAAAGTGGAATAAATGTTTAAACATCAATATACCTTACTTTACAATGTTGGTCATAAGATTATGTGGTCGACGATTTCAATTTATTTAAAACTATTGTAAGGTCAGGATTTCTATTTTATATTATATGAAATTTAAAGGCAAATTCACTTTTCCATTCATATAAATACATGTTCAATTAATTCACAGATTCTGTTTTTAAAGTGCTAAGCCTTTTAAGTCTCTGAAGCATAAAATTAGATATTTAAAAAAGTGAAACAAAAAAATGTATTTATAATCATGATCATTTATAGCAAGGTCAAATCACTGAATAGTTTGCTGGTTACAATTAGGAAGTGACACTGAACTAAATTGCTTTAAATTACTTTAAAAACTATTTTTTTCTTCACGTTGTAATAATTTTATTTTAACATGTGAGATATTGCAAAACTGAGTTAATTATTTAAAGTACATATTTGCTAATTATGTTTTCCTATGAATCAAATATCCCTTAAGTTGTTTAAAATCTTCTAGGTGCCCTAATGTTGAAGAGAGATCCATGGGAAAGATGGAAAATGTATTTGACACATCCATTTATTAGTATTAAATGGTATTTAAGTTTACTGCAATCAAATTATGGTAAATGGAAAATTTGAAAGTAGTAGGTAGCAAGCTTTTTTTATGTATTTAAATTATAAGGTCACTGATAGATTTTCTAACTCATATTAACATCAATTTACTTTAACATTTATTACAAACCAATGTATAAAGAAATGTAATTTGTCAATGACCTGATTGCTACTGGGTTTTATTAATATTCATTCCTTTTGTATAATATAATTAAACACTTCAGGGATGTTTTCTTTATGACTAACATTTGTATATAGCATGTTGCATGGAAATATTTTAAAGACTATTTTGATAATAGAATCTCTTTTTTGTTTTAGGTTTTTTGGAACATGTCACCGTTTTAATCGGAATCTCTGTAAATGAGAAGCCAGTAGCTGGTGTTATTCATCAGCCATATTATAAGACATTAATTGATGGTGAAAAGAAAATGGGGAGAACTATTTGGGGTTTACAAGGTGTGGGTGTAGGTGGCTTCACTCCCGCACCACCACCAGATTCCCTCATCATCACAACTACAAGGAGTCACTCTAATGCCCTTGCGGAGAAGGGACTGCAAGCTATGAATGCCAGTCAGGTGTTAAGAGTTGGCGGAGCTGGTTATAAGGTAATTATTTATTTTAGTGTGCTTTGCAAGATTTTTCATTCCATGTCCCAAATAACGTAATGTAACAAATTATTAATATAATAATTCATGATGTAACATTAGAAGCTCTTTTACATCTCATTATAGGAAATATGGATTACATAATACATGACAATGTTGTTGTAATAGTATGATACAAATTATCAGTTATTTGCTTGCTGTTAGAAACCAACGAATGCAATAATTGATAACATAATGTCATATCTGATTAGAAGAATTTATACCGTGCTGATAAAGTAATCAAAAGACCAATGACAATGAAGACCTATAGCACCAGTCAGTAGTCAAAGAATATAGCACAAAATGACGTCATACAACTTGTTTTTTTTTTATGATGACCAAATGATAAAACTAAATGAAATAAATGCTATTGTTATTGATAAATTAGAAAGGTTTTAATTCAAGTACAAGGAAATATAATTGAATTGATATTGAAATCACACAACCTTGATTAAAATTAGTTTTCCATCAAGGTTATAAGACTAAAGAACTTAATAAAGAAATGCTATTCATGTTTTAGTCTATTGTGCCAAATAGAACAAGTAACCTGTCCTCCATATGCTACGAGTATTGAAGATATTATGAACATATTTTGAGTTTGGACACCAATAGGGGAAAAATAATAAACTTATTTTACTTTTCAAATCTGTCTCATACTAGTTTTTATATTAAATGTATTTTTATAGGTTTTACAGCTTTTGGAAGGTGTTGCATCAGTTTATTTATTCGCTACCAGTGGTTGTAAGAAATGGGACACATGCGCGCCGGAAGCGGTGCTGTCTGCGGCGGGCGGCAAGTTGACTGACATTCTCGGCAACTACTATAAATATGGAGCCTCGGAACAAAGACTCAATAAAACCGGAGTCCTTGCAGCTGTCAACAATGAATTGCATAGTTATGCTTTGAGCAAAATACCTGAAGAACTAAAGGAATTACAATCTAAAAAGTAATTTTTTATAACTCTGTACATATGTATATAAAAGGGAAATAAAAGATTTTTTATATTTTTTTGTTATTTTATTTGTACAATCAACAAAAATTAGTATCGAAATATTTAACAGGGAATGTAAAAATGTTCTTATCTAAAATAAAATGTCATGACTGCTTTTTTTGTAGCAGTAATAAACTATTATTAGCGAGTTTGAGATAGCATTAAATTATTGGCCCAAAATTCTCGTTAGTTTTATTACTACTGCATATAAACAAATTGCAAAACTTCGTAGAGGTATTTTTCGTTTATTTTAAATTACTTTATTACTAATGTAATATATAACAATGGGGGTATAAAAATAAAACCATCACCATACAATGGTTCATAAAAACATGTAACATTTGTAAATTCCATAACCTTGGCAAAAAAAAAAATCAATTAAAAACATTGATATAAATAACACAATCATTTGAGACTAGCAATTAATACTATAATTTTACTATTTATGCCTATAGTTTACTTTTTGTAATATTACTTGGTAATAGAGCCTTAAGTTCGCGACGTAATATCTTTCCGGACGCATTCTTTGGTATATCGTCGACGAATATTACTCCACCACGTAAATGCTTTGCCGGCGATACCTGCAAATTGTCATTTTTTTTTACTTAATAGACGGAAGATACACAGAAAGATTTCCCCTTTTTACTGCCTCCTCTAACAAAACGACTTATCCTTCCACTTTATTTATAAGCGAAGGAAAAGGGGAGTAACATTAAGCCTCCGGCACTCACACATTGGAGTGAAATTGCTTCCATCTCATGTCTTCTGTGTGGTACATTAAATCTTTCTCCTTTTAATTTTTAACGAATTTCCAATGCCGAAATATATCAAGTTGTGTATAATTTCTTCATAATTCCAAAGTTTACACATTGTAAAAAAGGTAAAAAATAAAAGTGTTACCTTGCCGGCTACATATTGCACAATTTCTGTCTCTGTGACGTCAGAGCCGGGCAGGCGCACTACGAAGGCGGTGGGCAGTTCGCCCGCTACCTCGTCCGGCGCCCCCACCACCCCGCACTCCGCCACACCTGGGTGCTGCAGCAGCAGCGCCTCCAGCTCCGCCGGCGCCACCTGTCGACAAAAAACACAATCAATCTTTCTTTTCTATATTTTTGACTTCGCAATACACCATCTATATACGGTATCAAATCATTCAAATGATGTTTACTTCATAAATTAAGTGATTAACTAACTCATAATTGGTTACACCACCCTTGGAGTTAGACATTTTATATTAAAACTACTGAAGACTTCCTTTAAACAATTATGAGTTGCCCTATAATATTAAAATTGTTACAAGACTGTTAAATTAAGTGTTGCAAGCATTTAAAATCTAAGAAAAGGTTCTATTAACATTTTATTAACTTTATAACCCTTAAAATATAATAAGTTCACTTACTTGAAATCCCTTATATTTAATAAGCTCTTTTAAACGATCGACGACGTAGAAGAATCCATCTTCATCATAATATCCAATGTCTCCGGTCCTCACATAACCTTCCGAGTCAATTAGTGCATCACTGGCTGCCTGATCCCCCATGTAACCTTTCATACGCAAAGGTGATTTTATCCACAGCTCTCCTTTCTCTCTTGCAGGTAATAATTTGCCAGTTTCAATATCTATAACCTAAAAAACAATAGTTTAATAACACGTAAATTTGGGAGGAACGCCTTTTTATTGGACACTAACAATTTACTTTTTGTATATCAATCTTATTTAAGATAAGAAGAAAGTAAAGCGACTGCGTCCGCGCGGAATTAAAATAAAAACATAAAAGTAGCCTATGTGTTTTTCCAGACTATGTTCTATGTGTGTGCCAAATTTCATTAAAATCCGTTCAGACGTTCCGGAGATGCCTTCAAACAAACATCCATCCATCCAACCAAACATTCGCATTTATAATATTAGTAAGAAGTAAGATGTGAGCTATTACCAAAATGATTTTTATTATACAATTTAAACTTAAATAACATGGCACTTCATATTGACTGCAAACGGAAAAACGTGGGAAATCTTTTTCTTTTCAACCATTATTTTAACAATGCATTTATCATTAAAAAAATATTTTTGCATAAAACCTTTTTTATAAGACAATGTCATACCTTAATCTTCATTCCTGGAGCAGGAGTTCCACAGGAGCCAATCTTTTCTCCGCTTGTTAAGTCCACACAACATGCCATTGTCACCTCTGTTAACCCATAACCTTGTTTTATAAAGTCTATACCAATTCTGTAATAAAAAGATTACTATTGTTATAAATATAGAAAATTGGATTCGTAAAATTCTTTCAACTAAATCTAATTATGATGAATTTCAAAGTTAAACTTGTATTAAAACATATAATTACCTTTTTCATACTCTTTGATTACACAAAGACTACAATATGTACAGTCAGCGTCATATAGATCGTAACAGACAAGATATGCAAATATATAGGTACACCAAAAGTAATCAATTATATCGGTACAACAAAAGTCCTCAAATTAATAGATACATTCACCCTGCTCAAATACATCGGTACATACACAGCGTCAAATATATGAGTACATGCAAGGTTCCCATAAATATCGTAGCAGCCACAGCGTCATAAGTAGCGAAGCAATCAAGGTGTGCAAAAATATCGTAACATTTGACAAAATTGAACTCTATCTCTATATACTTGTGATACAAATTGGAATAAACTACTTCTGTTACATTCATTTGACACTTTGTATTAACATTAAAGGTTGTCCGGAAAGTTCGTTCCGATTTTCGATAGGAAGCATAGAATAGACTGTAGCTAAAGTGGATTCATTTTCGGATTTCCACCATTATCAAACGTCACAAAAATTTATATATTGTGAATAATTTCATTTAATTGGTTGAGATAAAAACTAATAAAAAAAATAGTGGCTTGGGATTTGAACCGCCGACCTTACGTACCAACGGCGGCGAACGGTAAGGCCACGAGACCAAACTAGAACTAGAATGCAAAGTGTCAAATGAAAATTAAAAAAATAAAGTGTAAGTACCTTCGTTTTCAACTTCCGCATGAGGAGCGGTGGTTGTAAAGAGTATATAAAGCGACGAATGGCAATCACTAGGTCAGTCGATATCAGACCTTTGAGTCGGCAAGTCGTGTCGCTGCATGAGCGAGACAAATGTAGTCCACCGAATGCCGAAGAAGAAGAAGAAGAAGAAGTACTTATGATGCTGTGGCTGCTACGATATTTATGGGCACCTTGCATGTACTCATATATTTGACGCTGTGTATGTACCGATGTATTTGAGCAGGGTGAATGTATCTATTAATTTGAGGACTTTTGTTGTACCGATATAATTGATTACTTTTGGTGTACCTATATATTTGCATATCTTGTCTGTTACGCTCTATATGACGCTGACTGTACAATACAGGTGTCACAGAAGTTAGAAGCCAAAGTTTTGGGCCATTGGTATAAGGATCGGATAAAACCGTAGGGCACAGCTAGGCAAATAAATATTGAATGCAGTGCAATTATTACCTTTGGCAGACCATTTTCTGTATGTCACTGGACAGTGGGGCTGCTCCGCACCAGATTTCAGTAAGAGAACTTAGATCATATTTTGTGACTAGTGGATTCTTTGCTAAGAATACTGCTAATGGTGGGACTATAGTTGTCATATTAACCTGGAATTCATAACTTATTTTTTAGAAAAAAATGCTCTGCATATTTTTTTATGGATTACCAAGATAAATTTGTTGCTGGCCAGTAACAATATTTTTTATAAGTCTAAGTAATTATTATCAGTATATGAGATAATTTATAAAATACTTAGATAATAAAACTTATTTACAATAAATTAATTTATAGATATTGTGCATTTTTAGAAACATGTGTAAAAGTATGAAGCATACCTTATATTTTTGTATAGTTTCCAAAAACTGTTCTTCATCAAAACGAATGAGGAATACTACTTCAATATGCATGCACATGACTGCCATTGTTGTGATGAAGCCATATGCATGGAACCATGGTATCAATGATAGTCCTGTTTTAACAACCTGCTTTTTCTTCCCTTGAGATGCTGCTAAGTAGTACCTGAAAGAATATTGAAAATTATGTCACATTAAAAATGTAACATATTCCATGCTACTGCAATTTTTATATATAAATGACCTTATCAGGTGTTAACTGTTAATTATCATAATTATGAATTTGCGGAAATATATAAGTAAAGTATAGTACTGTACAATATTTCCAGTAATTTGAAAATGTATGTTTATGTAGAAAAGTTCTAAAAATGATATAAAGTTTACATTATGCCAATACAGTAGGACAATTGTTAAAATCAGCACTGGGATACAACTGGCATAATGTAAATAGTAACTAGTGCTAGTGAGTCAACAAAGTCCATACCAGACCTGCGCTACTTTCCTACTTAACCATAATGTAAACTGGGTATTAAAGAATTAACTTACTTCATATGGGAAGATAATGTAAGAAAATTAACATGCGTAAGCATTACAGCTTTAGGCAGGCCAGTGGTGCCCGAAGAGCACATAACAGCTACAGGATCCTCAGCTCCATTTACATCAGCCAACATAAAGTCATCTACATCCACATGCTTCTTAACAAGCTCATTATAAAAAATCGATGGCACAACATCATACTCCCCAAATAATATAATATTTTTAACAAATGCTAGATCTTTGCTACAATCATATAGATTTTGAGCAATAATTGGCGATGAAAATATAAACTTTGGTTTTATAATTTGTAATATATGTGCTAATTCTCCTGTAAAAGAATGTATAAATGTAGTTTATTTTAATAAACATATAAGAGAAATCAAGTCTATTAGTTAATTTTACTATCTTTTATATATATCTTACCTGGTGTATAAGTGACATTGAGAGTAGACAATATAGCACCACAAAAGATCACAGCATGAGACGCTACCACAAATTCGAACCGATTCTCACTGCTCAGTGCCACTACATCTCCTTTTTTCAGTCCAAGTGCTCTGAGAGCTTCTGCCAGATTAACACTGCATTGCAATATATACTTGTATGTAACACTTTCCCCTGTTTCTGCACTTATCTATAAACCAAAATTCACCCAATGACAATTTAAACCATATTATAATTTCAAATGAAAATGTTGAATTCATAGGGTACTAACCAGAGCAATTTTATTCTCGGCTTGTTTAAATTTATCATATATAAATTGTCCATAGGATAGATGACCAGGAATAAGCACTTCTTCAGGACCAGAAACGACATTGTTGTGAATTGTAGCCGGCATTCTTAATTCACTTTTTTTTTAAATTAACTTGTTATCTTTTTCGACAGACACTTTTATCCTTAGTGAACAGTAGATTAATAATTATCGTAATCGTAGTAATTGATAATATGAAACTTTTAACGGAGGAACGTGTGAGTCTGAGAAACGATCATTAAGGTTAATTCATAATATGTACTGACCTGATAAAATAATCGAATTTGACATTTAGGAGGGCGGAGCGTTAGCAAAAGTAAAAAAGTAAATTACAAAGTTACAAAGTCCAAAAGGACGAGATAAAAAACTGAATAACATTAGGTAAGTTTATTTTTGTTATCATACTTGTGAGGTAATTCATAAGATTTGGTGATATTATTTGAGTTTTATGCAAGTAACTGTTTCTCCACACTTAAAATCCTTTCCTCTCAAAATGTTAATCAAATAAAATTGAGCCACGCGATGACAATACGACGAGCTGAATAAACCGACTTCGAAACAAAAAAAGGTTTTTTTTTCTTTCAAGGTTTCGTTCAAGGAACTATAAAAAAATCCACAACAAAGTAACAAAATAATATCATGAATACCAAAACCTTAAAAAAGCAAAAAACTCTCTTCTTTCTTGTAATTGTGTATAATTATTGTTATTTCGGAGTCGGTGTAGGCCGAGTTAGTAGATTAGTGTCATTTATATTAGAGACTAACTTTTGCCCGCGACTTCGTCTGCGCAGTAATAAAATTCAGGTCAGAAGTTTTAATTTTGCCTTCCATTTCTAGTTTCGTTATTAAAACTAAGCAACTATTCCAATTACTTACAAATACCAGCAACCATCTGCAATCTCATAGAATCTGCAATCATCGTCATACACTTGCAATCACCAAGAACCATCTACAACCTAATAAAATCTCCTACAACCACCTGCTTCTACCTGCAATCACCTGGATCCACCTTTTGCCACCAGCAAATACTTGCAATGACGTTCAACTATCTGGATTCACCTGCAACTATCTTCAATCACCTAAAAACTGAAAGCACCTACAATCACCTGCAACCACTTACGACCACCTAAGTTCTGCTGGAACTTCCGCTGTGGATTTTTTGCTTTCTCTCTCTTTCTTCCTCTTCAGCCATATGACGCCCACTGCTGAACATAGGCCTTTTCCAGAAATATGTTATGTTAACCGCTTTTTGCTTTAATTAAAGAAGCCTTTTTTGTAGTGTTAAAATTATAGACTTAATTAGTGATGTACATTTTAAAATTTGTTATTATGTACATTACATTCTTCTCAGTTTATATTTATAATAATGTTAATTGTGCAAGGCCCTCAAAAATTTATTTATCATATACCGTTGTAGTTCCGTGGGAGGTGTACATGCCTACAGTTTACGCGCGTAAGTTTAAATTCATTGTAAAATAGTTCTAAAATAGTTTGGATCTTTTATTATTGTATATATTGTGTAAAACATTTATATCGACAAACTAAAATTAAGTATGTATTTGGTACGTTACACCATTAAATAAATATTTACAAAAGAAAAATATTTTCTTAACACTTTCAGCCTTGGTTTTTTATTGTCATGTTTCATTCGTTTTTACTTTTAATTAAGTGACTGAGATGCACACTAATTGTGTAACGGTAAATTTGCTGGATTCAAAATTAATAATTAACTACCTCATGATTTGGTTAATATGAATGTTAATTAAAATTCATCACTTTTAGCCCTTTTCATTTTTTCGATTCAATTTACACGACTCTCGTCGGTAAAAATATTTTTTTTGATACTTTACCTGCCGTGAAGTTTGTTCACACTCACCATTTTTTATTATAAATACAACTAGTAGCAGTATTAGTTACGCCTGCGAGATTTCATTTTTCAATTTTTTTTTTGTTTTTATATGTATGAAATATGGAAATGTAGACGGATATTGTTTAAACTTAAAGTATAGATAGATTGTAATAACTCTTATTTACGGTAATGTAAGCACGTTTTTATAATATTTTATAAGAATTACTAGGCAAATAACCCGTAATTAAAAGAGGTCACCGACGCCCAAGGTATATTTGCAACAGCAGAGGAACCGCAGTTGCAGTTGCGGCTGTGCGAGGCAGAAAGTTTCGCGAAAACCGCACGGTTTGGATGCAACCTGGCGGTAGGTCTTCCGATGACGGAACTCATCAGAAACAATTCTTCGGAGGACTCTTAGAAGTAGATATAATATAATAAAATTATTTAAGGAATCCGTTTATTTCATTTTATTTTTACAGTTGGTCAAGTTTCTGGTGCATTAGGTATACGTAAACAAAAATGGTTATAAAGAACAACGTGGTTTACGGTGGGCCCGCATTGAATGTTCCTGCTCATCTTTCTTTTGGACAATATATAATCGACAAACTAACAGAACTCAGTATTGATGATACAAAAATTGCTTTGGTAAGTTTTGAAGTTGTAATTTGTTTTCAAGGTAAAAATACTTTATTAGCATATATCCTTGTAAGGTTATTGCGCGGTTCATAATAATGTTAATAATCAATTTCAATTGTTTCTTATTTTCCGCAGGTCATTATCTAAAATCATGACCTAAATTTGCGAAAATAATGGATGGCATCATTGGCATGCATTTTCAAAACAAAAACACAATAAAATCATGTTTATTTTTTGAATGTATCTTTGTTTAATTTGTTTTAGTTGTATTATTGTTTAAGGTTCATGGTGATAGTGATGAAAAAATATCGTATAAACAACTTCTACATGATATGGTAAGCTTTGCTACCGGTCTGAGACGCCATGGCGTAACGCGCGGTGTCATCGTGGCGATGTGCAGTGAGAACAGACTGCAGTACATGGTGGCCACCATGGCGGCAATTTGTTGTGGTGCCACCATCACAACACTTAATCCACAATATACTAAAGGTGAGTTAAGTGTTATTGCTCGATCCGACTTACGGGTGATATTTTTCGTAGTCGTACAATTTGTTTAACGTGAATTGATTTAACTAACAATTATTTTGTATATTCTAGATGAGGCTATTCATGTCTTAAATATTTCAAAACCTCCCATACTAATAGCATCGGAAACAGTACTCAAACAAAACCTAGCACTGTATAAAGAGGTGGGCTGTATAAAGACATATATTCAAATGAATGGGCAAGCCGTTGATAGTGATATAGTTCCATTTAACGAGGTATATGTGAAGGTAGAACCACAAGGATTTGATACTGGAGATGTGCAAGGCGCTATAGATACTCTATATTTGTTATATTCCTCGGGGACCACTGGACTTCCCAAAGGTGTAATGTTGACGCACCTAAATGTTTTATATGCTGCATCAAATTTAATGTAAGTTAGCTTTTACGATATTAAGCTTATAATTATTAGGAATTAATGAAATAAAAAAATTAAATTGAAGTTATAAATAAAAAGAAGGTTTTACTGAAAACATTTCTCCCTTTTCACTTAGGAGCGACAGTTTGGAGAGTCGGTCGCGGACATGTTACTTGACGGTGGTGCCGTGGTACCACGCGTATGGTCTCATGACAACCATAAACAACCTTATCAACGGCAAGATGATCGTATACTTCCCCGGTTTTTTTCCGGAAAAATACTTGCAAGCAATTGAGAAGTATAAGGTTATATTAATTACTATGTTTATCGATTATTTAGGGTCATAAATATTTTTGGGTATATCTAGATCTGAACAAGAAGTTCAATAATAAAACCGATATCTCGCTTGTCCTTTCAAGTCTGGACGCACCCTTAAGTCGATGCTATTTAAATGTAAATTATATTATATTTGGCAGGTTAATGTACTATTCACAGTACCTCCTATGATGATATTCTTCGCGAAGTCACCGCTGGTAGAGAAGTACGACATGTCGTCAGTGAAGCTGGCGTGGTGTGCTGCGGCGCCGCTCTCTACTGACACCATCAGACAAGTTATGCGACGGTAAAATTGTTCATATTCATATAATTTAATTCTTAATTAAAATTCTTTATTCAAAAAGGTTGTTGTTAAATTAAGGTTTAAAAGTATACAATGTTTCAATTTAAGTTTAAGCTAGGAAGCGATAAAATTCGAATTTACGAACTTATTCGGCCCAGAAAATGCACATATATTACTTGGTTTTATTTATTGTATGCAGTTTGCCGAATTGTAAGGGTATTCTGCAAGCGTATGGTATGACGGAGACATCGACTGCTGCCACTAAAGACCCTGAGGATGATGCCACCATTCACAAGCCGGGTAGCGGGGGCCCGCCGTTACCGGGAGTTAGCGTTAAAGTATACAACATTTTTTTTTTAATTTTATTCTTGGCTTCATGAGACCTTAAAAAATTAAAAATATAATTTGTCTTACACATTATAGCGATGCGAGAATTTGAAAAAAGCTTATGTTAATACAACAATAATTTTCTTACTTTAGGTTGTCGATATAAAAACCAGGAAGAGATTAGGACCTTTAGAGACCGGTGAAATTTGTATCAAAGGCCCCGTTGTGATGAAAGGCTATCTTGGTAACGATGCTGCTAACCGCGACATCATGGACGACGAAGGATTTATCAAGACGGGAGACATAGGTTACTATGACCACGACGGATACTTCTTCATTGTGGAGAGAATAAAAGAATTAATCAAATACAAAGGACATCAGGTATGATTCAATTAGCGAAGAAAAGAAACTAAAGTGTCATCCAATATCAATCTTGATCTAAAAAAGACAGTAAACATCCAGGAGTTAATGGTCTTCGATTTACGAGAAACGATCCTTGTTAATCTGTCAGATGATGAAGATAGAAATGCATTAATAGGTGCCGCCAGCGGCAGTGGAAGGTGTAGTCCTGCAGCATCCGGCTGTGGCGGAGTGCGGCGTTGTAGGAGCGCCCGACGAGGAGGCCGGCGAACTGCCCACCGCCTTCGTCGTTGTTAAGCCAGGACAAAAGCTTACCGAGAGAGAACTGCTAGATTTTACCAATACAAAGGTATGTACGAAGGAATGAATGCATACGAAATTAGCATGTCACCTCTGACTAGAGTAGGATTGAGTCGATAATTTTATCAGTGACAAAGCTGGCTATGACAACATGTGGTGTTAATAGATAAACTCGATAGTGAATAAAGCTGAAAGAATTGGGCTTAAGGATATGTCTTTAAATATTTACATATGTAAACAATTTTTCAGTTATCGCGCGCCAGCCAGCTACGTGGCGGCGTAATATTCGTTAATGAAATTCCCAAAAATCCATCCGGCAAGATACTGCGTCGCGTCCTCAAGCAAACATTACAAAAGAAGATTAAGAATAAATTGTGATACAATTTATATAATTTTGATATACGAATTCTTACATAAATAATGTTTATTTATTGGTAAAGGATTTTATAAATGTCATTATTGTTTTTTTTATTTTAAAAAAGTCAACATAACTTACATAACAAAGGATCTTGAACTAAATTTTAACGTTAAAGAGACTCTTAAAATTACTTAATTGACAATTTCGTTTTACTTAGTATCTTAATCAAATGTAACGTAGAATGAAGGTCCCGTCCCTTGGCGGCATGATTGATAGAGAAGCAAAAATAAGTCGATACCCGATCACTTTGCGCGGGGACGTATTGCGCTCGCCAATCCAATTACCTTTAATGGATGAACGAACTCCCAGAGCTCCAGGGTGGGTGGTGCAAATTTGGAAAATTGATAATCGCTTAACCATTTTACGATGGCTATTCTACCTTTATTTGCAGTATTATTAGTTTCATTTGCATTATAATAATAGGTCGAATATTACTTCATACAAAATGATTAACCTCGTTGGAGTTTTAGGTTGAGTCAAATGGGACTACAATTCTCCGACATACGGATGCAAAATAACTAAAGAAATGTATTAGAAATACCGTTAATTTGGCACATGTGGTATAAACGGAGGAATCTTCTGCTTCGGTAATGTAAAAAAAAAACAAGATGCACGTAATTAACAATGTCTGTATTATTTGCGACCAGACCAACAACAGCTTACAATAATAAGTTCCTTAAGATGACTTTTTTTATAATATTGACCGTAACAATTTATTCCATTCGAACCTTCTTAATTAAGCCTTGTCACTTGAAGCGGATTACGAGTGTAATCCTAGCTTTAGTTACGCACTATATCGAGCGACATAATATCGCAGGAAGTTCTTAAAAGTACATCGTCAATGACCAGAGCAGGTCATGAAACCAAGGACATTATATTTTTTAATACTTTAATCCCATATTGTGTCATTTGATCGCTTCCTATTTAGTTCACCTACTCGCAATACCATTGTTATTTAGGTATCTGCTTTATATATAGAAAACTTCTATTAATTGAAGAGCGGGTTGGTAATGAATACTAACGGACACAGTTGCTTCTTATAAATATTCTACACTGCACACACACATCTACGAAGTAAGTTTAAGCTATAGAATAAAGGTAAGTTATTGTGTTGATTTAAGCTGTATAAAAAACGTTAAATAATTAATATAATATCTAAAGATCCTATTCCTGAAGCATTCGACCAGACATCGCGATGCTGTTCAAAGAAAATAAACATCGCCTGTAAGATAGCAGCGCGTCATGGAAGTACGAAATATTTAGCGAGCCGTCAATTTACTTTTCAAACTTTAAAGACGTCCGAATTCATAATCTGAAAATGTAAAAAAAATATTCTTAAACATTTGGAACAAGTTTTTATATTAAAGTAAACAAATTATTCGTTCTTTTAACGCAATCAATTTAAATATGAGTTCAAAATTATCTCGATCGTAAACTCGATCTATTTCGACTATTTCCGTGTCATGAATGAATTAAAAAGTCGGCTCCGAATAGATATCTTTAGTGGGGTATAAAATTTAATATGTCTCGTAGGTTTCGTGAGTCCGTGACGCGTGGAGTTAATCGGTTTAGCGCGGGAGAAGTGCGCGCATCGCACGGGAAGGCGACTCGGCCGCACTCGCTCGGCCCATCCGCGAATCGGCACACGCGCCACTTCACATTCCGACTATATTTTAAAATCGGCACGACTAGGCGACGCGGTATACGAAACCATGTACGGCTAAGAGCTGACAATGTCGGGAAACGGTCAGAATGAGGAGGGTGCGAAGGAGAGCAGCGGCGGCGGAGGCGGCGGCAGTGGTGGCGACGATGGCCGGGATATGTACCGTCCGAAGAACGTGAGCACGGTGGTTCGCGTCCTGACGGTGACGGCGTACCTGCTGTCGGTGTCGATGGCAGCCATCCTGCTCTCCGTGTACTACGTGTTCGTGTGGAAGTCACCGGAGCTGCCTGTAGACGGCGCACGGCTCGAAGCTCGCCGAGACCACGGCGCCTATCTCGCTTCCCTGCACAACCACACCGACGATTACTATGATTTCGGTTACCTGGGTATGTTGCTCTACTACTTTCATATACATTTACCATACATTAAAATACATATAAATATAAAACATTTAGGTAATAAAAATTTATATTTTTTATTATATATTAGGTATATAATATTTAAATGTATAAGAAATACATTTTTATTTCTTCTGGGCTAAGGATGTATACTCAGGGTAACGCAGAAGGGTATACTATCCATCACAATAGATTATGGACTTTATCTATCTTAAGTATACCCATCATTTCTTACAGCCATTGCTTTTCATAATTAATAATTAAATAAATTTGTAGACACGTTAAGTTGAAAATAAATCATACTTGTTGTAACACAAACTATATCTAGTAATACAATAAGGCAAATGAATCTCAATCCTCAATAATTTGTGATATCAAAAGTCAAGTCCGACTACTACCGAACATATGTTAATTTCGACAAAATATAGATACGATACGATAACATCACTGTTTAACTTTTTAATTAGTTTATGAAAAAGCCATCAAGTAAATGAGCCTAACTGTTTATCGTTTAATTAATTAGATGGTGGAACGAAACGTTTTCAATTATAATAAGTAATAACCTATAGCTAACTGTGACAAATATAGTGTTTGAATATCCAATACTTACATCATTACAAATACATACATATGTGATGTATTTTGTTTAACAACTTGTTAAACAAAATGTGCACGCAAGTAGCAATATGCAAGTCATTAATCTTTTGAATTTGCCGATTGTTGTTTTTATCGTTTTTTGTGTTGCTTATGTTCCAAAATTACTTATTTGGTAAATCTTATACATGTACCCAATATGTCGGAATTGATTTAACATAATATAAAAGAAGCTATCAGTCCTTTCGCCGCACGTATTAAGCGACTTCAAAAAGAAGGAGGTTCTCAATTCTGTATGATATTTTTTTGTAGCATACAATCATTATTTTTACAAGAAATACGTTTTTTAGGGATTCAGGAAATATCCTGTATGGATCTACATAATGAAACTTACATATAATATGTAAGTTTAATGTATTTTGTCCCATTCGGCGTCGAGACCCTTGGTCCGTGGGGGCTTTAAGACTTTTTAAGGACATATCCAAAAAATCAATCGACATCACAGGGGACCGAAGAGCTGGCAGCTACCTCGGACAAAGAATTAGTTTAGCTATCCAGAGGGGGAACGCTGCCAGTATCTTCGGGACCTTGCCTAAAGGGACTCCTTTTAATATATTTTAATAAATTATTCGTTTTTAATATTTTATTTAATATCATAGATTTAAGACTATTCATTAGATTCTTTGTTAGTTTATTGTTAAATATAAACTCATTTACTTTGTGAATTTGCAGTTTAATGTAGGTCCATTCTATTGTCATCTCGTGTAGCTTATGGCTATAGCAAAAGTTACGTTCGATTCTTATTCTTTATCAGAATGTCATAAGGGTACAGTATTTCTTGTTCTTTCAATTCCGGCGTTAAAAAAATAAGTTCATACAATTCCCTAGCAGATTAGTTAAGCCTAGATTTTTTTATGGTAATTTAACAAACTAAACATTCAACATATCTTAAAACATTACCTAGTATAGAATTCTTTATAAAGTTGTATAAAAAACCTCATATCACAATTAATTCCAGCCAAAACTCTAAAAGCTGAGATATATTAGTAACAAGAAGGAATATAAACTACTTTTATAACTAAAGTTCATTTCATGTGCTACTCGTATATTTGTTCCGGAAATTAGCACATTGATGATATACAAAAATTCTAACCGTAGCGGCATGGAATGTGTTAAACTGCTCTGGTTGTCCGACTTGAAAGAGCGACTGATATTTTCCTTAGCTACACAATAAACAAAATAACGATTACGGCGAAGCCTCGCAAGTTATTAAATATGCTGAATATTTTCCTCCCCACGCTCGATGCGGTTTCGTGCTGTCACTAAGCTCCCTTTCTGTGTAAAGGGTGTAAAGACGTGCATCTAATCTAGGACTGAGAAGCCTTTAAAAGATCGGGTCATGGCATCCGATATTTCCGAGAAATCAATATTTGTTATAAACCAATTTGAAGGTTGGCTATTTTATACATAAACTTTATTAGTTATATATAGAAATGGGATGCTACAATCTTATAATAGTACTTAGCTTAAACTTAAAACTCTTTAAGAATTCCATACGCCGATGATATTTGATTCGATTTATTTTATTGATTTTTGGATTAGCGTACAATTATAGGGTGATTTAATAGTTATGTTACTAATATTATAAATGCGAATGTTTAGATGGATGGATATTTGTAAACGGATCTTGATAAAATTAAGCACAGACGTAGAACATAGTCTGGAAGAAAAAATCGGCTACTATTTAAGTTTTTTTTTAATTCGCCGCGGATCGGGTCGCGGACCGCTAGTATTTACATACTTCTGAAGCTTCTTTAATTCAAAATGACTAAAGTCCGGTTTCATTAGTATTCGGTTCAGTGCTAAATTTGGGACTAAAAATTATAATCCATACTGGTCCTAACGAAAAACCAAACTTGGCTCATCCAGACATGCTGTCAGCGTGGGTGTAGTTAAAGAATCTTTTCAAAGAATAGGTTTACCAGTATCAGTTTGGGCGGGAAAGGTTTCTTGTAATCCAATTAATATTACAATAGCTTCGCTGTGAGCATTGCAAATAACGAGACTTATTTCATTATGTTCGGCCGCTGGCTTTTAAAAACACATCTATGGTATTAGTACAATCATTAATATAAAAAAATCCCTATCTTTGTTAATAGAAGTAGTTTTTTACATTACATATTTCTCTCGTTCTTTGTCACCCTTTCTGTGATTAAACTAAAACACGAGATCAAGAATTTTCGGTTACAAAATGCAAGAAACTTTTAAGTTCTTCTTATGTTAAATACATAAATATATTCCTATATTATTTTTATCTTACTAATAATATAAATGCAAAAGTTTGAATGTCTGTTAGAAGGTATCTGCAGAACGGTAGATCCAATCTTGCTGACATTGAACATGTAGAACATAATCGGAAAGAACACATAGATTACGAATTAACTTTTTTTCATTTTTCGCGGACGGAGTTGCGGGAAATAGCTAGTAGTTTTTTCTATTAAATACTATAAGATATTACATTCATTGCAAAAGTAAATTTTATTACAACTAATAATTGATATAAAGTCAAATCAGAAATGTAATAATTCGATTACTTTAAGTACTTTTAAGAGTAGGTTTTAATAGTATTTTATATTTGAGTAAACATTTCATTAAGTTGTACCACAGACGAATTTCAATTCGCAAATAACAGATTGGGACGAGGGTTTTATGTAACTACCATATTTGTCACCAGTTTCGATATGAAATGCAATAACCATGTATTAGTCATTGACAATAGTTTAAACTCTTAAACATGATCATGTTAAGAGTGAAGCCTACAATGTGAACGTGTACGTAGCAAGCTATACTTTATATAGTCCGCTGCATCCGACCAAAGCCCTCGCTGACCCAGTTTAAATGTCTCACCGCAAATGTGGAACAGCTTAAATAAGTCTTAATGTAATCGTATATACTCTTTTCAGACTTAATTGTCCCACAGATAATTAAACACGCCCGATACTCAAAACTCTGTATAAAACAAAGTACTCAAAAGAAGGTTATACAAATAACTCAACGCCAAATTAACTCATATCAACTTCCCTACAGTCGCAGTTCGATTTTGTTTTTGACTTTTATTTCCTGAAGTTTAAAATCGTTTAATAGTTGTTTTAAATCTAATGGATGTCAAAATTTCAATACAATTTGTTTAAAATAAGCGAATTCTATATCAGTCTACATCAATTCTAAAACTTCAACAAACAAATAACCGATAAAATATGACATGTTTTGCGCTTTAAGTATGATGTTGTGAAACGTCATATATGTAATTTATTGTAACGTTTCACTTCATATCCACATTATCATTTTGTACCATATTTTAAAATTTTCTCGGCACTGTTTACAATAAATTTACGAAATGTTTACGTTTCCACGGGTAAAAGTAAGCAGTTAAATTAGATTTGTAATATTCCTGCATAAACATTGCTACAAAAGATTACTTTAGAAATTTCTTGAATGAATAGTCTCGCGAAATTTCGTTTGCAAATATTGATCAGCAACGCGGAGAGGTGCGCGCGACTGCGCCTAGTGGAACCCCGGCGCCGCGCCGCCGACCCATCCCCGTCACCCGGCGCCCTGTCATCCCTAATGATGCTTCTGTCACGGCAAGCAAACCTCCGAATTAACTTCGTTTGCATCCCGAACCGCGTAAGGCTCTCGACACCGATAACACGTGTCACGTGCGACAGGTCGTTTCATCCGTGTTTACGTGCCGTCTTAAAGTGAGTGTGCTAACGATCGTTTTTTCTCGTTTCGTGTAAATAAACTGAAGAACAATAAACGCGAGATGAGGGGGCACGACAGACGTATCGCGATCGGGCGGCTGCGTCACTAACTGGAATAGATTCACATATTAGCGGGCGTGAAATTAAAGGATAAACAAATGAAGTCCGGCGCGGGCGGTATTGTAGTGGAACAGCAGTCTGCGTCAGGAGGTGTCAAGCGGCAGACACGGGCGGCGTGACCCCGGCGGCCGAGCGCCCTAACTGGGACATATCGATAAGCGCGCCCTACTTACCCGGTTTGGTAGAAGGCGGTGCGGCTTGACGGTGTGGTGCGGCTGCATTCGGTCACGGCGGTGCGGCGGTGCGAGAGCGATGTCGGGCAAGTCGTGCGGCAGCGGCGTGGGCAGCGTGCGTTCATGCGCGGCGGGTGGGCACGAGGTCGTGCTGGACGCGCTTTACGCCCGGAAGCGCGACAACAAGAGCGTACGCGTGCTGACCGTCATCGTGTACGTGTTCTGCGTGTCGCTCGCTGCCATCATGCTCTCGCTCTACTACGTGTTCTTCTGGGAGCCCAAGGATGCGCAGTACGCGCAGCGCAAGGTGTCTCACACTGTCCCCCGGCAAACCAGCACCACACCAATGCCCACATGCTTATTGCCCGACACCGGTAGGTCACACCCACACGCTTCCCATACATCCATCTGACTTACGTGACTACGACACTGCAGTCACGATGCAATAATACTTTTAAGCGATAACACTGATATGTAAATATAAGCTTCTGAGAAATTAACACCTGCACAATGTGAATAACATGGATAGCCTAGCAAGAAAATAGAATAAACCTCTTACTCGTATGTTTCATTCACTGCTAAAGAACTTACTGGACTTTATGTCTGATGTAAATAGCATTCTATAGTATTACTTAAAATTGCACAAGGAAATGACGTATACAGTCTTAAGCCTAATATCAATTTTTTGGGGATCTATCTCGAGATATTTATGTATATACACAGTTAAAATTACTGCGCAAAATGTGTATAGAATATACGATGACAATAAAAAAGCTCACAGCAACTCGCTTTACAATCGAACAATCGTTGATTGTGCTACAAGTTCTACAATTGAAGAAAAAAGTTTTATATGACAAAAAGATAACAAGATCCTTTGTCTATCTAGTTACTAACGTAATGTTTATATTTGGTACCTTGATTTATGCCCAAATCAGCAAAAGCACAATAACAAAGCAAAAGCGAAAGTACGTAACAGTTTATTAAAAAGACGTAAAGATGGCTCGTTTAAACAAACATATTTAAGAATTTATGCCATTGTTCATTGTAGTCGTCGATGATATCATCAAATGAGATTTAACGATAACGAGTTTAAATTTATTCATTATCTTAATAACGTAAGTTTGCTTTATTTTAAAGATACTGAGGGTTGGGACTAAATACATCATTGTTTGCGTGACATTTATTTGAAGTAATATAACTATGCAATGAAATGTGATAAACAACCGCTGAAGCTTCATAAAATTTTAGCGCCAACTATTAAACAGTTTTAGCACAGGCGAGCATTAAATTAACTGCTGAATTATTTGTGTAATTATAAAGACATTACAGTATAATAAAAACTATAGGAGCTTTGTGTTTTCATTATGCTATCGACTGTATTTAACATTTACTGCACTTTTATCCGCGCTTATTTTGGCACATCAAACGATTTATTATTGTTACGTTTTATCAACACAAATCATATTTACATTATCCTATGATATAAAGCGAATAATTCTTGTATGTTACGGCTACTGTGGAAAAGGCTCTAACAGATTTTTTATTTAACTAGCTGTCGCCCGCGAGTCTGCCCCGGCTTAGAAAAAAAAAAGATAATTAATAGCCTATGTGTTTTTCAAGACTATGTTCTATATGTATGCCTAATTTCATCAAGTTCCATTCAGCCGTTCTGGAGATATCTTCAAAAAACATCCATCCATCCATTCATCCAGACATTCGCAGTTATAATATTAGTATGATGTGATTTTTTGTGCAGTGCCTACAAATCTGAAGACTAAGACAAAATACTACCTTGACCGGAGCTTTTGAAACATTCAACCGCAATAAACCTTACAAATGTAAAGATGTGCATGAAGGTGTCGGCACAATGTTGCAGACGTACTTTACAATTATGCAACGTGTTTATAAAAGAGGAAGCCAAGCAAGTTATCCGTTTCCTGGACTGAGGCTTCACTTTCGTAAGCAAGAATATCGCTACTCGCCCACAAGACTGACACGCTACCGGTGTCATAATATTCTTTGCAAACATACTATCTCTTATAATCTCTTTATATTAATTTCTATTTCCTACCTATTGTGATATTGTTGTCACCAAACTAATGTTATGATTTTGAATACTTCCTACAATAATCATGCTTAAATGAGATCTGGAATACAAATAAAATCAAAACTTGTTACTTCGACTTTGTAAACAATAGACCAAATCCAGATTTTTTAAGTTAAGTTGATTAATCCAAACACTGGCAACACAAAATAGACAAAAACTTTTTGTTATTTAGAGCACGTATGCGCTTTGTGTATGTGCTGGATAATAAATTAAACGTCGAAGTGATAACATGATGTAAAACGTCGAGAGGAGGCGAAATGAGCGAGCGCTGGTTCAGCCAGGCGCAGCAATAACTCTAAATATAGCTGCAGGTAGCTACAATAACCAGTACTCGGCAATTCACTGATCATGTTTATAAGATATAAATCATTCAGTGATTTCGCTCGAATTGCCCAGAATAGACGGACCGCCCGAATTAAATGCCACACCCACACCTGCATGGCCGATGCCTCGTAATACAATTGTTCTTTTTTATTATCCTTAATCTACGGAAATCACAAAGTTTTAGCTTCTGTTTGCTAACATTACTAATACTAAATTGATTAGGTTCTAACAATGATCAATTGACACTGCTACCCATCGAAATCCATAAGAAAAAAAGACATGTTATCTATCCAATTGAAATACATAAAACCCAATTTAAATACTATGTTTATGCAATCTAAATACTTTCATAATATCCTAGTACATATACTACTTAATACAAACAGTGAAACCTGCATGTTAGTTCTCTATTAAAGACTCGTTAGTTGGCAAACAGAGCTTTTTAGTGTATATTTTTCTTACAAAATCTACACTAAGTTTGAACTCCAGCATTGAGTGCAGTTGTGACTGAGTTCGCTTTGATGACATAAAAAAACTGTTAACTTACACGACAACCCTTAAATAGTTTGCGAAACGGAATACGGTTTATTTTATTTGATATTCGTATCTTGAAAATCTCTCTTATGTTAAATGTTTAGAAGACGATGTTTACAATCCTCAGTTAGATAGTGCATATGTATTTGCTCGATACTCTGTTGCAATCCTAAACGTGAAGTATCGATCTCGCCTTAATATAATTCCAGCTAAAAATAGACAAACATCTTGTCTGAACCTGATCATTTTATTGTTATATGGAAACCTTCTAACAACGGTGTTAAATTTAATATTCTATACAAAACATATTATTGTTCTGTAAAGCAGGAAAAATGGAGCTAAGAGAGTTGAGAGTCTTGTCATCGTTAACTTCCTTAATTTTCAGCGAAGACAACTTTCATTTTTTTCGGGGACATCTACCTTAAAACTTTTATTTAAACATTGTATCATCCTGTTCATGAAACTTAACAAAATTACAGTAAAGCACTTCACGGACTTAATTAATGACCGTAAAAATATAAACATATCCTGTTTAATTCGTAACTGATAAATACACGCCATTCCAATGTGTTTAAATGCTCGAATAATTTGTATCTAATCTAATTTTAATATGTTTACATACAAGAGATTGCTATGTATTCACTGAGCGGTTTAAAACGATTTATTTACATCCGCTTCCTTCTTAACATTCTAATTCATACGCTATTTATTTGATGATTTCTTAGCGAAAATGCGTCCAGTACGTAACTCAAGAGATAAAATATTAAAAACACTTAATTATTTCCAAGGGGTTTTATACTTCGTTATTATTTGAATCGCTCCTTCTTTAAACAAAGTTAAATGAGCGAGTCAGGCTAGCTCCGCCGTGTGATCTGATTATGAAGATTATATACCTGCAATGCAGTGCCAGCAATGCATTGTTATCTCCGACTAAAATTCCCAAGACTAAAGCTTTATTATTCCACACGATGTGACCTTATCAATTACACTTTAAAAAAATACATCCTTAAGCAAAGAGCAAGAAATGATAAATTAATGCAGAACATTCTTCGAGAAAGCATAAAACTTTTCTATTTAATCTCTACAAATTAGAAAAATATTACCCTGCCCTAGTCCTACTGTTAACGTGTCCTGCACACTTTTTATATTAATAATAATTAATTAACATTAAAATTATCTTTTGCAGGACGAAGCAATACCTCAGTGAACGAGAACGTCACATATTCTTTACCATCGAATCTTCTAGAGCAATCTATCAACACAACAGACGATACGGGACTCGATTTTGAATTTCCCGCCAATTTAACGAACAATTCAATTCAACAAATAAAACCCCTTAATTTAACTTCCAATGATTCCGGAACCAACGAAACAGACATTAATACATGACGTACAGGAACCAGAACAAATCATCCTGTATAACAGACTGTATCTAATGCGAATCGAAGTAAAGAGAATGAACTTATTAAAGTGTAGTTTAAATTAAACAAATGTTTTGAAAGTGAGAAAATGAAATTGCCATTAGTTTATACGGAGTGTTATTGGTAATCGTGATTTGTGGTAGGACGCATTAGAAAGAAATTAGATATTAATAAAAATAAAATGTACTTAACTTTGTGTTCAAGCGTACCTATTTAGGATTTTGTTGTAATAAACTGCAAAAGTCGTACTAGTCGAATGTAATACCAAAGGTAAATGTTATTAGTTTTAAAGATATATCTTATTTAAACATTAAGCTGGTTTCCAGAGCCTAATATATAAAATGAAATTATTTATACATAAATATATACTTATATTGTTTATTGTTCATTACTAAGTATTACAAAAGATAGAGCCTAATAAAAACTGCCACTTAATTTACAAGATCATTGGATTTAAACTTTAAAGTTATATCTCTACCATACCAATATTAAGTTAAGATACTCAACATTGTTTTTGGTCTAATGTAAAATCATAACAAGAGTGTTAAAAAATAATATAATTTTCTTACTTGGTCAAGAAGAATAACATTTTGACTATAAAATATATTTTAGCAAAAAAAAATGTTGTAGAGCTTCATATTGATAATTGTTTTCTTTGTGGTGAAAATGTTTTCCTATTTATTATTGACGAATGAATTGTATTTAAAAATAATTACGAAATAAAGTAATTTTATAATTACCTCTATGATTCAAATACACACCATCATATTTATTAATGATTACGTATAAAATATTATAATGTTATTGTATTGATAATTACACTAAGTAGGATAACACTAGGTTTAGTATAATAAAAAATACAACGAATAAATAATATAAAATAACGGCCAACGTTATAAAATAATTACGACTTAATTACACAGACTATAAATATTTTTTTTTGCTATTAACTTTATGCCACTCTCCTTTTTTATTGCCTTTTTTTGCCAAGGTTACATGCATAATTTATTTTCGGGGACATATTCTTAATTTATTAAGTAGGATTTTATTCGGTTTACAAATTTCGAAGTTTTAAAGGCAATCCGGCCTAAAACAATGGATGTCTTTGCCTTAGTAAACTACTTTAACAGGAAAATAACCAAAGAAATTGCAGCGCATAACTTTAATCTCTTATTTACAAAAGTGTGTAGTTTTTTGAATTTGAAAACTTGAGCGTGTTGCAAAAGTCCAAATATTGTATTTGATACGTAAAAGACCGAATTTATAATAAAAAACATTTATGGGTGTAAATGAACATATGTAAAAGAAACGATGCACATAACATTTGTTGCAAAAGTACTGTAATCGCTGAATTTTGGTAATTGATATGTTAACCTGATGTTTTTATATTATTTTCCAGATGACTAAACTTTTGATTAAATACTTAATCTTTTCACAATATTTAAGTAATAAATATATATTGGTGTGGGTTTTAATAAACACAACCTTAAAGAAAATAACTAGTATGGAAATAAAGAACACAAAAAATATCGAATATGATCAGAAAGCCTTACTGTATTTAGCGTGGGTTAGCGAAATATACTTCAAAGATAAGGCTCAATTGAAGATGTTAAGAGGAAATTGTACGTGACAAGAGCTCTTTCCTATAGCTCAGGCAAAATTGCAAATCTGAGTATACGAGAAGGAAGATAGATTGTTTGCGACTTACCTTAAATACTGGAATACCACAGCTAGTGATAGAACTTTACTTTTCCTCGCTAAATATGGAAAGGCGAGCTAAAATATCCCACGTATTAGGTTTGTAGGTGGGTAAGTTACAATAAAAATATTTAACTGCAAGACGCGAATAAAACAAAAATACCCACTTTTTTACATTCTATGAGCAACTGCAGCAAAGATAACTCGCTTGAGCGTTACCTAATGTCAACTCTGCGTTCAATTTGTAAATGTTTTAGTTAATATTTACTGTGGCTTACAAGTTTGTGTCTTATACATAGTTTTGTATTTTCTGTAGTAAATAAATTATAATAAATAAAATGACCAAATATGCCTTAAACGATACTTTTGAATTTTCCTTATTATTTTACTACGTTTCGTTTTCCCAAAAACTTATCATAATTTTAAAAGCAAATGAATTTTCAGGATTCAATTCATGAATATAATAACCGTAAACAATTACTTTAAGTCGATTTTTTAATTTAACATTAATGGGTTATAAACGGCATGAATGGGTGATAAATAAAAAATATTATACATAATGCGACAAATTTATTAATCCCCAGTTACAAACATGTGCACGGCCTTGTCGGAGGCGGCGAGGCGCGCAAAACGCGCAGCCCCGAGTGTGGCGGCCACGCGCGCCGCATCATACTTACAATGCAGTGTTGTCACTGTCATATTGCATTCGCTGCCGCCATATTTGTTTTGGTTACTTTCCTTCAAATAAAAAAAATAATTTTATAAAAAACATCAACATCAAACTTTCATCACAACAAATATAATGTAAATTTAAAAAAATATGGGTTGTCAAAGATTTAAAAAATATATAAAAGGCATACCTGCATGAGGTTACACATTTCAGAATAGAAATGCGGATATGTAGGCGGTTGATAGAATATAATATGCCGGATACCCTTTATCCTGAACCTTCTGAAGAAGTGGACTCTCTCGGAGTACAGCAAGAAATGAGCTTCAGTGTGGAAGAACATGTCTCTAGCGCGTGCTATTTTACCATCCTACACAGATAATTTATATTGTTTAAATTGAATCAATATGAGATGTAAATTTTACATTACTGACGTTAAAAACGAACAACTAACCTTAGAATATTCACAGATTTGTACGAAGCCAATATCTTCTTTCTTAAAATAATTTCTTAATCTAACGAAATCAAAATAACTTGGCACATAAATAAGGGTGTGGCTCATCAGTGTATCGCGTTGTTTGGGCAGAATCTCCTTCACAAAATATTCAAATCTGCTCTCTACAGCCGCCATTGGAGACGTCGCATTAAATCTGAAATAAAAACAGAATTTAAATGTTCAGTATTGTACATTATTATTAAGTATATAAAACTTAGATATTTTTTTTCTGATATTTTGTCATACTTCTAATATAAATGGTACAAACCTATGAAACAGTTGGGGCACTTGCAATATAACTTGCTGTATACTGCCAATTTCTATGGGATTCGCCAACATCACCTTACCCGCGTAATTTTGACACTTTCTATTGATAACAGACTTTATTTCCGGTAATGACACGGAAGAGAACATCAACGTTTGTCTGAAACAAAATAAACATAAATAAATTGTAAAAATGTAGTAACAATTCTTAGAAGTGCTAGGCTAGTGATTTGTGCCTAGGCCTTTAGGTTAATGGCGCAATACTTAGGTTGCTTAGTTTAACCCTAACCTCAAAACCTATTTGTATATAAAGATAACTTTTTGCATATTGACTTCTATTTTTTGTCAAAAAATGTTACATCTGATTTAGTAAAAAAAAAAGAATAGCTGTAACCGCCGGGATAAGGAAGGGTGACTAGGAGGGATGACTGTAACATACCTGTAATATTTAGACCAGCCATTAACAGCCCATGATCTGACTCTAGAAAAATCTGTGTCATGTGTCTTTTTCGGTTGTAAATGAAAATGATCCAATACATGCAATAAATGATCCCAATTCTGCATCAGAAATACGTCAGCTTGGTCCATTATCAATATCTCTATGGAAGCCAAGAAATCATAGTCACGGTCTTCTTCACCTTCCGCACCAACTATCATCCGGAGTCCTAATGGAGATGCTATTAAAATATCTGATGAATAGAAATCTGTGTAAAGCTGAAATAAACATTATGAAAATTAACAATAAACATAATATAGGACAAAAACAAAAAGCAAGTTTGTGAAAATTTCATAATTTTCTGTTTGTAATTTAACTTTTACAAGATGGCAATTTCTTAAAACTTATCCAATAAAATAAAAAAGACGAGAATCCAAGCAAAATCCGTTGGACCTTTGGTTTACTTGTACACAAATTTGTTTTAAAAAATTTTTTAAAAATTTTTTTAAAAAATCAATTTTTAAAATTTTTTAAAAAAAAAAAACCATTTTAAAAAATCAATCAGTCAAGTACAGGCAACTTATAAAAATAAAACCCAACCTTTAGTGTTTTCTTGGTAAGTGTCATTCCTAATCTAAATGTGTCCTCAGTGTTGCCACTGAATAGTAACTCATAATCTTCTGGTTTGGGATTTTTTGTTGGCATAAGCAGTTCACCACCAGTAAAATCTTCTTCAAATCTATTTTTATTCACAACCTGTCCCGATTCTTTTGGCACCAGTATATCTATTAGTGTTTTCACTACTCTGTATGCTGCATCTTTGAATGGCACCATTATCAGAACCTGTAACAATTTTTACATTTTCATCATCAATTATAATAGAATAAAAAACACACATTTTATAATAGCACCAAACAATTCAAAACTAAATAAGAGGAAATTAATCTATGGAAAGCCACAGTCATCCATCCAAGTATCCAAAATGATACAAATGTTATTCAATAACTAGCTGTCGCTCGCGACACCGCGAAACTTAATTAGTAGCCTATGGTATTCCAAAGTTTGTTCCACACCTATGCCACATTGCACCTTATACCTTTAAAAATTACACATATGAGTCTATGAATCATAGTTAACACAATAGCATTACCTTTGGCCTCACCAATCCCTGATCCCGATATTCATCAGACATATCAGATTTCCGAGCTAGTTTGGAATTATGATGCAAAATCTTGATACGAGTTTTCAACATGTGATTGACTACATGTAGACAATATGTATAACGAATTTCATCAGAATTACTAAAACTTCTTTCCGGATAATACAGATCTTGATAGTTGTTCATTATAGAAAATAATTCCTTTTGTAATGGAGTGAAAATGTCTGTTAAATCCAAATCTCTTTTTATAAGATTTGTTTTATTTGCCGATACAATGTTGCCATGTATTTGTGATTTTATATATAGCTTATTAAAATCTATATGATTAGTATAATTAGGTACAGTTCCTTCAGGGGCATATGTCTTTTCTTCTAGGATTGATATTTTTGGTTTCACTTTAGCTGTTACAGTGGTTACAGGCTTTGGGATAGTTATAATTAAATTTCCAAGCACTGGCCATCCTTTTGATATGTTTTCCATTGACGGTGAATTACTTGATAAAGAGACCAATAATTCATCGCTAAGCTCATACTGAAAGTGTTTTGTGAACGGATCATCAGCAATCTCTGTCTCCATTTCATTATCATCAGCCATCTGAAATTTAATAAAGAAAGTGTCAATATAAAATTAACATGTTAATCACCATGTCAGTCACATGTGTCTGACTCTAAGAAGTTCTACATGAGCCATGTCTGACATATGCAATTTGGTAGAAGGCCACGTCAATCACAGATGTCCGAGGCAAACTATACATTTACAGTATGTTTCGAAAGCTTGGCCTATCAGAAACAAAACCTGAAAAAGACTGACACTGCTTGTTGAGAAAAAAGTGTAAATAGAGGGCCAAGTCATATATGTGTGACATAAAAAATAATATTTTTCCAGGAACTTTAGCAAAAAAAAATACTTTGATACATTCAGTTTCCTTGATACATTTATAACTAGATTATCTAAGAAAGTTACCATGGCCTATGAGAAGTTTTTTCTGATATTATCATGGCGATTAACGTGTTAAATATGTGCACTAGATATATGTAAAGATAATAAGTTAACTTACCTACCATTATGATTTCATTTGCTTCAGTTTCTTCCAAGTTCTCAGGCTCTTTTGAATCATCATTATCATTAATATCACCATTTAATGATTGTATATCATTTTCAGATCCATCACTATCAATACTGTCTGAACTTTCGCTGTCCACACGCTTATTTTTGCTAGGATTGACAAAACATGAGACAAGTTGATTGTAAGTATCTTCTTCTTCTTCGCTCTCTGAGAAATGTGTGTTTGCTTTGCGAAACCTCTCCTCTATTTGCTTTTTTTTCATCAATTCTTCTTCTATTTTTTGTTTATTTTTATATCGATTAAATATTGCTTTTTTGTTAACAACCTCAACTTCTTTAGAAGACTTTTTTCTTTTCTTATTAATAGTTTTTTTGTTGCCTTTTCGTTTCTTCACAAAAAAATTCTTCCCTTTTCCCATTTTTATGTATTACAGAAAAGTTTTCTCTATGTTATTTTATTCAATCACCACATTTCTATCTCAATCATAAAAAATAAAAATAACTTTGTTTTACTTTCAGGTTATGTTAAATAAAAAATAGGTTATTGTTCCACTGACAGAAAAATTTTGACGTTTGGCGTTTTAAACTATTACAAAAATTTAAGGTTAAAGCATATGGAATAAAAATATTGAATCAACAATCAATATTTTAGAACCAACATTTATATTTGCATGGTATTAGCTATCTCACTTTAGCCACAAACTTTAATATTAGCGTAACTGTGGCCTATGTTTGCTAACTGGATTTAAACACATACACAACTTATTTATTCTGTTAAAATGTGACATTAACAAGTGCCAAAGTACTAACAAATGACAAGTAACGCAGAGACAGTGCATAGAGTAGAGGTTATTTTTCGTTTTCAGCTATTTAATGTCTTTAAATTGATATAATTATCAATAAATACATATCGACTGCACTTAACTTTGTTAACTAAAAATCAACAAAGTTTTGAGTACGTAACTTGATAGGTCTGGTTGTAGCATTATTTGTTATTGCTATGAATTTTTTCATCTAAAACTTTGTTTAATTATATTTTGTATACTTAAAATAGTTAACACCAATTACACAGGCCTATGTATAGTTGAATGACTCAAGTATAAATATTAGTGTAATGTAACCAGTAGACGGTATGAAAAGAAATCAGAAACGTAAAGCACATACTAAAACAAAGATCAAAATGGAAAATCACATTCGACTTCTTAGTGACATTACTTCAGAAATTTACGACGATGAGAACATTGTTACCAGCACATCTTCTGAACAGGTTTGTACATTAATAACCAAATATTAAATTGATATTATGTGCTTCCAATTGGATCAATATAAATGTTTCTTCTTGCAGGTTGAAGTTGAAATGATGATTCTAAAAATGTTCAAGTTTTTTGAATGTAAGGCATCAATTGATCCTAACATGCCAAAACTTAACAGGAAACTACATAGCAAATTGTTGAATAGTTGGCTCTTAACTTTACCTAAAAGCTACAGATGTCTAGAAGCAAGTCGGCCATGGCTAGTTTATTGGATACTGCATGCTTTATGGCTATTGAATGATCTACCTGATACAAAGACATTATCTAATGTTGTTGAGTTCCTTTCGCATTGTCAACATCCAGATGGAGGTTATGGAGGAGGACCTAGTCAGTTTGCTCATCTTGGTACAACATATGCAGCAATCAATGCCCTTTGTATAATTGGGACAGATGAGGCTTATGCTTCTATCAATAGAAAATCATTGAACAATTTTTTAAGGGCAGTGCACGGTGTAGATGGTTCTTTTTCCCTGCACATAGGTGGTGAACAAGACATTCGAGGGGCATATTGTGCTGTTACTGTAGCAAAATTAACTAACATATATACAGATGAACTGTTTGATAAAACTGCAGAGTGGATAGTAAGTTGTCAAACTTATGAAGGTGGTTTTGCTGGATGTCCCGGAATGGAGGCACATGGGGGTTATGCCTTTTGTGGTGTTGCAGCTTTAGCACTCCTTAATAGAATACAACTTTGTGATGTTGATGCTTTACTGAGGTGGTGTGTGAATAGACAAATGCGAGTTGAAGGCGGGTTTCAAGGGAGAACTAATAAGTTAGTTGATGGTTGCTATGCATTTTGGCAAGGAGCCATCTTTCCTGTTATAAGTGCAATTTATTCTCAAGGTTGGTAAGTTAAATTATTTAATCAGTTATACTTATATGCAAAGTCTCACTGAAAGATAATATTTTACTGTCTTAACATATAAATTATTTTTCATAAATATGGACCAAAAATTTTATCACATTTTTATGTTTCAGAAAATAAAGATGTAGTAGATAAAGTGCTATTTAATCAAGGGGCATTGCAAGAATATATTATAATCTGTTGTCAATCACCAGATGGAGGGCTTATTGACAAACCTGGAAAGTAAGTATTTGTATAAAATTAACAAAAAAAATAGTACACTTTGTGTTAGAACAAAAATTTCAACATCACATAAAAGATATAAATTTGTATTCAGTATATGTGCAAGCTTATTCTATTTGTCTATTACATCACAATAAATTAGTACAAGTTGTGTTCTAATTCCATTATTATGTGGTTTCAGGCCGAGAGATATTTATCATACATGCTACACCTTAAGTGGCTTATCAATAGCACAGCATGGCACCTGCACTGGAGGCAGTGTTATTGTTGGTACGACTCGTAATGAACTCAATCCAGTACATCCATTACATAATATAGCACCTAACCATGTATATAACGCTATGGCTTATTTTCGTAAACAAGAATAGAAAAAAATCCAAATTTAATTTGTCCTTTATTTAATTTGTGAGTGATATTACATATATCTTGTACAATGATATAAGAGAGTGTTTTTAAAAGTTGATATAACTACCTGAGAGCTAGGAATACTACAAATCAACCAAATATGTTAATTAATAATGATATCTGGATGTTTTTAGCTAAGATCTAGATAATTTAGTCGGATGATGGATTTTTCATATTTCATATGAGTGTAATAATAAATCTGTATTATGGCATTTCTTTTTATTAATTGTGGACCTTTACAGGTATAACATTTAATTGTATATTTAACTAAAAGCAGTCAATCTGAGCAGCATTTAATAAAGCAATCAAACAAATTCACTTGCTTTTATTTATTCGTTGACTGAAAATAAACAATTATAAAAGTCAATTTTAAATTAATTAAATTTAAGTACACAAAAGTATTACATTACAATGATATTGAATTGATATGAAAACAACTAAAACACTCACGTAACTGAATTGTTTTGTTTGTCATGAAGATTTCATTTTAATAAAACTTTTACTGCTATGGTATACAATATCTTCCACAAAGTGATATATCTTGTATATTAATCTATCCGTTCTTGTATCTTTGGCAAGGCTAACATATATTTCAAACAGTATATAATTTAATAAATAGTGGAATTGATTAAAAGCAGTTTATACTGCCTTTATACAGTAAAACCTTCCATTTTAGATTGTAGAAATAATTTTCTTCAAATGTAATAAGAAAGCTTGTTGATTTTTAACTTTAATATTCTGTTTTTTGTAATCAACATATTCTTTACTTATAATAAACTAATTAAAGAGCAGTTTAGTAGCATAATTTATCTAAGTTCATTTTGGTATAAATTAAGAATATCACACAAGAACAAATTCTTCGGACTCTAAATCAGTATCACTATCATGCACAGCTGAAGTAGTCCAGTTAAGTTCAGATTCATAGATGGAGTACCGTATCTGAGGTGGATCCATGTGTTTCTTACGAGATCCATGTTGTATTGTAAACATTGGGTATTCATTAGTTGAAGACATTCCTTGTGGTACTATAAATGTTTTAATGACATTGACAAAGGTCTCAAAATCATGTTGTGTTGGAAGATAGAAGCCAATGCAACATGATGGATCCATTTTGCTAATAGGCATCTTCCGTGGAGAACGACAATGAAATGATTGTAATGAAAAATTAGGTTGCCACACATCAACCATTTCTTGGCAGTAATGTGGATCTAAGTGAATAAGTCTGTCATCTTGGTACCCAACAAAGTATAATGAATGCTTAGGTCGTCCACCAATTATACCTATACAAAAATCTAGTGTCAAAAGTGATGTCAAACAGGGACTATAAATTGGGTTTAGTTTGTCTGTACCAAGTTTTACTGGTACTAATAGAATAAGAGATTTCCATCCAATGTTTGGTAAACGACATAGTGAATTAACATCTTCTAAATACACTGTTGATTCTTGTGCAACATATACTTCCAAATTATCAAACTCGTAATTCTCTTTGGAAGCTGCAGCCATCACAGCCTTCAAACAATGTGCAACAGAGGCAGGTCCATACCAGTCTCCAGCTTTTTTCCCTAAGGCTTCACCCAAACTAACCATTTGATGTATAGAAAGTGGACTGTTAACAGATGACTTGTCTCCAAACCACTTAATTATCATCCTGTGGATGCAGTCTTCTTGGAATTCTCTAGCATTTTGTATAGGTCTGTCTGGTAACCATCTCCATGAGCGACCTAAAAAATGGCATATCAAAGCCTGAGCCAACAACATTTGTCCACTACGTAACATACAACCCCAACCACAGTCAGATGTGTATGTGGATCCAGCCATGGTAGGAAATTCTCTTCGATATGTCATCCATATTCTGCTTACAAAGTCCGATTTAAATCCTTCTATGCCTTCTCCATATATTTGTTCCACAGTTTCATTTGCTGTTGCTTCGGTTCCGATTTCTGTTGACGATTCCAATGATCCGCTTGGACTTAACTTTCGATGATAACAACGGCCTAAAAGCCATACTGGGGACTCCTTTGAAAAAGTTGTTTTTAGTTTAACTGTCCATCCAAATTTTACATTATTCCACATCGACAGCAATCGTGATTCAACTTTTCCTTTAAGATCTAATAGGTCTTCAGAACTATCGCGAGTGTTGTCCTTTGAAGAGGTCGCCCGATTTATGTTCTCAACCTTCATGTTGGATGCGGTTCTAATTTCGGAAGTTTCAGATGAGTTTATAAATGAACTTGACGACGAAAGACTGTTGGTACCGTTCATTATGGTACGCTAAACATCTTACCAAATATTACACTTTGTGTAAGTAAACATCAACGATCAAATCATAATAATATCGCACTAGTGAAATGGAAGACTTCTTAGTGTTCTTCATTTCTTCTGTTAACAAATGAATTCACTTATTCACTCATATATTCACATAAAAGAGGCAGCCAACATTTTTAGACTTTATGATAATCGTTATTAGTTTTGTCATCTCCGCCATTCCCAATTGTCAATTTGTCACAAAGCAAACCATAAAGAAAAGAGGACGTTGTCGTTGGTCATTCCTTCTATAATACAGAGTAAACAAAATTAAACAGATGCTATTTATTTAAATGACAAATTGTTTGACAAATGGCAACTCCAATTATCAATGTCAACTATCACTTTTTACATTAAAGTTTATGTCAATATCAAGTACAATAACATTCATTACATTTTGTTTTATCAAATTAACAAAATAATAAAATATCCAATTACTTAATTTTAATTACTATTTCAAAATGATGCCGGCACGGATTGGTGGGATGCATATAGCGAATGAAAACCCTTTAGGGCTTTCATGGCACGATTCTGCGTGGATACCTTTATTAACACCCTCCAATATTATGGATTACTTCTCAGAAAAATCAAATCCATTCTTTGATCGAACATGTAATAATGAAGTAGTGAAAATGCAGCGGTTAAGTATGGATCAGCTACAGTAAGTATTAAAGAGTTCATTGGAAATATTTCGGTACTTTTATATTTGAACATAAAAGCAATGTCAACTCAGTGTACATAATATGTGGTAGCTATTTTTTTTTAAATTACCAAAAGTTGTATACTTAAATGTTTTCTTTTACAGAAATATGACTGGCTTGGAATATATTCTTTTACATGTGCAAGACCCTATTTTATATGTCATAAGAAAACAGCAAAGACACAGTCCACAACATGTCATTCCTCTTGCTGATTATTATATTATTGCTGGAATTGTCTACCAAGCACCTGATTTAGCAAGTGTTTTGAATTCTAGATTGGTAAGTTATCTTTACAAGTTAAATTTGAAATACATCTCTTATTCATTGTTTTAAAAAGTGACTATAACAATTATAAAGTAATTCTGTCCAAGGAATAACATTTCCACATAATCTTTCACCCCCTAATTTTGACATTTAGTAAATGAACTTTATGAAAACATTATCTAGACTATCTTAATAATATTATAAATGTAAGTGTTGTGATGGATGTTTGTTACTAGGTATCTCCAGAATAGCTGAACGGATCTCACCAAAACATGGCAAAAACCTAGAACACATAGGCTACTAATTAAGTTTTTTTTTTGTTTCGGGGGTTAGAGTTGTGGGATAAAGATAATTTTATATATATATGGATTGCGGGATTAATAAAATAATATGATTAAAAACATTATAATAATACAATCTATGATTTTAGCTATCAGCAGTACATCACTTACAATGTTCATTTGAGGAAACCATGATGTATTCTAAATATCATCCGAGCAAAGGATATTGGTGGGATTTCAAAGCAAATAAAGCGGGTAAAATTTTTGGCTAATGGTTGTAAAAAGTGATTGAAGCGTATAATATTTTATATATAAAGTTTACATCTGTTCAGGCTCAAGTCCATTTAACTCTGCCCAGTCTGCTCCTAAAGAAGTTAGTACTGGTCCAAAAGAGGAGCCTTCAACTCTCTTTCAACGTCAAAGGGTGGATATGTTGCTTGCCGAGTTAGTGAGACAGTTTCCATTGCCAGTTATACCAACAACATCTAGCCAGGTCTGTGAATTAACATGTTTGTAAAAGTTAACCTTAGATGGATTTTAAAAGCTGCAAGAATCTATTTATCCTGTATTCATATTTAATATGAAAAGAGAGATTTTGATAGATAAGTACCATTGCTTTAATTGTAGTTAAAATAATTGACAAGTTCTAGTTAGCAATTCCTTATTAAGTAAATAAATAATTTGATGGTAATTTTGTTTTTAACATGTCAAATACCACTACAATTTCAATATAATGTGTCATTTTTGTGGAATTGAACATATCAATAAAATCTAGCTAATACACATTCATTTTGACTTTTACCAGACCAACGGTGTAACAGTGAAGACAGAGAATATGACGGATAAGGAAAAACCAATAGAAAGTAACAATGTAAACAATATAACAATCAAACAAGAACCCATCGACCCTGTTAACACTGAAATGACTAATGGCTCAATGCAAGGACATATTGAAATAAAAACAGAAATCAAACAGGAAAACATGAAACCTCCACCAGAGAAGAAACCTAGAAATATGTAAGCTTTGAAAAAAATGAGTAACTTCATAGAAATAATTTCTTGGTTACATAGATCTTAAAAAGCTTAACTGGAAAAATGTAAACACACGTTGGAACCCATGAAAGCATTCCAGCACTGATTTTGATAGCTGGACTGGAATAAAGTAAACTAACATGGGCATAAGGAAATATCTAAGAAAAACATTATTAAAAATTAGAAAATGCTTTCCTACATACTAAATTGTTACAAGGAGACAGTTTAGATATTGGAAAAGGTGTGCAAAATAGTAGTAAGCTTAATAATAATATTTGGGTTTGATAAGTTGTAATAAAGTTATACTTCTTTTTATACTTGTTTTAATTATCATGACATATCTTGATTACATTTTAAAAGCAGATGATAAAATCATATTCTCATGTTTTATCAGTGAGATACTGTTTGTTTTTTTCTCTTTGTACATTAAATAAGTTCATGGTGTTTCCATTTGCACAATTGTTAAGACATATCTGACAATTGATCTTCCTTGGATCCCTTAATTCATCTTCATCTGTAGCAATTTGTGACCTTAAAAATAACCAATACTTAAGGAAAACCATTGATTAGGTACACAGTATGTATTTAATCTCTTTGATGTTGTAATATCCCAGAGTGGGATGTTAACTTGAAAAGTGTTATAAATATCGAAATTGTTACATCTTGTTCTTTTCTTTTTCTAATATGTTTATTATTTCTATCTATTTACCTGGCTTTTGTCAGTCCCAGTTGGAAACCAAAGTTAAATCCTTGTTCGTAACCTGTATCAAAACTACTCTGATATGTTGCAGCCTGTCCGTCGGTAACACCGTCAGAATATCCAACCTAGAGTAATAATATTAAATCTTTCTTAAATAAAAATTATTTCTATTAACCACTGAAAAGCGATCGTGTTTTAGGACGTGTTAGACACCGAGGAGACTTTTTGATATTAACATTTACCTTGTTGATAGGATCCACTGAACGCTTCCATGTTCTTAAAGAAATATTAACCGATTCATCATTCATTGTTTAATTAATTCTAAGTCAAAACGAGTGGTTGGAATATTATTTTGTTTACGAATTATATATGACATTTGGTTGTTTTTATTATTCACTCGAAAGAGCAGGCAAAGTATGACATTTGGCATGTGACATTGTTGTTGTTGTTTTTATTATTCACTCGAAAGAGCAGGCAAAGGAACTAAGCCATACAGCCTTGTCTTTTTTATGCATGTGACAGTTGTATTTTCTCAGGTTAAAACAGGCAAAGGCGTTGAAATCTATTAAAATCAACATTTAAATTATTTCAGAAAGGTTTTTGTAATACATTTTAATCGTTTTATTCTAAATTATATTAGGTGCACAACTAAGTTCTCGCTGTTTGTCAGTAGATGGCTCTAGCAGTAAGAGCTGGTCGATTTTGACATATCCAAAACGTCATGAACCAAGCTTAGACATATGGTAAACAAACCGTTGCGACACATGAGTGATTTTGTTTTCGCATTATATACTTCTGGTCAAGTAAAAATTAAAAAAAAAAGACGACCGTCCACGTGAAGACCCAAAACCTTCGGGAATCTGAATCGGGAAAAAGTTGTGTCTAGCGATGGGCAATACTTTGAATGATTCATTTGTAACCATTTTTTAATATTAAAGTTATATTTTTATCGAAAAAAAAAGCGAGAATTTAGTTGCGCACCTAATAGGATATGTAGTTTTTAAATTTTAATTCTCCTCATAGCTCATACAATAAAGGTAATGTAAACTTTCGTGAGACATTGTTTAAACTAATATAAAAACGACTAGTCTCACATATTTGTATCCACGTGCCGACACCGGACAATTGAGTGTTTAGCCGTAGTCAAGGGTAACTCAACTAAAACTCATGACCTGCAGATCAGCCCAAGGTTTACAAGTATGAAGCAGATCAATGAATTGGCTTACAACTCAGCTCAATCTGTACGTTTTTTTTTGAGCTGCAAACTGCGAGTCACCAAGCAGCTCACAGCTCGACAGTTTTCACAGTTAAAGTACATTGCGATGAGATGCCAATTTAGCCATTGAGCCGCAGCTTAATGTTTCAAGTCCACATGACCTTAACTTTTGAACCGGTTCAAAGCTGATTTACACACCTTTGTTTATCTGTTTATGTATTATTTTATTTTACAATACAGGTAGCCAGTAAGCTACATATAAGTATAATATATTTTTGTAAAATAAATATATTTGATACATAACATTTATAAGAAGGAATACACATTTTCTATGTCACAAAATATTGTACTTATAATCAATAAGAACTTATACACCAAACAAATCATAAAATAGCCTTAAATATCACATAAAAATTCATAATAATTCTGCTTTGTATTGAGTAATGCTATCTTTAGGAGGGAAATGTGTTCTTAGAATAAACATATTGTTGACTTCAGGGGTAGACTCCAAGGATTCTAAATAACCAAACCAATATATAACTAAGCCTGGTCCAAATCTATTCCAATAGCATGTTAATTGATCCTTAACATAACCGGAATGGTTTTCTTCATCACCAAACATTGCTTTGCTTTCTATCCAATTAACTATGAAGCCATCTACAGCAATAGGAACATCCAATTTAAAATCTGGTGTTTTATCATAACCACGAGATCTAAGGTTGTTCTCATCAGAAAATGTTATATTCATTAATCTTAACTTCCTTTCCAATCTTAACTCATATTCTAAGCCAATAGATCTGCAACAGTAAAGTTATGTTATTCAAAAGATAGTGAAGCATTTATTTTATTTAATTAAAATGTACTAATGTTAAGCATACTAAATACTGCAAAATTGATATAAAGAAATACATACTGTTTTATTACATCAGCATAATGTCCATACTGATTGTCGTTCATAATACCCTGGAAATTGACAAACTACTATAATTTTTTATATTCATCATCATCATCTCACTATATGTCCCCACCAAGGGGCTCGGAGCCTACCCTATGTTAAAGCTGAATAGGCCATAGTCAACCATGCTGGCCAAGTGTGGGTTGGTTGACTTCACACATATTTTTGAATAACTTCTCAGATATGTGCAGATTACATCACAATGTTTTCCTACACCGTAACGTCGGATAAATGTAATTTTATATTAATTAATGAAATTAAGAAATCAAAGAGGTTAATGGTGCTCAACATACAATTATACTATTGCTACACTGATGTGATGTTAATAATAAAATACTTACCAGAAACATTTGATATGACAGATCTTTGTTCTCAATAAGAGTTGTATCTTTTATGTATTTCTTGGCCTGTATGGAGTCAGAGTATACATTTTGTAGCAGAGATCTCACAAGCAATGCTGGACTTATACCTTGGCTCTCGGATAGTCTAGAAAATTTGGATAATTATTATACAATGATTAATAGACGAAAGACGTTCACACCTACATCTTAGGTAAATCTAGTTTTAACGAGTTTGCTTCTTCACATTACCTTAATAATATCTAAGTATAGTTAATTTGATTGTCAATAGCATACTTACTTTAAAATAACATCTGCTTTGTTTTTGTCACGCATCAATTCTTCATATAATTCATAATATTTGCTTGATATAACCGGAGACTTTCTATAGCTTAGTTTCATAGATCTCTGCACTAGTAATGAAATAATACTCCCAATCGTCGGTGATGGTAGCCTGCAAGGCAACTTAGACATTACTTCGTTATATTTAATTCTCATCTCTTTTGAAATAAATAATAGCAGTTGAGACTTACTCTTTGTACTTTTTTCGAAGCTCGTTTTCGGCTTTGCGATTAAATGTATTTATTTTATTAAAATCATCAATAATTGCATTATATAGTTTTACAGGCATCGGCTTTAATTCCGGTTGTAGCATTTTATTTGTATCCAAGTTAACGAAATACCAAATAAACACAAAAATGACTATTGATTTATTAAGTAATGTTTACTTTATTGCTTTTTTTAACAACAAATAGAACAAAACTGTAATCACACTGTCACTGTGACACTGTGACATTTAGTTTTATGGCTTTAGGTTGGCAAACCAAATCCGATAGATGCAAAATTTAAAAGACACAATAACAACATATTTGTGAAAGCAAAAGGCGAAATTGTATGAAAAATACACTTATTCAATTTTAACATAAAATAAGGTGTATAATCAGCAATTTTCATAAAATATCACGTTATTTCAGGGTTAAAATTAATGCACAATTATTGGACAGTGCGTGATGCGTATAGCTTTACGTTATAAAAATGTCAAAGTCAGTTTGAAATGTGAGTGTGGTGTGTTTTTGAAATGTAGTTTTAAGTAAATATAAGTATTATTTTCTTTACTGGAAGTTATCACGTAAGAGCTAACATGAGTTCCAGTAAAAACGATGATCCGATATCGGAGAAAATTTTGAATGTTGCTAAAAAGAACCCTAAAGGGATTTCAGACAAAGACATATTAGCAGCGGTGCCTGAACTTTCTGCTGCAGAACTTGTTTCAGCAATAAATAAATTGCTGCAGGAAGGATTATTCGATTTATACAATCAAGGAGGTTCACTTATATATAGGTAATTCATCATTAATTGCTCTCGAAAGTGTACAATTACAAAAGTAACTTATTCACTATAATAACTATGAATTAAACTAAATATAAACTTAAACAAGAGATTAATGGAATAATCATTAGGTTAAAAGGTCAGACATCAAAACAAGCTGTAAAAGGTGCTGATAATGAAGAAAAAGTTGTTTACAATTTGATTGAAGATGCCGGCAATAAAGGCATATGGATACGAGATATCAGGTTACGCTCCAATATCGCCAATACACAATTGACCAAAGTATTGAAAAATCTTGAGAGTAAAAAAGTTATTAAGGCTGTTAAATGTGTTAATGTGAGTGTGAAGTTAATTTTTATTGAGATTTGTTCACCAAAACAACAAATATGTTATAATTTTATGAATAACTTTTTTCACAGGCTTCTAAAAAGAAAGTGTATATGTTATACAATCTAGAACCTGATAGATCAATATCTGGTGGTGCATGGTATCAAGATCAAGATTTTGAGTCTGAATTTGTTGACATTTTGAACCGTCAATGCCTTCGGTTTTTGCAGCAGAGAGCTGATAAAATTAAGAACAATCCCAAAGGTCCAGTTGTGGGTAGGACACAATCATTTGCATCAGCAGTAGAAGTTCAAAAGTATATAACTGACTTAGGTATCAGTAATGTAAGTCAATTTATATGTAAATGAAAATATCATTTTCCATTATAAATGAATACTTGGACTTACGACTTTATTCATGTTGTAAAAGATGTCATATTGGACAAAATCCACGACAAGCAATACATGTTATGTTCTCTGTTTCTTTACAATCTCTCAAGTTTAACAAAAGAAATTGTATTATATAAGACATTAGTGTATGCCCGTGTCTAATTCCACACAGAATTCAAAAACATATAACTAGTAGCCTAAGTGTTCTTCCAGACTATGTTTTATGTATGCCAAATTTCATTGAGATCAGTTCAGCTATTCTGGAAATACATCCAAACAAGCATCCACCCATCCATCCAAACATTGGAATTTATAATATTAGAAGATATTTGTTTTCAGGTAAAATTAGAAGTGGAAGATGTTATAACAATTCTGAATACCTTAGTGTATGATGGGAAAGCAGAGAGCAGTGTACTACCCGATGGGACCAAAGTGTACAGAGCTATTGAATCACTTATCCCTCCACCCGGACTCGTGCAAGTGCCCTGTGGAGTCTGTCCACTAATACTAAAGTGTTGCTCTACTGGCCTCATAACACCACAGGAGTGTAAATATATGGATGACTGGCTTGAAAATTAAAGTTATAAAAATGATTTGTTTTTTTTTGTCATTGTTAAACATAAAAGTGAAAAAATTGTTTACTATGCTTTACCAAATTATGGTAAAATGGATAAATTTATTTTGAATTATTAGTTATTACCTTTTATCGACCCAATGCATGACATAGACATTCAAAATATAATAATAATAATGGACAATTATGTTATTTTACTCCTCACATTAAATGAATAAAGACATAGGTTAGAACTCATTGTAACAAACTTAAATTCCACAATAACACTGATCTTACTAAACAATTCAGTGGTTTTTTGACAGTGGCCTTGATTAATTTTTTTTTTTGGGAAATAGTTGTTTGAAATACAAAAAGTAGATGTAAATTTATAAATTGATTTATTTCTCTACTTCTAAATAGCAATATAATAAATGCTATTTTTTGATAATATAACATCTATACTTGCTCTTCTTAATTATAGAAGCTATCCAGTTAGGTAACAAAAGACTTAAATTTTAAGAGAATAACAATAAAACACATATTGCAACATTAAACTTTCCTTACATTGATTTAATGCTTATGGATGTTTCCCTTTATCGGAACCCCAGACAAAATGCCTACAAATGTTAACCACTAAAAATAAATAAGCAATAAGTTATACAGACATATCACAAATAATTAAAACGAAAACTACTTTAAAACAAACTACTAAAGTTGTTCTCGATGTTGTACAAAGCTTGTGACAACACTGCTGGTTCTCTCTTATGATTTGTGGGTGTTTCAGGCATTGGTTGTTTCTTTTCTGCATCAGGAGAATTGAAAAGGGAACTGAATACATCCATTTGTATATAATTGAGAGATTGCAGAATAATACCTTTGTCAGGATAGGGTGTGCGGGGAACATAGTACCTATCATAATTTATATTTTGAAGTTGTGGTGTGTTTGATAGGTCTTGGGCTGTGGGTCCTTTGGGTGGTGAAGTTGGAGGTGGTGGTTGCTGTGGGGAAGATGGTTTTTTGACATCTGAAAATAAAATTGGTTGTAATTCTGTATTCTTTTTAAATAAAGAAAAAACTTATAATAAATCCATTTGGTGTAAAATTAATGTAGGTAAGAAAGTTTTACCTAATGATTGTACCATTCTCTCCAACTCCCTTAATTGTGTTTGTTGCTGTTGAACTGTGAAGAATAGGTCAGTAATAGTTCCAAGTATATGCTTCATTTCCTGTTCACGTTTTTCCTCCTTTGCAGTCTCCTTATTGCTTTGTCTAGAAATAAATTATTAAATATTAGTTGAGCGGAAAATAAAAATTCTACCTTTAAAACTATTATTTCCTGTGGAAATTTAAAGTAGCATTATATTCTTATTCTTACCTACTATATTCAACAATTAATAGACCAGCACCAATAACGAAAATTACAGTTTCACCAAGAAGATTTGCCCCCAATTCTATTGCCATTTCCTGGCTGAGTACTGGTATATTGACTGGTTTCCCCAAATTCAATATCCACATTTTCGCTTTAACTTCGCACCAGTTATAAACTGAAAAACAAATTAAATATCGATGAAAATTTATTAATATTACTGTCAACATATCGTTAAGTCAGTAACTTACATTGGGCTGGCGGCATGCAAACATAAGTCCTGAAAAAAGGACTATTTTTGGCTCTTTCTTTACACATATTTGCAATAGGTTTACTGATCTGTTTAATTAGTAATACAGATAGTTTTGCAATAGGAAAAGCTCCAACAACCATTTTTGTGAACAGCAAGCACTATTTATATTTAGCTTCTGTTGCTTTATAACATAATATTTTCAAAAATTATTACATAGGCGTCTGAAAAGAGTATAAAATTTGCAATCCAATCGGTAACACCTTTTTTGACATTGACATTTTTTTAGTGTTACATGCTTTGGTTACATGTTCCACTGTTATTAGTCAGTCAAAAAACTCCAATATCTTTTTATTTATCACGCGGAAAGAGTGATTTTATGAGAATGTCCATACATTTTTTTTAAATTCAACATACATTTGAAAAAATATGGAATTTTGAACATTAAATTACGAGCGATTTTTTTAAAATGAAAATCAATAATGTGTAAAACGGCATATCATTGACTTTCGTTTCAAAGAATTGTCTAAGGACAAATCAAAATCATAAAAAACGTAAAAAAAAATATATATATATATACAATTAGGTACATAAGATTCATTCAATACACACAACAATTTATTCAGATTTGAATAAAATTATCGACTTATTTGAATCTTTGATTGTCTGTCGAATATATTCCGAATATCAAAAGGAATCTACATTATTATTTGACAGTTTGACAATTTGTTTTTGACTGTTAGGTGGTGGTTATGTTTTTATTTGCAAAATATTATGTATTTTATTTGAAATTGGTTGAAATGTTACTTAGAAATTAATGAGCTAAATGTATTAAAAAGTGTAGTAAATAAATATGAGGCGCCTACCTCTTTGTAAACTTTTAATAACTTTATGTTGTTGTTTTATTGCTATTTATTTATATATTTTAAGTACAAAGGAAAATGACAATAATTTTAAGGATTATGTTGTACCTAAGCGATTAAAGTATGTAATTTATCAAAAAGATTCCGACTTACTGGTTTAATAACGCATAAGTTTATCCTTGTAATTTTCTTGCAGAGCTGCAAGCCAGGTCAGGATAGTAATGTCGTTTGTTGTGTGCGATTCAAGATTTAACGAGTCCTTAAATGTTATAAAATCTGTGCTAATATTCACAAAAACGCCTGTTCATTTTGTTATTTTTACTGACGATAAATTGCGACATTTGTTTAATGACACTCTGAGCAAATGGAAATCCTTATTAGGAGACCAATTAGATTTTGAGTTGCAAGGTATTCACTTCCCAGAAGCTCACAAGGAAGACTGGATGAATCTGTTTAGTAAATGCGCTGCCCAAAGATTGTTTATACCGGTAAGTAAACACTTATGTTTTCTAAAATCTCAAAGATTAATTTATTTCTGGTGTGTATCAAATAGAGTTGGCGTTTGGACAGATAGGCATTGGAACAAAATTAAGTTAAGATATTATGGTTTACAAAACTTTGTGCTATCACTTCACGTATGTGGGATAAGGGCAAAGAGATGATGAAGAAACTGCAAAATATTATCAGTGTTATTAATAAACATTACAATTACTTTCTATTTCTTCAACTAGACATATTTACTCTTTTTCTGAGAATTAATTTTCTATGTATTTTTTTTGTTTCAGAAACTTATTCCTCACATTGATGCTATGATATATGTTGATACAGATACTTTATTTTTAAAGCCAGTTGATGATTTATGGAATGAATTTTCAAAATTTAATGACTCTCAGATATCAGCTATGGCTGCTGAAGATGATAATCCTAATGTATCTTGGTACCCGAGGTTTGCAAAACACCCATTTTATGGAAAATATGGTAATTATCTCATTGAAATTATGTTTTAAATTTTTTTTGTGTCAATCCTAATTGTAAATATAGAATTTAAATTAATAAAAGACAAAAAATATTTTAATTATTAAATCAGAGCATGGACAAGTGCTTAATTTTATTTTTTGCTTTTTTAGGCCTCAACTCTGGTGTAATGTTAATGAATTTGACAAGAATGAGAAGTTTTGGATGGGTTGAATATGTTACCCCAGTTATGCTTAAATGGAAATTATATATTCCCTGGGGAGATCAGGTTTGTTTCATGCTTTTTATTGTATTACGTCTGTCTTGAAATGCTCTACAGATTATCTTAGCCTCTACATGTCACCTTGCGTTTGGCTTGTTTTATGACTGTTGGGCTATCGGGGTAATTTTTCTAATAATATGATATATTTTTGCAGGATATAATAAACATAATATTCCATTATCATGAGCGTGCGGTGCACATTCTCTCATGTCGGTACAATTACCGATCAGATCAGTGCACATATGGAGATGCGTGCGCTGACGCCACGCAGTACGGCATATACGTGCTTCACGGTAGCAGGGGAATATTTCACAATGATAAACAGCCAGCATTTCAAGTAAGTGTAACATAAAATAATGGTTAAAAACGAAATCGGCTTAGTAGTTTTTTTAAACAATACCGTTATATTCGTCCGGTGGTGGTACCGATTAATTTCGAGCCCATTGGGAGCTCTTCATCAGGGTGAGTGGGACTTCAGCTTCCTGCGCGCCTGCGCTCTTAGGGCGGGTCTTGAGGGGGTGTGGGGAGCGTCGTGCGCCGGCGTCGTCGACGATGTTGATATCAAAGCGTCGGTGGTGTTGTTGTTCAAGTTTTTATATCAGTTTATTATAATGTCTCACGAAAGTTTGAATAATATAATACCAGTATAATTGATTTCTTTCCAGGCTATATATCGAGCTGTTAGTGAATATGATATAAGAACAGATCCATCGGAGGTAACAAAAAATATGCATAAATATTTAAAGGAAGCATCGGAATCAAACTGTGGGAATGTCTTTGAGACATTGAAACATAATTTTTAAAAACATGACATATTTCTTTATATATAATGTACGTTAAAATTTGATATATGAATTTTCAGGTTTTATTTACAACTGAAGTTAATGCTTCTCATTCCAAACTACCTATAAATATGACCAAATATTAAATGTAGCGAATTCCATTAAATATATAATAGCTTAGGGAGGATTAAAGAAAAACATAGACCGTATTACGTACCTATATCCGTTATGTAGTATGTTCATACAACAACCAGTACATCAATGGAAAATCATTTTAGTTTGTAAAGTTCACATGGGTTTTATGACACTAGCTTTTGTCCGCGAACTCGTCATCGCAGAATAAAAGAATCTAGTAATAAAAATAGCCTCTATTACTCAGTGATAATGAAGCTTTCCATTGCCGAAATAAATTTTGAACTTGGTTCAGTAGTTTTTGAGTTTATTTGTTACATACAAATAAAAAAAAATCTTTATAATACCAGTATTGAGTATATATGATATTGTGCTCTTAGATTTCTGGAGGAGAGGCGTATTCAGCCATCCGAATTCTAAGTATTTCTCTCTACTATATTTATAAGTGTTTATATTAGCTATTTATTTTTTTTTATACATTTATATTATAAATTGCAACTCAAAGATTTTTTTTTTAATAAAAGAGTAATTAAATGTTATTAATTATGAAAATGTGTGTGCCTTATTCATTACGAAATGATAAGTTGCGTAGAATACATTAACTGATGTGTTTTATAAAGAAAAAGATTTTGATATTGACTTGTATTAGGATATAGTTACCTAAGAATCTCTGCCGAAAATAAATTATTTCTGTATTATTTCGTAAGATAAGTTGTAAGTAAGAAACGTAACATGTAATTAATTTTTTTCTGACTCATTGTATTTTTATTTCATTAAATGTTACAATTTTGTGTTCCAAGCCATGCTGATATAAGAATATTTTCAAATTATTACAGATTTTTTAAAAAGTTTTTTGCCGCAACGTCTCGTCTTTATAATAGTAGTAATTGTTACCAACTTAATTTATCATGTTATTAAAATAAGCCGATTATATTTTTATAGTTCTCTTACAATTTTTAGACATTACGTAATATTCAAATGTCTTCAATTTGTTAAGAGAGATGTGTATTATTAAAGATATAGCAGTCGTCCGCGACTCCGTCCGCGCGGAATTTAAAAAATCTAATAATAAATACAGTCTACGTTACTCAGGGATAATGTAGCCTGCCAACAGTGAAAGAATTTTTTACATCTGTTCTATAGTTTGGGAGCCTATTCCATGCAAATAAAACAAACAATCAAATCTTCCCTTACATCCACTCGGCAGCAAAACGCCGCGACGTAATCTCGTTGTCTTCGCGTGGACGCCCAGTAAACGCCTCTCAATAGACAATACCCGATGAGGCTGAGTTCACTCGTCGTTCACGCGTTGATTTTGCACAGACAATACGCGCATTAGACTATTTTTTTACGTGTTTTGGTATTTATATACTCTGTCCAAGCTTTAAGAAAGCAATATTTTTAAGTCTACAATATAAACAAAAATGTTTTTTTAAATATTTTAATTCAAATAAGCAGTATTATTTTATTTTAATTTTTAAAATTTTCTATATATTTGTATGTGGTTTTCTTTTGTAAATACATTTTTAGTTGTAAGAATATTTCCTTAAATTTTATTATTGAAGGTAATTGACAAATGTTTGCACTTTATTTTTTATTTGTTAACATATAAGTATGCACTCAAGATATAAACTGCCTCATGTTTATAAGTAATTATATTTTTATTACAAGGAAAATGGTTTTATTTTTATTTTTGTTTCAACTCATCGACTGTATCAAAAATTGTCTGTAAGAACAGGATTTTGCTTACAGACAGAGTAAAAAGACAACCAATATTGCTTTTTTGTTCGTGTCTTGAAAGACGTTAGATTTTTTTTACTTATTGGTTACTTGGAAGGGATTCAAGGAACGAAGAAGTTATTATTAAAAGAAATAAGAAACAGAAAATGTTTCGTCTTTAAATAAATTAAAATGACACGATATTTGTATTTGCATATGAACCTTTCAAAGAATTATTGTACGTGTTTTTAATTTAACTCGTTTAATTTTGCATTTTTATGCGGTAAACATAAATAAAAATATACCTTTACAATAACAATATAAAAAAAAACAATGAACGCAGACGCGATTATTTGTAATTCTTTTAATTTAATTTGTTAATTTGTCACTAAGGAAGGCGCTCGGGCTCGATATTTCACCATAATCAAATATTTGACATCCAAAGTCGCGAAATTAATTGTATTATGAAACTTTATTAGCATAAAACAAGCTATTGCAAAAATATAAAAATTCTCTAATGTTGTACCTACTTATTATAAGGTAGTTCTAGCAATTCTATAATCTTTGGTTCAAAAGTAACATTGGCCCGGCCTAAAGTCAAAACTTGTTTGTTCCCTGCGGTTATATTAAATTGGTCAGTTGCGTTTGTCCGTGCGGTCGTGTTCGCGAGACAGAAATATGAAGAACGTATCGTCTATTGTATTTGTATTGGCCGCAGTATCTATAGCTCTGGTATGGAGCGATACACCCGCCGAGCAGTGCGAAGGTGAGATTTTAAAAGGGGGTATTTTTTAATTTCACCATATTTAAGCGTGTATTTTTATTATATTAAATAATCCTTATTTCTATTCTTCCTTATCCTTATTTGTTTTTTTAACTGTAATTACTTAAGGATTTGTAATAAGTAGCCGATACTTATTACAAACGACCTATTAAATTATTAATATCTTTATTATTAAAATAAGATTTATCAATTTAAAACACATATTAGATAAAGCTTAGATTCCCATTGATTTATGAGTGGTAAACGTTTTAATATATAATCGTATATTAGATAACTTATGATAAATATATTAAAAGGGTCTCGACAGACGGACGGGCAACTAAGTGATTCTATAAGGATTCCTTTTTTTTCTTTCGAGGTATGGAATCCTAGAAAAACAACATTACTATTATTTTTAATATTATTGCTTGTGAATAGATAAATAAATTTTATTTATTGATTGAACTCGTGCGTCTTTTAAAAATACATAATTTAACGGAATAACATTGACTTCTGTTAGCACTCTTACCACTAACACTGCTAATAATACGGAAATATCATACAATATTAAATTATGACCTTAACATTCTTGTTAACACATTGTTCAGTGCTCAGTGCTCCTAACCTTACTTAAAACATCCATCCATATAAACTTTCGGATTTATAAAAGAAGTAAGATGGCTTTAATACTATAGAATAGATAGAAACAAAAGAATCAGAGACGTATTGACATGAAAGAAATAAAGGTGAATGTTAAATCTTAATTATGTAAGTTATAATATTAAAAAAAGGGACGAAGTAATTGTACTTCTATAAAACTCCAGACATGAAACGATTTCAATAACACCGCAGACTTTAAAATCAGTCCAACCGTTCGATTTAAATGGTTTTAATTGTAACTTATTCCAATTAACCAATATCAAAAACAAGAAAATAAAATAGATAGAAACCCAATCTTAAAAACAATATAAGAAAAACATTACTTTCCTGGTCGATAAGAAATTCCTAATCTGTGGTCTTGTGGACACAAATGTAGACACGATCTCGCTCAATAGAAGACCATTTAATTGTAATTGAGTGAAGCCAATGAACAGCGTCATTGGACGCATCTTTATGCGTTAGTTTTGATGTTCCTCTGTAGATCTGATATCTGCTAAACAAAAAGTATCTTTGTGCATGATTCAAATGTTACATTACCTGTAAATTATATTCGTGCTGCGATAAACGTTCAAAAATATAAACCTCCTAAAGAGGTTATTTAACGGTTTGCTGTTGCTTTTATGGCATAGGTTGGAAAACCGTATAGCTTCTTTAATGTTGTCGTTCTGTTGAAAATAAGTCTTGTGATAAGCACTTAACATAACATTATCACTCTGCACCATTTGATAAATATCCTTTAAAAAGTAAGGATACCACTTGCATGTATTAACCTGTTGTTTTATCTTAGTTTTTAACGAGAATGTTACAGACATTCAGATAAGGTTCGCTAAAATCATATTCACTAAAGGACGTGATGAATATTTTCATTTTTTATAGTTACTTTAGTAGCCAGTACAAGTCGTCTGTTACCCTGCAAAAATACAAAAAAAGAAAAAAAAGAATGGACATGTGTTAGCTTACCAAACATATTAAGACTAAAGTGTTCAAAAAAACTTAATGTAGACACTAAAACTTGTTGCTCACTTTATGTTAAGTCCCATTTACACTTTAATTATCTGATTATCTGTTTTTATATCTAAAAACTAATTTGGATAGAAAAAAAATATTGTTTGAGTATTTGAAAAACATTGTCAATGGTACGGTAGGTTTAGTTGCGCTGGGAATCGAACTCTAGATATTATGGTTGTAGCTTGAGCTTGCTACTTGGAGGTTGCGTATGTGAAATATTTTAGATAATTAATGTACATATATTAATTTTTAATTAACTTGGTTAATAATGCAATAGTCTAAACAAGGAAGTTCTGTTAACTCACATAGAAAAAAGTTAAGCATCCTTAACTTAATTAATTTTTTAACGTTATTACGTCTTTTATAAATAAAAATTCTCATAATATTTCGAGCAAGTGGCTTACCTTAGGAAAGTGATTTTGTTTACGTAACAATTATATGTAAATATTTTAGAGCCATTTAGAAAAGGGAATTAACCATAGTTCAAAAATGTAATTTTATATTGGTTTCAGAGACTAATTGTATCTTTTGTTTTCAATGATCACCAGCAAGATCTTAATAGTTCCAGTGTTATTAATACTTACAATAAATTTGTTTTTGTCTAAAGTGGTCTATAACTATACCGTGGGCGGAATCTGTCTGATCTCCCCTATTTCTATAGCTTAAAAAAACACTAAAAGAAAACAACATCGTTTGTACATTAGACAATTTCCTAACAGTGAATGATGAGTACCGGAGACTCAATTACTGTTAACGAGCAATTCCTGTTCAAACCTAACGAGTTACGGGAACTTTGTCTTGACTGTTATGATGTGTGTAGGTGTCACACACTACGTACATACATACGTATATAAAACTGAATAACCGAACTTTATCTGCCTGTCTTGTCAGAGTCTAACTTTGTAATAATATAATGGTTGTTTGCGAGTTCTAGTTTGCTTATATTGTTTTGTTTGTTATTGTCGGAAATCATTAAAGTATACACATAATCTGTAACTTACGATGCATATGATTTCTGCTTCATGAATTACGGAATATTTAGACCATCGCTTAGAATAGACAATAGAGTTTTAATTATCTTTAACTTATTTTTTATCGTTATTTTTTTTATTAATGAATACCGTTGTTCCGTTGTCCATCATTATTTCCTTAATTTTGTACAATAACTTCAAGAATTTTATTTATTAAAAAGATTCAATGAAAATATTGAAAAAGACGATAATTTGACGCTACTGCGTTTTGCACCTTAAAATTTACTGAACACTTATTTTATATTACTCTAGTTTATCGCAAAATTTCCTCATGGTCAGAAAACGGTACGGCCTTATTAAGTTAAAAGGTCAAAGTTAAATAACTTTTTGTAAATAAGTTAAATATTATTTTCAAGTAAGATAAAATAGGTAAAATAAATAAATGGTGTTATTCAAAAGAACAGATAGTAATAATGTATGTAGATATCATACAGTTCCATTCAGTGTACAAGTTTGACTAGCAATCTTAATAAACTCCAAACTTATTTTTTTCAGGACAAAATTTCGACGATCTCCGCAAGAGAATCCAAGTTATACCGTGCGGGAGGAGTTCTTGCAAGCTACAGAAGGGCACCAACACAACGGTGATTTTGAAATTCAAGCCAGGTATGTATTATGTTATAGTTGTGTCATAGTTAAAATAAAATTATATATTCCATCAAGTACTATTAAATGATAATTAACATTATCACAATCTATGAAAACTTATATTATTAGAAGTACTTGAAAAATGTCTTCTTTCTATCCAAAATTTCGCTTTTTTTCTCGCACTTTTAGCCGCTCGACTACTATGTTCTGTGTTTAAATATTGCTTAAGTATTTAGCTAACTTCCGCCTTCTCATTTTCATATCGTGAGATTGCGATAACATTAACAAAATTTACAAGATGAAATCAAGAATATTCCTCAGATGTAGATTGGTAATTTTTGAGCTAGGTGCAAATTAGAGTAATTAGTACCTTAATAAACAAACTAATTATATTCATGGTTGATTTCAGAACATGAGGTGAAAACGCTCGTGAATGAAGTATACGCGAAAATCGGGAACCTGCCCCTGCCATTCCTGGGGGTGACTGATGTGAGCGCGTGTCCTCAGGTGACGCGCGTCGACGGCTCCCCCGCGCCCTGCCCCCTCGCCGCCGGGGAGGAGTATGTCTACACAAACGTCTTCCCCATAGAGTCCTTTTATCCTACAGTTAACTTACGCGTGCACTGGGCGCTGAAAGATGGCGAACAGAACGTCATCTGCTTCGAAGTACCCGCTGTCATTACACCTGCCAAACCTAAGTAATTTTTAGTCCTGAAACAAACTATTTCAATCGATATTATATTACATATTATGCTTTCATAGAATTAAAAGAATATGATAGTAAAAAATGTTTTTATTCTTTCAATATTTATCTAAATACAAATGCTCCCTGTACGCGTAACATTTTTTTTCTTATTTCAAACCTTACAAGTTAAATATAGTTAAATTGATTTAATATAAATGGATGTACTATTGAGATTATTTTAATTAACATCACTTTTCCAGTCATTTATAAATACCTAAAATTTATAACTAGTTATAAGACAACTGTTTTAAAATAAATTTAAGTATAAAGTAGAAATCTTATTCCATTTATAATTGTTTACTATTGAACGATTCTGGCGGGTACTTCAAAACAAATAAATTTCTTTTCACTAGCCTCCAAGGCCCAGTGAACTTGAACAGGTATCGTGGGATAGATGCCGAGGATGGGGAAGGAATCTTTATACACATACTTCGTGCCGGCTTTAAGAGGGCAATCCGCTTTCTCGTCACTTGCCGTGAATATTTTACTACATATGGAGTTACCGTCCACTCCGATAAAAGGCACTTTCACTCCGAACACATTGGCTGACACTCTGTTCTTTATTTCGTCGAAGTCAGTATCTGAAAAAATAATAATAATTCCAATATTATTTCAACTCCTTATTCTCATTCTATAAGTACAAATTCTATAGTGTTGCTATCATAATATTTTCGATTGTTTCTATTTTCAAATGTTCGTCAAACTAAGGCTATGGTATAAGAGTATATTTTGCCAGACTCATTTCTTTTTATTAAAACTCAAATGAATGCAGAGATAATAGAATCATATTTAAATTATGTTTAAAAAAATTGTATCGATAACATAAGCTGAAATACAATGCGTGCTTGTAATGGACCATTATTCGTATGCCCTTATAGCCTTTGTTAACATTTATTTATTCTCGAAATAGGTTTTGGGTGACGTAAGATATATCAATGAACAAATGGAATCATTTCGTCATTACGTATTATAGATTTATAAACTTGTATCTTGATATTGTCTCAACTTGAACCTTTGTTATATGGTTTTATTTATTCCAATGGCATACCGATTCTGTGCATAATAATATTAAAAATCTAGTCACATATTGTCATTCATGTTAAATTTGTTACTGTTAGCATAAAATAACCGCCAATATACATGTGGGTTTTATTTTAGTGTGACTTGTAAACACGGTTTCCATTGACCCAACAGTCCAAGACATAGAAAAATCTCAGTTTTTTTTGACAGTGAAAATCCGCTTTGTATATAACCTGATCTGAAAATCTTACGTGCAAAATACATTCTTAACGTATTGTCGGAACTTTCCTTCTAATTCTACACGCATACATCTAACGAAAGCCTGTTAGCGAACACATACAGTCTATAATTTACTAGCGTAGATGCAGTCAATTGCAAATTTAATTATATTGCAGCTGTTTCGATACGTATTACAGGAAATTACAACTTATTTCCATTACAATTTATTATGCAAAGAATAATAAAATATACAAAGTGTAAGGATAGCAAAAAATTACGTCGCAAAAATTTTTGACCCTTGATTTTTGATGTATTATATATACAATAGGATTCGACATTAATACGGTCAGTACGACTAACAAGATAAATTTAAACGCATTCGGTTAATTAAATTCGAACTTTAGTTTTTTCCTCAACTGTTACAAATGTCAAATGGACGTTTGAAACTTTAACGGTTAACGTTACTTCGTTGTTTAATGCTGTCGGTTCATCTGTTCACAATAGGATAAAAGTTACCTAGGATAGATGTATTTACCTGGTGTAAACTCAATGGTGATGAACTGCTCTGTTCCCTTCTTTAGTTTGCACGGCAACTTCTTGCAGGGTCGAATTTCTACCACGCTTTCTATTACATGCTCAGGACCATCTGCAATTCAAATTTAAAGTTTGTTAGTCTTCAAGTCCATGATTGTCGTTGGCGCAGAGTTTAAGCATTAGAATTATAATATTCAGATGCATGTGTTTTCTATCTTCTAATTACAAATGCACATTTATCCGACGATCTTACGATGAAGAAAAATTTCGTAATGTAACCTGCTCATATCTACGAAGAATAACCAGGATAGTCAACCATCATGCACAGGGCCAAGGTGGTTAACCATTCCCTAGTCACCCTTAACATAGGGTAGGTCCTCGGTAGGGAAGTATAGGGAGCCAATACTGACGAATTATCGAGGCGCCCAGAGAGTCAGACATGATTTTTTAGGACAATTGAAATCCAATTCATATATTTTTAATAACATATACAAATATAACATTCTGTTCCACAACCTCTCGGGGTTTCGGCAAAAAATTGTCCGGAGTTTTTATCTCAATCAACGATTTGAAATAACTATCATGATAATTCAATTCATATCATTTGTTTTCACAATATTATTTATGTGTACTGTAAAAAACAACTTTTTCAACTTTAATACACGTATTATTTTTATTTATTCATATCCTTATCATTTATTTATGTTATATTTATTTATATCCGTAGTTGGTATGAACGTGACATTTTATGTTTACCGCAAACAAGTCAGACTTGATGTGATCTTTACCTTATTTACGTACAAAATAACAAACGATTTAAATAGCCTCTTACATCAATATATTATATTAACTGGCAGACGCGATATCGACTGCTTAAAATAAAAAAATGAATTATTTTCTATGGCATTATTTCTAATTGTTATCTATCTCTGTTCCAAATGTCATCCAGATCACCTATTCTAATGTTACGTGATAACAAACATCTATACGTCCAATTTTAATAAAATGTCTTAAAAATAACAAAGGATAAAATCATCAAAATCTACTTTGTCGCCAAAGATAAATATGTTTAATGAGGTAAGAAGATTTTGCGTGTTTATCTTAAGGTATGCAACTGCCAGTCTTGAGGAAAATGTTCCACCTATGTTAATGTGTATTACTTCTGCATTACTAAATGCAAACAATACATAAAAAATCTGCTCTCAGCCGCAATCGTTGTCATAAGAAGTTACTAAGTATGCTATTGTATTACTTAAATGCTTATTATCTCGCAAAGTGAGCTGTGACATTGAATCTCACGTCACAAAACTTAAGAAAAGTTTCTTTACAAATAACACCTGATGATTAATAATAGCGAAGTTGCCGATATTGAATGTTAGTAATTACATCTTTTGTAACATTTTCTTATTTTTTAACATGTGTAATATTTTAAATTACTTATATTGCTTCATAAACAACGCGCTTGTCTCAATCTCTGTCCTTTTTATGTTTTCTACAGCAGCAACAGTGCACGTAAAATTAAATTAGAATCTCTTACAGAACTCTTACAGGTCTCGCCGAGGAGTTCGGTGTACGTTAATTATTTCAGTTCAATTGTCCAATGTAAGGCTGTGTACTGTGTATTCTCCATCAATACCTTAGTTTTTAGACACTATTTGAATGTCTTTTATCTATAAAAAACTGGTATCCTTTAACACTAATATATAATGGATAAGACGCAATACGCTTTCCTTTGTTACATTGAACGTGTATTTAACATCCAGCAATTTGCATCGAGCTATAATTAAGTTAATAGTAAAAACGTTACATACAACTCGTTAGATAACCGGTCGTCGCATGATTAAGCTGTTTCTAAATTGATAACAAATCCGGTCTGTCTCACTCAATTGAATTATCGTGATGTAATTAAAGGATAACTCATAAGCGCTTCGTTGTTATTACCTAAAGTACATTATAAGATAACACTAGTAATAACTAATAGACTCGCTACACACCCCTCAGTTTTAACTGTACAGACGAACTGTACTGATAAAATTAGAGATGTGTGGCGGTCTTGATAGGTAACATTTTGAGTAAAGTGAGTTAACTTTGTAATAAAGAGATGTGCCATCATATTTAACATTCATATTTACACACAAAGACATTTGGTCTATGTGTGTAAATTATGCCACTTCCATGATGAAGTCAAAAGCTACATCGAAATTGTTTATATATAGCCCTGCTTATGCATGTAATGGTTATTATGTATTTCATAAGCTTACAAAGTAACAAATAAGCAATTATGTGTTATGTTCCTAGCTAACTTAACTTGTATTATTTACACAGTATACTTGACCGCAATACCGGCATTGGTAAGAAAACAATATTTGTGCATGCATCTTAGCAACTTGGTGACCTTGACCTGTTCGATGAAACTGTTCGTCTTTAAGAATACATCTTTAATTTCCCAAAAAATATTATGCAAGTTATTAGTGAAATCTTTTTCAAAAAATATGTCGTAATTAGGCACTTGAACTCGCTAAAATATTGTCATCTACAATTTGCAGATGCGTTGCCTACCTGTAATTAACATAAAAAGGATATTTATCCTTCCAATTCCTATATTAATTTTAAACCTACATACATAATTAAGCTTGTTGCTAATTTATCAATAATATAAATAAATTAACAATAATTTTCATATCTATGGGATATAATGAAAATTGTCAATAGCGTAATAATCTAATTGTAATTTATTTTAATAAATAACATGACACAGATTTACGAATAGCAATCCGTAAAACTTGGTGATTTTTATTTTTTCTCAAGAATTTTTTTTTTAAAACTTAATAACATTAAATCATAACATTATAGTAAATAATAACGATAAAAACTAAAATTATAATTATGATAGGAGGCAAGCAAAAAATAATTTATCAATTTAATCTAAACTTATATTTAAATAATTAAGTTAGGTTTAAGAAGTTAAAATTTTCCATTGCTTCTAGCTGGAATATTCCTTTATAACTTCATCGAAAAAAAATTATATTATTATATTTTTATTCATATTCGTTTTGCCTATTATTGTTTTTTTTTGCTTATTTTTCGTCCAAATTATTTAAACATCAAAAATGCGTTTTCGTATTACTTTGCATTATATTTTAATAACTAACTGAATTTATTATAAAGAAACCAGTCTAACCAGAAATATACATTATGTATTGATTTCATATTGATATAAATCTTTCCGTCTAAGCCAGTAGGTCGAATAAGTTTCATAAAATAAATAAGCAAAATATATTATAATAGTATACTTTAATAGTTAACTCAAGTTAGTGGTAACACTAACTTGAGTTAAAGTTCATTAACGTAGTTCTTAATGTCTATAGTATGGTCCTATATCACGTAAACGGTAAAGTACGTAAAGAAAACAAAATGTATTGCAAATAAAAGGTAAAACTCTGTAGAAGAATAAGAGTCACACTTAAATATGTCAACTCGAATAAGCTTCGAGTGGTCACAATAAAATGGGTATTCCGTTGTGACCTTCTAAAGCCAACGTTCACATAAAAACATACATACGTAAAACATTACCATCCTGTTATACGCTTAGCACAAGAGACAGAGTTCTATTCAATTATAATTATTTTAAGTTAAATAAAGAATTTTTTGTTATAAACTTTTGCGATATACGTGGATAAATCTACTAGGTACCATTGGGCAAAATCATTCTAACCTTGAAACTAGTTTTTTTAACATCTGCAATGTATTTATTAAACAAATACATCGATAATGTGTTTGTTAACTTTACACGTGTCAGTATGCGACATCTTTGTCATGTTCTTTGAGTAATGATGATAACTAACAACAAACTAATAATTATAATTGCTAACATATGCTTGTGTTACTATAATTAACTTAGTTTCTTATTGCTGTAGGTATATATAATACATACTTTGATAGCATCTATAAAAACCATAAAGTTTCATGTTTTTTTTATTATTTTGAACTACATATAATCTGATAACTCATGTTCCTACAATGTAATCAATGTAGTTTTTCCTTATTCATTTGCGAATTACAGTTTTTACGTTTTAAAATATAATTAGCTGATAATTCATGTTCGTATAATCAAATAAAGTAATTTAGTTTCTTCTTATTCATGTAATAGAATTAATTACGTTTTTCATTGTTGTCAACTTAATGATTATTTTTTAAATAGCCTAACCTAACTTTATTTTTATGAATTTTAGGTTAGAACAATTTCCGCTCTACATGACATAAAACCTGAAAATGACCAAGTGAAGACAATAACGTCTGCGTTACTACTTACGTTGTATTTATAAACTCTATCGGTTTGGTTTGTTCTAACAAAATTTCACCGTGAAATAATGATAAAAATGTGATTCGTGTTGTATACATAAAGATTTACGACTATATTTTATTTTGTTAAAACTAATGCACGTAGCAAACTACGTATAGCAAACGAATTGAACGAATTTATTCAAGAATTTATTTTGTATTTTAATATATAGAATTCAAGATAGTAGCTAAATGTTCACAAATTATATGAAAAATATGAGCCAAGCTTGCTAACACATAGTTCCTACATAGTCCAGAGGAAACTGGTAACTTTATAATTTGCGATACATGGAAATGACGTGTAAGTTTAAAGATATTGATTTAAATATACAATGTTTATTTACCAGGTACGTGAAAAGTTTACCTAAGTGTACAAGCTACTACAGCGTATGCATTCGCGGGAGCGCTTTGGCGGTTCATAGAGAAATTCTGCGTAGTTTGTTAGTTTGTAAACTTTCTTGTCTCAACAATTCAACTTGTTCTATAGTTCTGTTGTTCCAATCCTTTTTGTACAGCATAGGATTGAAATTTGAATTACGTGAATTTCTTTAAAAGTAAGGTCTACAATAAATATCTAATAAGAAACGTACCATATTATATCACCACTTCACATCACGTAGTTTCGTGGTTAAACACTGCTTTAACCATTGTAAAAAAAAGAAAAATAAAGCAAAACTGATACAAGGTTGATACTTAAAAAGATATTTTGACAACATACAATTACTTCTATTTGAGGCACGGCACATAAATCACTTCTATTTGAGACATAAAAATATCAAGGTTAATATTTTTTACATAAAAAGCTATCTAAATAATGACTGGGTTTATTTTCAACAGTTCAGATTGTTCAGTTTAAACCAGATGCAGTGACAATTGCACCAGTATATAACGTAAATCTGCTTCTCTCGTGCTATAATTAGTAACTACTATTTTATAGTTGCAATAAAAGTTAATCCAATTTACTTAGCAATGAACTTTACCGCGAGATAAAAATCGCCTCTATTCATTATTATTAAACGAAGAATTTCTGTGTTTTTCCTTTTTCAATGGAAAATTTATGTGATGAACAAAGATTGTTTACGTTTCATTGTTTAATAAAAATATGAAATTTTAAACATTAATAATGTCAAAGATTAAAACGAGACATAAAATAAATATTGTCTTGTTATTTTGTTATTTTTTTATATTATTAAGCACTTACGCACCGCACCGTATTTGTTTAAATCCGTTAAATTCTTTAATGAATATTAATAATGCTGAGACCATTACAATGTAGGTATTATTTCATTTATAATACTTACATAAAAAATTAAAATTTTCGCATTATTTAAATCTCGCTGGATTATTTTGCTTCGACTTTTTTTGGTTTAGTAAGTTTGTTATTATAAACACCAACAAACTTAAACAATCGCTTGAAGAAAAAATGCAAGATGTGCTTTATTACTACCTCTCATCTTGGCAGAAGCAGTACAGTATTTATTTAGAAGCAGTACAGCCTTTATTTTTATTGGGGCACAAGGATTTGTTGTGGCCTTCCCTTTGAATAGACCAGGAAAGCTCTTTTTACAGAAACTTTAACTGGATTGTTTTGTGACTACTAAACAAAAAAGTAAAAACCTGTATGCAGACTGAATAGTATTTTAAAATACGTGATATTCTCGCTAAGACAAGTATTAAGTGGCCATAAACATTTCACTGTCAGGTCGACTCTCATTTTCAAAAAGGTTTATGTACAGATGAAACCGTGTACTTATTTAGAACTAGCCACGCAACTTTTAGTAAGGGTCATTGCACTTTAATAAACCTTCGTATCAACGTTAATTATTGCCACTGATTAAAATATACTTAGTACTATTTCAAGCAAGAGTAATCAAGTACTCTATAGTTAAAATTCTTATATTAATTCTGATTGAAACTGGCTATCTATATATATCATTTAATTTTTTAATCGTAATCGTACTGAAACTAGGTCTATGTTGTTTTTTTATAGACTATTTATCATGACGACATTTAGGGCTTGGGCTGAAAGACGAATAATAATAAGTAAGAAGATGTAATAATTCGAGCGATTACGACCACGGGGTATATCTAAAATAGTTCAAATTATACCAATAAATAGTAATAGCAATTATACCCATTGTACTTCAAATAAATAAAATAATATTTTACTTGTCTATTAATACGATTAATCAATAAAAAATGTGAATATCATTTGAATATTTCTTTAAATTATCATTTGTGATCATAACATTATTGAAGATTAAAAATAACGTAATCTATTGTATGATTTCACAATATGCTATTAAACTTTTTTGGTGTTCATCACAATCGATTTATTAAGAAAATAGGGGTAGATATATAAATATCAACATTACGAGCTATTTATTTGAGTATACTGTGCATATAGAATTTAATATAAACTCGAAATTATCTCCTGTATTGTTACGATTTTGCTTAAGAGTACAAAGGTTACCAAAGTCAACTAGATTAGATTCGTTATTCGCTAATGTGTCTTACAATTTTATTGACTTCAAGAAAGAGATTATTAAATGTTCCTCTGTCAATTTATGAGATATTTTGTTATTGTATATAAATGTGAGTGTGTACATTGGTAGGGTACAAGCCTAGGAAGAGATAGATGGATTGCATCAAAGATTATTACGAAATAAGTGACAACTGATATGAGAAAGATGAACTTGGAAGACGAGAAATTTGTGCGCAAAACCTACATAAGTGGGATACAGGGAGATGATGATATATTTTTTTCTAAATTAAAATAAACTTAAGCAAATGTATTACGCGTATTTGATTTAAACGTAACTTTATTTTTTTTAATTATAATTCAATGATTGCAGTTTAGCGCTTCTAGTTTGGTACGTGAAATTCATCGATACTTGTTTTTTTAGAATTGCTCAAAGGTTTTACGTCTCAGGAAATAAATATTAGATAAAAATAGCTTTTTACCTTTGATCTTGGATTTCTTATAGACACTACCTTAACCCTGACCAAGTATGTCTAGATATAGGAAGTTAGATGATTTCCTTTACTTGATTATCTTGCGATTTTTCTTACAAATGCTCGCCTGCAATTTCTAACTAAATATCACCGTAAGCGATAATTCAAGGAATATGTTGTTACAAACTTTTTGTAATGTGCATTTGTATATGAAAAAAAACTCGGTTATGTTACTTCGATTATATTAGTTAGATATTTGTATAAAAATAAACAAGCAAATTGACAATTTTAATTGTATTTCACAAAATTTGAAGTCATTCGAGTTTTAGGAAAAGTTAAGTTCCCTACATAAAGTTACATTATGGATATTATTATTAAACGTTTGGATAAAGTTAATAAAATAATGCATTATCTAAAAAGTACGCATACCTTTTAAATAGTTGTTCAAAACTTGTATTCAAAGTAAATAATTTATAATTGTTAACAACAGAATAGCATATAAGTAAATGTTGTATATATTTACACTAAGATTCCGAACCTAATCGACTCTTGCAATGTTTGTATAACATTCTACCTAATTCCTCTAAGCTAAGATATTGTTTTAATTATCGTATCTTAGTGGGGGTATTAATAAATATCAATATAATTTCTTAAGATTGAATAAATAATTGTAGAGTCGTTGCCTATATCATTGGCAGTGTTAAATGAAGTTGAAAGCGGGTTAAGGTATTACGTAAAGCGTACTCACCGACGCACTGTTGTACTTCAGTGGCTGTGGCAAAAGCCAGCGCGACGAACACGACCACACTCGACAGTATCATGGTGCTGAATGACAGTAGCGCTAGGAGGAGGAGTATTTTGTGTTCAGTGACTCTGTCGCTCACGTTCTGGATCGAACGATGCTCTACTACTTATACCCGTTTAAAACATGTACACGTATTCTTCCGCACACATTCATCTGAATCTTTGTCTTCGATTTGTATTCGATAATCGATTGTTAAACTTTATTTTTTGCATAACATTTTAAATTTTATATTTTAATTCCTAGATCACTCAAGTTGGGGATTTTATAGTTTAGTGTTTAATGTTATAAGTAGTGAAGTGGTCGCGCTATAAGTTGTAAGGCGGTGAACCCAATAATACTTAATATTACTAATATTATAAATAAGAAAAATTTGATGGATCGACGGATGTTTATTAGAAGTTATGACCAAAACGGCTCAACAGATCTCGTTACGATCTCGAACAAAACTTGGCATAGATTTAGAAAATATTATAGTCTAGAAGAACACATAGGTAATCTTATTTTTATTTTTAATTCTGCGCAAAAGGAGTCACGGGCCACAGATAGTATTTAAATATTGTTTTCTATAGCAGCATTGGGTGCCTACTTAAATAAAATAGCAAGTTTTTTGTGATACTTGATTCAGGCATGTGCGGATTTACATATGTATATAAAAACTTTGTTATTTCGGAATAAATAAATGCAATTTGAAAATTTATATTTTTATTATTAATATTTTATCAAATTCTTAATCAGATTTAAATTGCTATAAAATACATAGATATTCCTCCACTAAAATGCAATACCCAGATCTACACTATAATTTTTTACAGATACTTTGTTTAACACGGTCGGATTGTTACAAAAATAAATCCACGAAACTATTTATTAGTTAATTTAAAAATGATAATAAAGATAATTATATTACAATTTTCATATACTAATTAGTTGATGAGATCTAAGTTTATTTTATGTATATGTTATTAGTGTCTGTTTGATTCCAACGACTTACAAAAACATCTTTGATTTCCATAGATAATGAAACTGCGTAGATATTTTTGTAACCAGGTTTGTGTTTGAACTAATACTGAATAGCACAAAACTAATCTATTTTCATCATTATACACTCGCCACTGCAAGAATCCGCGTCGATTCTGAAACATAAGGCAAACATTTAACAGCGGTGGAACTCGCGACAATATCTGTTGACGAATCACGGCCGTGAGCCAGGCGTCCGGCGGGTCAAAGGTGCCCGGGTACCGTGCCTTATTTATTAGCTCCGGGTACCCAATATGGGTAAAACAGCCATGTGTCAAATGTCCCCACTGGTGAAAAACCACCTCAAAGAAGATACGAGTGAAGTATTGTATGTTTTATTTCTCAAGTACAATCCAATTATCCTCCTTTTTACTTTCTCATATGAAATAAGTTGTTTAGCTAATATTTTGTATTTACCGCAGCGACATTAGTTGGTACTGTCATCACACTGGTGTATGACGTCACGGCATCTGATCTCACTGGGCAATGCACAGTCGCACACGGCTCTGAAATTACAACACAATTATTTAATAGACCTATTAATTACATTAAAGATGTCTCCTTATGTTCTCCTCTCAATCTATACGTAAAAGAGTATTGATTAACTGTTGGTTTCTGAGACTAAAATCTCTGTATAAAGTATCGTCCTCCCTGCCATTATTTTGGACAAAACAGAGATAACAATATGTTTTAAATTAAGATATTTAGTCTCAGAAATCCATGGTAATACGAACAGCCCAAACTACTGGACCTAAGTCTTGAAATTTTGGATGGAGTTTTTAAGCGATCGCTAAAAATGATTCAACGAAATTCATTCGACAAAGATGTAAATTACGGGGTAAATTTTGTAATAGAATTTTGCCCTCGCGGAGAAAGTCGTATGTAACATAATAACTCTATATTGTTAAGTCAGTTTTTATATTTTAGCACATTGATTTAAAATTTATTTCAAATAGGAAGCTGGTAATTTGATCATTTATTGTTTTGAGGCATAGAAAAAATGACTTTGAAATTAAACTTCCTTGTCAAAAATATTTGCAATCTGTAGAAACTAGAAACAGGACATGTTCTAAACCAGTTACACATCACATCAATTACACATTTAATAATTTGATATCTTATTTAAATATTATTCTTTTATAAACATGATGTCGGAAGCAGGCACCGAAAAGTTTATTAATTGTTTTATTAGCTATACCTACTACTGCTACTATTTTATTATAAATTTACCATAAACAAAAATAATCTATTTTTCTATTAAATTCTTTATTAACAGTTTAAATAAGCAAAAACCTTCAATACCAGTTAATATAATACTAAGTTCTATAGAGTGGATCGTGTCTTTATTTTAAGACACCATAATTACCTGGTGTAGCATTGGTTCTTAGAGTTATAAAGTTGATATTTAATAGTACATCTTGATCAAGCTTACGGGACTCGAACTCTGGAACAAAGAATGTTTTTTGTAGTTAAGTGTCGAAATTAGAATATGACGTCACGAACACAATTTTTCCGCTACTCAAAGAAGCGGTCCTCAGCAAATAAATGCTTCGACATTGAGGGATTCGAATCTAATCTCAGTTAGGAGTCATAGGCTGGTACAAATTTATTACAATGGATGAGTCTGCATTACTGCACCAATAGCTCGAGAGTGTAACGTATTTATTTTGTCCGTCCTCTCCTCTGTCTAATAACAGTAGACTCATTGTCATGTTTAATTTTTCTGCGCTTGCAATGAATTTAAAATGTTTCCTAGTCATACATGCTTATTGATAACATTCACTTAACGCAGTTGACCTGTTTAAAAAAACTTACCAGAAACAAAATGCATTGTAACGGGAACAAGATCACCGAGAGTAATGTAGCAGGGCAGTCGTCTGCCGCATCCATTTATATTCACTTCGTGTAATTCGTACGCTGACCCTGTTGATTAGGTATTTTACTTGATAGTTCGCAAAGGTCAAACGTTATTTAGATGATGCAGATTACACAATTATATACAATCTTATCTATTACTCAATTGCCTGCGACTTAGTACTCGCGGAATTAAAAAACCTTTTTCTAATAATAAATATAGTCTATGGTACCAGGGTAAAGTGTAGCTTTCCAACAGTGTAAGAATTATTGTTAAGTAGTTTCGGAGCCTATTCAATGCAAAAAACAAACAATCAAATCGTTCCTTTTTATAATATTAGTATAGAAGTATAGATTAAAAATATTATGTTGGAGGTCTGTAATCTTATGAAAATGAAATTAATATAATTACGTAAAAGATATCAATTGATAAATAACAAAATTGATTTATTAATCTTATAATCCTACATTCCTGAATCTTACTTTCTACATATATAGTAATTTCAGATTTGTTTCAAGTCTGTTATTCATTACATCATACTTTCTCTCTTCTGAACTACGCTTCATCTTTGACATCCAAAGGTTGACAATATAGAATAGGATGGAAAATAGAGAATAGTGTAAAATAAGTAAGTTAAACCTATTTTAAAATAGACAATTTTCACTAATATACTTTATGATTCACCTAGATTTCTACATTTAACCGTATTGTAGTGATAATTATTAAATACCAGCACAATAAAAAAGGCATAAAAATTAATCCACTTTGATTGCTAATCTTATAATCACGTTTGTGCACTATAATATTTAAATAAGTATAGTAACCAGTTTATAAATTAAAAATAGCATGATAAAAATGTTTAAATTAGAAATTATTGATAATATCAAGACTGTATTGCTTTGTTCTTTTATCAATCTAAAATTATAAACTTATCTCATTATATTAGATAATTATAATTAAATTATAATGTTTAAGTATATGATTTTCCCAGATGGATTTATAACTTCCAGATTGATGTATGATAATTTAAAGTAGAAGAAGAGAGAGATGTTTCGGAGGCGCGCGAAAACTCCGTGGTGTCTGCCTACCCTTCTGGGCGACGGACGTGAGTTACGTTGTTGCATAAATATATGGGTTTTTTATGATAATATTGTCAATGTAGTAAAAATTAAAAGATCTTCCGTCCTATAGTTTCTGAGTAAGTTATATGATCATCCAATTATTAAATTTTTGACTTTTACAATATTAAAATGCGTTTCTAGCACTTTATCTCATGCGATTGTGATAAATAATATCAATGCGCATTTCTGGTCTTAAAATGTTATTGAATGCGGTTGATATTAGCACGAATGTATTAAATTATTAAGCGTATAGGTAACTTATATATGCATATATTCCGATGACGGAAAGAAATAGGTGCTTTACATCTTAGTCATGTCCATCTGTAATAATGAGTACATACATATGATAGTCACTGTAACTTCCTACCGAAGACATTCCGTTTGGAATTACAATATCTTTTGTGTATAACCATTATTGTGCTGGACTTTGGTTTGGTAAGTCAAGTAGGAAACCATTAATTTGACCAAAGATATATTTATCTCAAATATGAACTAATGTTTATTCAAGTAGCCTACTAAAAATAAAATAGAAATCGGCGGTGCGGTTTGGACAAGGGGTGGATGAATGTGCGATATGGATTAACTATTATGCTTTGTATTGGATTGTGGAAGAATTGGATGTGTTATAACATTATTTTGGCTTGCTTTATTTTCTAACTTTAAATATGTTTCATAATAACCTTCTCCTGACTGACAATAACATCATCAACCTGCCTTTGTCCCTACGTTGGGTACTTTTTTATCGTGGGGAAATGCCTTTCACTATTACTAATATCAGTCCTCATACAATAACAAACATAACGAAAAAAGAACTAGCGAAATCGGTCCTGCCGTTTACGCGTAATGCCGTTACCAAGGAAAATAAGTATTCATTTGAATATAAGTATGTAAATATTTGTATTATTTACTCCATAAACATCATACGAAATTGATAATAAGCAAAATATAATCAAACACAAACTTGTTCGGTATAGGAAGTGGTATTTGAAATAAACGGTTCAAAGATTATTTCCGGTGGCGACGCAGTCACGTTAGTATGTATTTAGCTCCAAACAACTTACCACAGTCCTCGAATATCACGGACGCTGTGACAACAACAAACAAATATTGCAAAAATAATAAAAACATTTGTATCCGTTTACAACCAACAATGATGCCCAATATAATAATAGTTTTTTAACAAAGAGGCGCAAAAGGTAGCGATCGCGTATCGAATCAGATAACATATGAATAATGAACGCAAGTAATTATGATTGCATTTATTTGATCGTTATGTGATTAACAGTATAGCTTATCTTGTTATTAATGAATTACAAATCAATTTACTTTCACATATCAAGAACAAAACTTTGCATACAAATACTAAGTAATTTTATTGCGTAACAAATCCACTTGATAAGATCCCACAAAAAGGTCGAATGCGCTATTACCATGAAATATCAATAAGTATGTTGAAGTTGTGAAAGTTTTAAAAATAAGAATAACCAAAATCATTCTAACTTTAACAATGTTTGATATTGATCTAAGGGTGATCTACGCCAATTTAAATTAGATTACCTACCCTCAAATGCTGCTGTAAATGGAAATAACTTTACTATAACTTGTTATAAGTTCTTTGAAATGGCTCGAAACCCATTTCAAATCATATCAGTTGCAGAAATCAGCAATTTAAATATAAGTAACCGATTAACATCTGAATTTGGTTATTGGAAATACTATGAATACAGAAATGTTGTCTCGGCCGGAAATAGAATTTACGACCGTAAGAGTAAATATAAAAAAAAATCAATAATCAATATAATATTATGATATTGTTTGAGTGCTCAAAAGTGTTTCTAAAAATACAGATCTCATTTCTAATAATTAGGTAGGCTTGCTGCCTTCGACATGGTCGTCGTCAGTTTCATTAGACATCCCCGTTGAGGGGCTCAGAGTCTACTCAATTTAGAAGTAACTAGGCCATAGTCAACCATGCTGGCCCAGGGCGGGTTGGTTGACTGACTGATAACTTTGCATTTCGTCGCCGATACATGAACGTTGGTCACGATCTTTTCCGTTAAAGTAAGGCCGTGCGAGCGAGCTTGAACGTTTGGATTTCAGTCTGGTTACACGCTTAACAACTGCGCCACCGGCGCAATTTATACACTCTACCCTATATTTTTCCCGTCTTTAAGAAGAAAAGGAATAAATCAATAGCGAAGTTGTACTTCGATTTATGTCGTTAAAAACTTCTCATAAATTCGTTATTCGGCAATTGTTTTTTTTTCTTTACAAGAACATACTGTCAACCGAGCTGGCCGAAAGTTGACATTTATCCATCCTGATCTGTCAGAGAGTCATGTCATTAGTGTAATAATATTTTCTGAAGCTTATTTTTGGCTTATTTTACTTATTATTTAAGATAAGAACAATATAGTGTAGTTTTAGCCTAGGAATAAAAATAAAGTTCTGCCAAAATGGCTTCTTTTAAAAGATTATCAAATAAAAATAATGTAATTATTCGTTGTTTGAGGTTATGGTATTCAACAAGTAAAGAAAAAGTAGAAAAACAACCAAAACTAGCAGCAGATGTTTTAAAATACTTAGAAAATGACTCAGACTATAGCAAAATAATTGAAAAGTTACCTAGACCTCTGTTGAGGAAATATAAAACGCCAGAGAGTATGTATTTAATAAATACAACAACTGCAAAAGAAATAGCAGAAACTGTACGAAATCATATAAACGAAGAATCCCCCATAGTTGAAGTGAACCCCGGCCTAGGTTTCCTAAGTAAGGAATTGTTACAATGCACTAAAAATCACCTCTATTTGTATGAAACTTCAAGTCATTTTACCCAACACTTAGAAGTTAGTATGGTTAATATATTCATGTTTATATTTGAGCAATTATTTTACATTTCATCAGTTATTTCCATTTATATATTTTACAGGCATTGCAACGTGAAAAAAATAAAAGGCTAACATACAAAGTGGCAGATTTCTTTGGAATGTGGAAGTTGGCATTCCAGGATAAGATGGATGGAGGAAATCGACTATCAGAATTATTGGGTGATCTTGCTTCCCATGATAAAAGTAATAAAATTTATTACACATGTACAACATTATCACTATACAAATTCATTGAAAAGTGTAATAAAAATGTGTTAACTTCTGTATCCAACTTTGAGTAATATTTCATTAATGAAAGTGCATTTATTATCAATTTTCACATAAATTAAAATGTTATTGTCATAAAGCATTAATTGAAAGCTAGCTTCTGTGCTTACAATCCAGAATGCATAAGATACAAAATTGTAAAACTAATCCTATGTTTATTTCAGGTAGGATCATAAATATTGTTGGTGCAATGCCTGGTTTAAACTTTGTAAAACATCTTATTTTTAATATAGTATTTCACAATGATACAGACCAACTTGGAAGGACTGACCTTTTTATTACTATGCCTGCTCATCACTACAGGGTTGGTACTTTAAATATATTGTAAAAATATTGAACAAGTTCTGACTAAAATGTTTAGTATCTTACAGATAATGATATCCAAGAAAGAAAATTCAAAACAATACCAGCACTATTTCAGACATTTTTCGACTGCAAGGTTTTAATAAAAGTGCCTAAAGTACACTTTTTACCTTGGACTTATCCACCCAGTGGCAAAAAAGCTGCATTGGTATGTATTTTAAAAATTAATAGTACTGAAAACCTTCTTTAATATACCATTATATACTAATTACATGATAAAGAACATATATTTTAATAAAATTGTTTAAATAATAATTTTAGTAATAGGGAAACAGATGTTTTAATTTTCTAAAGAAAACTTTTAATCTGTTCCATACCACTATGATTTTTTTGTATGTAAGTAATCTCTCCATGCAAATTGATGGCACTGAATGTGTTAAAATGTATTGCAGATGGATGAATATTGTTTGTACTTAGTGAACATCACTCAGAAGGAGAAATTGCCTTGTCCTGCAGATTACCTACCACTTTTGTGGTATTTTTTCAAGCCACATATATGTTCAAAGACAACCAAAGTTATACCAATGTTAGAGTAAGTATGGGTTAAGTATTTTTTTTTAATTTCACTGACATATTGACATTTAAAAAATCATACATGTCAAATTAATATTTATTTTGCTTTTTTAAGACAATGGATTCCTGGTTGTGGAGTTTGGTTGATCACAGGACAAGACCCTCCGGATTCCAATAAGAGTTTAGGTCCAAATAATGAGGATGCCCCACTCCCGCATATGACAATATTTACTGAATTTGGTGATCTTAATTTAAAACAGAAAATTACTGTCTTCAAAAGGTATACTTACAAATTACTATGATAATTGTTATTGTTAGTGTTGTGTTGAATTATTTGTGTCTAATCTTGTAAAATTCTTATTCTAGATAAAAATAGTCTAATTATGAAATGTAAATTGAATCTTTTTTTTCAGATTTATATCATGGCCAGAATTTGAACAGTGTCCGTTCAGAGTGACAATGGAAAGTAACCTACCAAAGTCTATTTCGCAAATCGAAGATGACGATAAAAGAAGAATGAGCACTCATATAGATGATATTGATGTTTCTGATGGTGAAACTGATGAACATGAAAAATAAAAACCAGTTCACATTATGCAACATGTTTATTCCTTTTACAGACAAAATAAAGGTTTTCTGAATGTGCAATAAACTAAACACTATTGCAATCTATTATAATACATAAATTATAAGGCACAAGCAATTTATACATAAAGTTCTTGCCTTTGTTGATTTGAACTTCAGTTCAATAAATTTCAGAGATCTGAAGATGTTCTTCCTGTTTTGAAAAACAATACTAAATTAAATTAAAAAAAACATTGTATCTATGATTTATTGATCGATTTATAATAAACCCAACAAGGGTTTTAAATAAATGCAATGAATCAATTTAATACTTTGAAAATAAGTTTCATAACTTTTAATACAAACTACACTTGGACGAAATCGAAATACTTGAAAAAACCAAAATCTATTTTATTGTTTTTGGTGAAAAAGTGGAGATATGTGTAATTTTTACAAATTAATAAATAATTTTACTTACAATTCATTCATACATGAGGATTAGACATGGTAACGGGTGATTTTTTTTTATTGAACAGTACATTTTAAAATTGTGATGATATTTTATGCTACATATTTTTACAATTTTTTACAATATCGTAATCACCTCTATATACAAACAATACGTAATTTACCAAATGTTTTTAATAATTATTATCAATAGGGCACTGTCAATAGACCTCAAATAATTTTATTACAATAATTCCTCATATTTAATAGACAATGCGTTTTCTCACTATACAGTGAAAATTATTAAATTTTAAGACAACTCAGATTTAAATGACTATATTGCTTTATGCATTGAAAATGGATGATCATTTTATACAACAATTTTGGCTATGTTATTGAAAACTTTTTTACATAATCTAACAAAATAATGATCTTGAACAATGAAAGGCTATTACAATGATATGAAACTGATAAAAAGTACATAGATTCAAAAACGCACCCAATACTTATATGGTCTTTTATTTTATTCGCATCTTGAATCCTATTAGACTTATTTACCTTACACGATATCACCTACGTTTTAGAAATATTGATACATTTTATACCTCGGATTCATTTTATATAACAATATAAATATTATGATCTAAAAATCCCATCACCCTATTTACATAATACTTATTACATATCTAATTAAGTACATATTTAAAGTTGAAATGTTTAATTTGTTGGCGTTATAAATTTTGGAAATGTTTATCATTGTATGTCTTTCGACTCGATTTAGGTGTTATGTAATTTAATGTTGGAATGTCTAGAGATATCTGATTATTCTTTACATTTAATTTATTCAAGTTTGATGATTTCTGTAAGCTCAAATTCGTGTGAACGTTTAAACTTATCGTATTTAAGCCGTTTTGAGGTTTGATACTAGTACTAGAGACAAAGTCTGTCCATTCCTCTTCGTCGCCAAAGATTGGTGGTTTCTTAACAGACGTTTGTTGCTTAGGTTTACTGGATACAAATTCTCCCCAAATGTCGTCATCTAAAACTTCATTACGACTTGAATTCTTATCAGTATGAGCTGGAGAGTTTACTTTGCTCTGACTGTTAGAACTTATATCACTTTTCAAAGATGGGACAGTTTCGACTGGATTAAATCGCGATAGATCCTGCAAATCTATTCCTGGATTAGGCCAATTTATTTGTGAGTAACTCTCCAAGGATAGAGGTTGTAAAATCTGAGCCGTATTGTTATGGCGTGACGCACTGCTCGTGCTGGCCTGTACTGGTTGTAACATATTCGGCGTCTCTACGGAATGTATTGGAGAATTACTGGCAAAGCCATCTCGAACACTTGACATGCTGTTGCTATAATTTTCAGTCGAAGAATGTGGGACATTTTTAGCAAACACGCCATGTTGCTTTGTTATTTCATTTTTATTAATTTTACCGAAATCAGAAAAAGCGTTATCAAAATTTGTTGATTTGCTAGATGAAGCTTGATATGTTATTTCGCTACTAGTATCTTCGAAAGGTTTTGAATGAATACTTTGAGTTACTGTTGGTGCGGATTGAAATGTTTCAAAGTCATCATCGTTACCCTCTATATTGGAATTTGTTTCTATAAATGTTGTATCATTTTGTTTATTTGAAACTGTTGCTTTATCTTCAGATTTGTCTTCTTGTATTATTGGTGTATTTTTGTCACTTTCCCATGGTGCACTTGAAACAAAATCTGTGAAATCATCAAATGTTTCCTTAACTTCACCTGGATCTGGCCAATTTAATGCGGGTACCATTGGCTCAAGTTTTATAGGCTGTAGTAATTGCGGTTGATATGAGGAACCACTCTGTATTAAATTGTTGGATCCTACATTACTTTTATCCGATTCCTTATCTGTTTTACTAAGGTCTTTCGATGGTTGAATGTTTTCTGTTGTACTTTTAAAATCTTGGAATTCCCAATAATCGTCACCTTCCAGTTTAGGGACTTCAGATGGGATTGCAGTCGACGGAGTAGACACTTCGGTGACAGTTTGACTTAATAATACTGGTGCAATAGTGTCGTAATGTATCGTTTTCGACCTCGGTGTTTCTGAATCCGATGGCGTAAATATATGGGTATCTGGTAAACTGATTTGACGCAACGGTTGGACATTTAATGAAGTCGGATAAACTTTATCCAATTTCACAGTCATGACTTTTTCGAAAACTTCCAAATCAGTTGTATTTGTTTCTGTAGCTGCGACATCGTTCTCAGTGTTGTTACAGGCTGAAAAAATTGAATTCTTTTGTAATTCTACTTACATAGATTTAATAAATCTACACATATTAAAGTTGGAGTGTCTATATGAATATAAAAAAAAAACATTTTTAGATTTTCGCCCTAACTTTATAAACTAAATCTGAATGAATATCGGTATTTGTACACTGCAGTAATATCTCTTGTAATAAAACTCGCAAAAAGGTTGGTCCAAAATTTGCGTTGTTCGAATTTAAAATATTCGCATATTAAAAGCAGACAATGGTGCTATTTTATTATTATTTCATAAATTGCATTTTAATTATATCATTTACATACATAATTTTTACAAACGAAATAAATAAAAAATTTGTATTGAATTTTCAAGTACAAATAAAATAGTTTTTTTTTCTTGTTTATTAAATCATATGAATACGTAGAAATAGGGATCTGTGATGACAAAGGAATAAGGCGCATTTATCGTTATCAAAAAATGTGTCTTAAAAACTGTCTTTCCATATTGCGATACAAACTAAAAATCAGTATTCACATATTAAGTGTACCTTCTAGCTTTATTTGTAACTACAAATATTGTTAGCTATATACATCACTACTGAGGGACTCAAGCCTACCCCATGTTGGGGTAACTAGGCCTTACTCATAAATGCTGGCCCAGTATACATTGGTCCATACTGGCCGAGTATACAATGGTCCATGTTGGTCCAATGGAGATTGGTCCACACTAACTATCCCAGTGAAGATTTATTCACACTAACTCAGTGCAGATTGGTCCAAACTGGCCCAGTGTGGATTGGACCAGGCTATCCTTGTGCGGTTTGGTCCACACTAACCCAGTGCATATTAATAGATATAATCTATTATTTAAAATTAGGTGACTTACCATGTGAGAGTAATTCTGAAATTTTGAGTGTGGAATGTTTGTGAGCCATTTGATCTAAAGTAGCCATTAGGTGTTCAAGGTCAAGTAGGAGGGTCTCGGCATATGTGACTTTGGGTAGGATGTTGGATCAAGCAGATAATGTATAAGTGGATGATGTTAATCCATGTGCAAGACATGCAAAGAAATTTTACAGTGGTGAATTATTATTAAAAAGCTTGGTATGTTAGTCACAAAACACTGTTAGGATCATGAGACAAAGTTCTAGCTTGTGTCTGTGATTTTACCTGTGCAATAAACCTAATATCCCAGTTCCTGTCTATCAATATACCAAAATTTAACACAATTAATTCGGGTAATAACACATGAAAATGTTACAAAAGTTATTCACATTTTTATAAATGTAACAAAGTTTAATTTCAAATTTGTACAAAATTTACTCTCACATTTTACCAAAAATAAGTAAGACTTAAAAGGTCTGATCCAGATTTTTTTTAACTCTACCAATAAATAGGCAAGCTACAATCGCTTTCTATATTTTTATATAAATTAAAAAAGAACAGAAGTTACTTACATTCTTGTCCATTTGAGGAGAAAGGATCAACCCATGTATCATTTTCCTTATTCAAAGACTTATCTGAATTTTGACTTTCCATGTTAGATAAAGTTGATGATTGCTTTTGTGGCTGCAGGGGCGCCGTACTAAGATTTACTGCATATTTAGGCATATTGTAATTCCATTTAGGTCCAAATAACTGTAAAATAAAATTTATTTATTTTAAAAGTAAAATTAATCCTAAAAATGAAATGCAAAAAAGACTTACAATATTTCTTGAGTCTATACAAAGAGCTTTTAACAGACTTTTCTGTCCTAATGAATTATTCCAATTAACCATGTATGGTTGTCTTACATCCGTATCAACTAAATGGCCCCATGTCTCATTAAGTACTGATTCTAATCTTCCAATAAACTCGGATTCAGGTTCTAATATTTCTTCTTCAAATATTGTGGAAAAAATACTATTAATACTTTCTAAAACTTGATTTTCATTTTCTGACGAATGAAAATCAATTACAGGAATATGTTGATTTAATTGGTCATCTAATTCATCTTTCACAGCTGATTTGGTACAGGATTTAAAATCATCAAAATCTCCAAAATCATCACCATCATCGCTAATCTCATTGGTTACACAAATATCTTTGTCAACATTGGCAACATCAGAAGTACCAGTATCTTCTTGTAAAACATTATCATCCTCAAAATTTGCTTTGAAGTCACCAAAATCATCAGTTGGAGCTTCATTTGTCCATGGATTATCAAAATTTTCAACAACAGTTGAAACATTGTCATTATTAGCATATTTAAATTCATCAAAATCTCCAAAATCATCATCCTGTACTTTCTCTTCTAAATTATCAATTTCATTTTGAACATTGAGTTCACTTTCTAATTCCTTTTGAAACTCTGTTTCATTATTCTTTGCATCTAAATTTGAATGGAAGTCATTAAATTCATCATCGGGTAGTTCATATGTTTTAGAAATTGTTTCCAAATGTTCAACATCATCAGGTAAAGAGTTTTCTGATGTTTCTGTTGTACAAACAGTATCACTCTGTGTTATTACATTATCTGTTTCAACTACATCACAGTTACTAATTGTTTTTTCATCTGTCACTTTTTCTTCCGATGAATAATTATAATCATTGCCATCAATGTCACTTTTTTCACTGCTAATGACTTGTAAATTTAATTGTTCTTGATTTATTTCTAAATTCAAATCTTCAACTGCAATATCTTCCAATGTTAGTTTCTCACTTAATTCATTTATGATAGGTGTTGTGTGATCAGTCTTATTGTTATCATCAACTGACGAAACCTGATCTGTTAAGACACTGTTCAAATTATTAGCAATGTTCATAGACCAGGCACTGTCTTGGATATTTACTGGCTTAGCTGTTTCATATATGTTATAATTTGAGTATGTTTGATAATCATAACTATTACTATCTTCGTCATCATCCTGTGATACTAAAAAAAAACAAAAACTGTTATATGTATTCACTCTTTACTGTAAACAAAATAAAGATTTGGTTACATCAAGTATTTACATCTTGAAGTAAGTTCAATCTTATACCAAATCGACATATATAAAAACTAATGAAAGATGTTTATCAAACAATGGAGACTAAATAGAAAATATCACGAAAATGTTAAGTATTGACACATTAAAACTTATTGGTACATGACATTTTCTCTTTAACATACATATTTTGATGGTACAATCGATGCGCAAAAACGCATATTAGTCATAAGTTTGCTAGTGTTTCTACTTACAATTGTAATTTAAATCAAAATCTTCAGGGTCTTTGTCATCTTCACACTGATCGGGTGGTGGAGGAGTGTTGCAAACAAGAGGAGGTAGCGACATACTTGCCCAGACCACTGCACCACTAATTTATATATACGAAAATGTTACATACATTTGGAGATGCGCAATGGTATAAACATTAAATACTAAACCTTATTACGCCACATAATAAATTAGATATTTTCAAAAAGTGGACAGCTGTTCATTTTAATTGACAGTATTGACTTTACTATTGACAGCAGGCAGTTCTGTCAATTTTAGCAGCCATATTTCCGTTTTTTAATTGACTTTGTCTCTGGTAAGGTTTGCCACATAGGTAAGTTCCGTTTTTATTTTTTAAGGAACACTAACATGTAAATAGGTGAGTTCATTTCTTGAAACCTAGTTGAATCTGTATCCAAATTTCACTCTTCTATTTTGTACATCACACGTGAGCAATTTGATTGTAATGTCAAGCTACGAAATAAAATCCTGACGAAGTGAAACCTTGTGAAGTGCTGGATGTTATGATTTCAAATCAATCTCATCTTTAATTTATATTCTATTCTGTACACAAACAATAGGTTCTTATAGTCTGAGAGGGTCAGCGGTCAATGTATTAAGTCCCCAAACCAAAGAGTATATAAAATATACCCCAAACTTTCCATTTATATTAATCTGGTAGCACTGATTTTGTTCAATGATCTGTGGTGTGTCTATGGTCAATTATCGGCTGTTGTCGGGTCGGCTTACGGGTTTTCGGTTTATCGTCGGCTTTTGATTTGGTTTTAGTGACTCGTCTAATTGGATTATTTGTTTTTATTTAAAACTATATTTTATATTTAAAATCAGATGTATTAGTGAATATCGTAAAATATAAGCAAGCATAAGTGGTTTCAGGATTTTTAAGGTAAATATAACTTTACAAGCAATTTTAACATAACACCAGCATACGAAACCGGTAATAGTACTGCGACTTTGTTCTCTATACGGGATAAAAATCTTTTAATATTAATACGTGTAACTGTATATGTATATTTGTATTAAAATGACGCCGTAATAAATTTAGCGAAAGTACGAAAGTACTGTCAATAACCTTTGACATGTGTCATTGCCTACGTGTCAGTCTTCAAAACCTAGCGGTGTAAGAATTTGCTAATGACTTAAATATTCAAAGTATTCTTACAAATATTACAATTTCTTTACACTAAGGTATGTTTTAAGTTGATTTCTCAATTATATTTTTGAACTATCACATATTATGTGAGGTCCTTTCGATTTTCTTTTGTCTCAACTTGCGGTAGAATAAAATCGCCGGAAATTTGTAATATAAATTTTGTAAAAATGATGGATGTAGTATTCATTGTATTTTAACTGATATATAACTTTGTATTCTTAATTCTATGATAATTTAGTTTTCCAATAGGAAAACAATTAGATTGAAAGCTGTCTGCTTACTGTCAGGTTATTATTATCCAACTCCAAGCCCTTTTTCTCAATATACATATCGTTAAAGAAAATGTGTATGGAACCTTGTTTTTTGACCCTTTTAAAACATAAATATTCAACATTTCCTTTTTAAAAACCTGTATTTTTTTGTTTCTTAAAAAAGTACTTTTATTTGCATTGTTAATGCAAATTTAGTTAAAACTATCCCTTATCATTGTTTTGTCAACACTTTCTAGAATTATTTTATCTTATTGAATTTCTACAAATACTACATTAATACTTCTCCCACTCAATCATAGGTAATTATAGGGTAGTTATGTATAATAGCTATGTATAATAAGCTTTTCAGTAAAAGGATATCAGATGTTTATATACCATGTTGATAGAGATATTTAGAGACACAAGTCCACACTTATCACATGTATACATTATCTGTACTAATATCTAATGCAATACATGTAAAATGTTTTAAAATGAATCCCACATCAATATAAATACAAATTAAGATTGCATGGTATATTTTTCGTCCATATAGTAAAGCGTAGAAGGCAGTTGAGGCAATGGAGCTACAAGCATTGCTGGTGCTCTGTGGCCTCGGAGTAGTTGGGGTTGCTGTTATCTTGCTGATGGGCCTGTTTTCTGCATCCGGGACAACATACGAAGAAGCAATTGCACAACAAAGAAAGGCAACTACTGAACTTCTTGCCCTAGCTGAGAATAAGGGAAAAGCTAAGAAAACTAGCAAGAAAGCAAATAAGAAGGTATTAGTCATTTGTACTATGATTTTTATTAGACCTCAATACTTAATTATTTCTTATTAGCAAAATCTTTTTTTATTTTGTTATTTGTCATGAATATTGAGAGAATACATAACTCTTAAGAATATATAATATATAACAATATATAACTCTTTTAACATATCTCTCTGTGTCATTCAACACCTACTGCACCTAAAATTGTATTGTATGCAGTCAGTAATGTGAAGAGCCACCAATAATATCTGAATATATTTATACCATTATCACTTTCATTTATAATATTATAGATTAAATACCTAACAGAGACATTACAGTGTAACATTAACAATACATCTTTCCAATTAGACACACTGAATGTAATGTTTAATTTTAGTCAATTGTGTGTTATTTGATGTTACTGTTTTACACCTGTGTATGCATTTAGTATTCTTTCTTAAAACTCCATTGAAATTTTAATATGAGAGCCCAAAGTAGAGAAAATTAATGATTAGTCTTTGTCGAAAATGTTTTTTAAAAATACTAAATTATAATATATTTGTACCATATGCAAGTTTTTCTTGTTAGATATAATACAATGTGAAAATAACATTTCTTCAAACAAGATTACTTGTAGTTACATATCTTACTTCTTACTAATATTATAAATGTGAATGTTTGGATGGATGGATTGATGTTTGTTTGAAGTTATCACTGAGTTGGCTCAAGGTGCCTTGCTGAAATTCGGCATAATTGTAGAACATAGCCTGGAAGACCACATGGCCTACTAATTATGTTCATTTATAATTCCGCTCATACGGAGTTGCAAGCAACTACTAGGAAAGAGTATAAAATAGAAAACTTATATATTTAATTACTTTATTAGTTGGCAAAGAAGGAGAGGAAGGAGAGTGCTGCAGCGGCGACAGGCAGTGAACCGGAAAGTGAGGCGCCGGCTGAGAGTGGAGCTGATGAAGAGACACCTGCTCCCAAGCCTCATGTAGAATTCAGCCCTCCTGTTGTTGTGGACGTGCCTACCGATACTCCTCCCAATATTAAGGTTGGTGACTCTATATAACAGATTTTATTACGTAGACAGATGTCTGTATCAGTTTAATTATGCTTCATACATTGTAATATATACAAATCTTATATAATTGTATAATCAACATCTTATCTTTATATGTCAGTTAGGTGCATGCGAGCAAATGTATATCAATGCTTATTATAAATATATAGTTTTCTGTAGGTTATGACCTTGTGTGTGCACTTTTGACTCCTTTTATTTGAGAAAATTTTATATTGGTGTCAAAAAATGTAAATACAAGGTTATCTACTATGACAGTTCTAGGACTCCTTACGTTTTTTCCTTTCACAAAACATGCAACAAGGAAATCACCTATTTTGATACAAATATTATTATGTAATTGGTACAAATAATATATGAAGTAATTTAAGCAAGCTTGTGTATTTATTCCATATTCCATTTCAGTAAACATGGGATATAATTATGAAAATATCATCATTTTGATTTGCATGCAATGAAGCAATTGCTTTTTACCAATGTTGAATACATTTTCTCCAATAGGACAAATTAATTTTGTCATGTATGTCCTATTTGAAAAATATTACGTCATTGTTATACCGTAAACATTCATTTCATTTTTATTGACCTTAAATAGCCTGAAACAACTGCTTTGATTTTGATCTGCGACATATCTTTATTCACAAAGTGACATAGAGACATACTTTGACGTGTTTTTTTTTAATTTACTGTTAATTCACTTCATATATGGGGACCTGATTATATTCGGTCGTATTATGACTCATTCTACAATTTAAACCTACACATAATTTAACAAAAATGGAAATCGAATATAAAATCCCGTATGCGATAAACTGTTAGTGTTTAAAAATACTGTGCATTGTAACATTTAAATTGTATCTTATTTTGGTTGATTAGGAATTGGGAGCATGAGATAATTGATAAGACATGCTCCACTCCAAATGGTTTTCTTCTATTGTTTGAGATAAGTTCATGTAATAACATATATGTAAATGGGTTTGTATCCATTTTCCGGATTCATTCTAGATATTAACAAGATTTTTAATCTAAAATTTCAAATAAAATTAAGTGTAATCAACGCCCATTCCTAGAATGAGATAGAACCAGCCGAAAACTTGAGCTACTTTACGATTTCAAGTCTGATCGTTTTTTTTTAATTTTTTTGCTTAAAATAAATTTATCTTTATGTCGATCGTTCGACATTCAGTCTTACTTGCATCATCATGCTTCATGTCTGCTTGATCATTTATCTTATATCAATTATAATGATATAATCTTTTCGGCGTTTTCAATTGCATTTATTGATACTGTATCATAAAGATCAAATAAGCAATAATCGGTAAAAATACTGTCATAAAAATAAATATTATAATAATGACTAATCATAAAATCTTTATTCATACCTTTCTCATATTCCTATAGCATACATTCACGTTGGCATTAGTTATAATTTAATTCCATATTTAAATATTTTGGAATGCAATTATGGTAGCATCAAAAAAAAACATCGATAAATGAATTTAAAAATAGTCGGATGCTAACTTGTTACATCCTATACTCATAGGCCTTGATTTTAGAAGTTCGTTTTATGGTCTGAGCTTTAATTTTCTTTCACTTGAATTGAGAAAAAAATTATTTGGTATAAAATTAACCCTTAAATATCAACATTAAAACACTAAAAATTTTTTAGTAGTTTTTTTAGCGACATGCATTACTCGATGCATATATATTCAGTATTGTAGTAGTGCACGGTCTTGTTAGTATAAAGTAATGTTTTCTATTGTACGGTAGTTTTACTTTGTGTGCAGATCCGCAAACGCGGTAAGGATCCTAAAGTAAAGCCGATACTTGTTAACAAAGAGGATCCGAGCTGCGTTAGCGATCCGGGCTCCGTGCCCTTCCCCGGCAGTGCCGTCTCCAACCACTTTGAAGAGATGCACCCCAAGGACGAGTTCGAATTGTTGCACTCGTCGTTCCTTGAAAAAGTGAGTGTGTGCCTCTGCAAGCGAATCCCGATCCTAACGCACGCCATTTTGTTTTTTATGTATTTTATGTTGTTTTAATATATACAAATCGTGGATAGTCTTTTGATGTATGCTTTATATTTGCTTTCGCGTCATATATAAGCTTATACGTATGTCATTTGAATGTCATTGCATCGTCATTTGGGTCAACATTTTTGTAACCTGTTTTATCATTGTATGGTACTTGTACATCATTAAATATTTACAATTGCGTTATCTTTTTATTTTTTAAAATAGACATTATGTATGTAAACATTTTGTGCCAGTATTTAAAATAAAATAATTGCTAATATTTTTGTTTGTTTGGAAAAAATAGATATTAAAATAACTAAATTTATTTTATTTGACAGCTAATTAATTTGTTTGTACTTAAGTAACACTTAACATTTAATAGTTTCCTAAATATGTTTTTCTTTATTAATGAAAAATGTTAATTTGTTTAGGCATTAGAGAAGAAAGAAGATGCCGGAGAAAAGAAAGACAAGGCTTCAAAGCCAACCAAGAATACGAAAGCTTCGTCCAAACCGGCCGCCAATCCGGAGTCTGTTAAAGATGAAGCTGTACCAGAACGACAGAACACTGCCGAAGGACCTAAAGAACAGAGAAAAGGTACACCTTTTTATAGTGTTTTTAAAGTGTTATCGATATTCACATTTTACCTTGGCTTGGACGATTTTAAAGAATAATGTTATTCGAATCACAAGTACTGTTAGTCATGTTATAATATTTTTTAATGTGTATTTATTCGATCAGTTAAGAAAGTAGAGAAGAAGAACGTGGTAGAGGAAGTGTCGGTGGCGGAGGAAGTGGTGCCGCCACTGAACGCGCCGCAGCCGAGCGAACTGACGACTGACAAGCTCCTGAAGCAAGCGCTAGCCCCCGTCGCCACCGCCCCCGCCGTCGCCCCCGCGCCCTCCCCACCCGCCGGCAAGGGCAAGAAGAAGAAACCCGAACCCAATGTGCTCTCACTCATGGGTGAGTAACACTTATGTTAACTGCGTAGTACAGTTTGTCAAAACCTCTTTGAATAATTTTTAATATTTGTTTTCCGTAGCCCTTTGGCGTTTTATCTCTAAAAATCTCAAAAAATGTCTTTTTACGTGGCAAAAATATAACAAGTTAATTGTATATATTCAACTATAAAAACCACTAAATTTTTATCATTTACAAATGAAGATTAGATGGCAATTTTTCTGTCTGGATTTAAGTGACTGTATTAAGGAAAATATGTGTTTATCTTCATAATTTTTTAAAGGATTTTCTGGTTTTTAGTCGATTGATATTTGAAGATAAGAAGTACATTGTATGTAATGTTGCATGTCAGCGGGTGACAGCGGCGGCGTGGCGGTGAGCGAGCTGGTGCGCGTGGTGCGCGAGGCAGCGTTGTCGCGCAACGAGATACAGATACTGACAGACGCGTTGCTCAACAAGCACCACGACCCCCTGCCGGAGCACTCAGAGTGGACTGAGGTCAATTTACAATATTTTTAATACAAATAGAAAATTATGTAATGCCGACCATGTTCCGAAAGTGTTTATCTATACTAATATTATTAAGAGGAAAGATTTGATTGTTTCTTAGCATTGAATAGGCTATGAAACTGCTAAACTGATTTTAAAAAAAGAATAATTTTTGGAATATTATATTAGCACCCTGCGTAATACGAATAATAGATAAAAATAATTGTTTCCATCGCAGGGTCCCAATGACCCAATGCAGAAGCTGAAGAAGCAGCTGGCGGAGAAAGAGAAGGCGCTGGCTGACGAGGTGGAGGCGTCGCAAGCCCTTCATGCTAAGCTGAAGGAATTGCGGTAATTATTTTGTACCACCAACCGTTAGTTTCTGAGATTTAAATCGTTGTATAAAACATATCGTCATCCCTGTCATTATCTTAAAAAGAAACTGAGATAATGTGTTTTTTGCACATTGTATATTGGCCACCTAATATTGATTAATTATTTTGAAATACTAAAATGTGATAAATTCTGTTTGGTTTAGTACAATCGTATAATATAAACTTGTATTTCAAATAGCAAACCCTGGATTTATTTCATGCCACAAGAAATATTTTCTTGTGCCACTTGATTACAAAATAACATACTAAAAGTCGTTGTTAAAAATGTTATACGTGCCTTTAATTTTGAACCCTAGCTGTGGTATTTAAAGGTATAATTTGTGTCGTTGTGTTCAGCGCGACGCTGAATTCTGAGAGAGGTCGGTACACGGCGGCTGCGCGCGCGGCGGAGCAGACGGCGATAGCGTCGCGAGCTGAGCTGCACACACTCCAGACGCGACTGCAGCGTGTACTCGACGATAACCACACTCTATCACAGGAAAAAATACACGTTAGTATTATTACGGTTAAATTTTTATACAATACAATGTTACTTTTTTTTAGAAATTCTTAGCTAGAATCCTTTAGAGCGAATAGCGCGCTTTTGTTACAAAGTCAAATGTCAGGTTGACTAGTGAGGGAACATAAACGTAGACATATTAATAAGGCTATTGTTGCGCCGATACACCGCCACAGTACACCACTATGAAGTATTAATAAAAGGAAGATTACAAAAGAATTTACAAGATTAGAAAAGTTTTGATTAATTTATTGGCACGCGAGGGAAAATACCGCAATTAGTGTCGTTTATAATGTTGAATAATTTGTCCCACAGCTTCAGTCTAAATTGGCTGCCGAAGGAGAAGCCCAAGCTCAACGGGTTCAGATGGAAATGCATATCCAGAGATTGTCGGAAGTAAGTACTCATAATGTACCAAAATGAAATATTTGGTGAGGTGCAGTATTGTGTGTAACATTTGTATTCTGTGTCAGTCCGAGGCGGGTCTGGTGCAGCAGCTGACGGCGCAGCAGGCGGAACTGAACACACTGGCGCGCGATGCGGCCGCAGGAGCTGCAGCGCGCGATGCCCTGATTCTCGCGCAGCGGCACGCAGACGAGCTCGGACAGCAGCTACAGGTACGTACGCACTACGCACATATATAGCATACCTAGTTGTCTGTCATGTTATTTTCTATGATTTAATCAGTCGCCGCGATAGTAACACATCTCTCATTGGTTCAGATATTCTTATTTGACTATACAGATCGATAAAGTTCTGTGTATTCAATTAAGGTCAAAAATCCAACATTTCATCTGAATACTTGTAAATGTTATAATCCAATGCAGAAATAAAAATAGTGTAAATTATATTTTATATACGTTTTGCACGTTTAAGGAGGCTAATCACGCGTACGCGGAGCTGGAACAGCAGCGGCAGCGTGCGGTTCAAGCGGAGAAGGCGGCCCAGCAGGAGCTGCGCGACGCACAGGACAGGCTGGCCGGTAAGTTACTATTGTTAAAATCTATACAATATTACTCAAAATTCCTTAGTAAATAATTACATGTTCAAAGAATAATCAACTAAATGTTTATAATTTACAGAAGTAAGTGACCTACAAAACGAAGTTGAACGACTGACCAGTCGCGCTCAAACCGCAGAAGGCAACGTGGAAAACCTTAAAGCCGACATCGAGAAAGCTAAAGAGGATGCGGAGCAAGCTAAGGTCAGCGTAGAGAAAGCTAAAGAAGATGCGGATACGTACAAGAAAGAAGCAGAAAGAGCTAAGGAAGAAGCCAAGAACGTTACAGAAGAAGCAAATAAACTGCGAGAGGAAATGGAGAAATTAAAACAACAAATTGAAATTGTTAGACAGGAATCGGAGAAACAGAAATCACAAGTAAGTTAATATGGGTATAAATTATTTCTCGACATTTGAATGTCTATCATCTGCTTCCTTGAAAACTAATTTAATTTATCATTAGTCTCGGGTTAAAAATTTATCAAGGTCACATCTCATAGTTCTGGTTGCAAATTAAAAAAAAACATTGGTCTTTACCGTAATTATATTAATAAATCTTTGTACAATCACTAATTATACGCAAAATGAAATAATTAAATGTCTAAATCTCCTGCAGTTATCGAACGAAGTGGCGTCTCTGAAGGAACAGTTGTCATTGCGAGAGTCTGAGCTGGCCGAGGTGAAGCAGATGACGGCCGCGCCCCCTCACCCCGCACACAACGGACTGCCCAACTCTAATGATGACCAGAAAGTAACTTTCATCACGACAGACGGCTATGGCAAAAGAAAATCAGATCTCGTGCGAAATAAAAAAATACCTAATTGCCAAACTATGTTCCATATCTGCCAAATTTCATCAAGATCCATTGAGCAGTTCCGGAGATACCTTCAAACAAATATCCATTCATCCAAACATTCGCATTTATAATATTAGTAAGAAATTACCGTTGTTTCATGCTTGAAGCAATAAAATCCACTGCAAACAAATTGTCCATTGTGTGCACATATTTATACCATTATTTCTTTTAAACTTAATAAAAGTTGTTTTAGATAATTTTTTACTCAAAATTAAATTAATTTGATAATTTTACTTTATCATTGCATTTATTCAATTTTGTTATGCATAAAAAAACTTAGCAACTTAATGATTCCAGCGTGCAAGTGAACTGGCGAAGGTGGAAAGCGTAGTTGAAGCCCTGAAAGAAGAATTAACATCAGCACTGAGTGGCAGCAAGGAGCTGAAAGAGCAGGTCGCCACGCTCCGGGAACAACTGCAGCAGTACCAACAGAAGAATAACGTTAGTATTGCATGGATATATTGCTTGCGTGCTCCAATACTTCTAGTGACATAAACTGAAAATATCTTATAACATAGTCGATATAATAAAAATAAAAATCATTAAAATACCTTAACAACATAAAGTTGATTTTAAGTAACAATATTAGGGTACAATAAAAAATGAAATGACAGATTGAGTGCGAATATTTAAATGAATATTGTTGCCAGTAAAAAAATATTTTATTCATAAAATTAGTTTTTTCCGCATATCACGTGCTTTTTACTAAAATACGATCACACTAAAAATATTCCATCACTAAATAGTAGAAAAGCTTTAATGAAAATAGTGATTAATTTCATTGTAATAAATTAAACCATAATTTTGTTTGGATTGAATAATAATAAAGTTTTGCTTGTTGATTTTGGCTTGACGCACTCAGGAGTTGCGAACTAAAAACTGGAAGGTAATGGAGGCGTTACAATCCGCCGAAAAGGCCCTCCAGGCGAAATGCGCCCGCGCGATGCCGGCCCAAGACACGCTCTCTGTAAGTGTTGCGTCACATTACATTAAACATTATCGACAATTTTGATTTTGGCTAAAGATTCAGGACACCTTTCGATTGTGATATTTGTCAATTTTTAATCCGACTAGCATTGAGCACAAATTAAAAAAAACAACAACAAACAACACATGAGAGAAAGGAGAAAAAACAAAATCAGGAATTACAAAAGAGTTTACGTTGTGATATGTTACATGTGTCGAGATAGTTATAGGTGTATTAAAAATAGCTTATGTCAATGAAGATTTAATTCACAATTTGCCGTCAATTCGTGATTATAAACTGTCGAAATTAACAATCGATCGATGACATATCACATTTTAGTAGGATGCAACACAAAAATGGCAAGATGTTAAATTAGATTGTTGCTTTAAATGTAAGCTTTAGATTATTCTTCGGCCGGCTTCGCAATGTTGTATATGTCTTTATTATATTCTTGTATCATTGTTGTATTTATGTGCGAACAGATAATTTTAAATCTTATTCTTTCGCGAAAGAATGCTTACGTGTTATACAAATGCACGCGCAAATTCAGACACAATAATTGTAATACGACGCATGCAGTATTTTTTAACAACTTGTAATATAAAACAAGTTGCTTTAAATCTTTGTTATGTACATATTATTTTACATTGTTATTTTAAATCTATATACTAGAATTAATTGCAAATAGCGAGCTTTTATTTTAACTTTATGATTAATATTCCAAACTACATAGCTTTTATTATTATTATTTATTATTATGATCTTATTTAAACAATTTTAATACACACGAAAAAAATTGTTTTAAAGGAGGCGATAGTCAAGGCACAAGAGTCACAATACAATGAAGTGGCCAGCATATTGCGTTCAGCTGTACCCAACATTGCCCCGGGCTCCGGCACCGGTCATGACTGGCTGCAGGCCTTCGCCAACAACTTGAAGAACGAATTCCAGAAGATTGAGTCGCAGAAGAAGGAACTGGAGAAGAAACAGCGCGAGTTGGAGAAGACAGAAGTACAGGCGCCCGCCGTTGACTCCCGGCTGACAGAAGTGATCGCACAGACCGAACAGCTACAGACTCTTTTGCATAAATATAAGCAAGTTATTGCTGATACGGTGAGTTTCGTTTATAAAACACTAGCTGTCGCCAGTGTCTCCGTCCGCGAGGATATAAAAAATAAATATTTAGTAGCCTATGTATTCGTCCAGACTATGTTCTACATCTATGCCAAATTTTATTGAGATCCGTGGAGCTGTTCTGGAGATACTTTCTCAACAATATCTGTCCATTCATCTGAACATTCGCATTGATAATATTAGTAAGATTCATTATATGTTATTTGAAAATATATTAATTATATAGTACTAGCGGACCCGACAGACGTTGTCCTGTCTGCACGTCTTTAATTTGAAAACTTCAAACATTTTTTAATAAGCTAAGCTAGGGACAGACTAAAATTAAAATTCAAATATTATTTAAAATTTGACACTGCGATGGTAGCGCCGTCTGTCGGATCCAATGTAAAACATTCCAAAATCAACAACTACTAATAAATTAAAAATTAATTAAAAAAACATTGGCCAGCGGACAAAATTGTGAATCTAAACTATTCCCAGATTCCCTTGAACACACACAAAAAATTTCATCAAAATCGGTCCAGTCGTTTGAGAGAAGTTCAGTGACATACACACTCACAGAAGAATTATATATATAAAGATATGTAGGTCAATATACAACGAATTATCACACTTATGTTTGACAGTTTTTGAGCTTAATCATAACAAATAATCAATATTTTTCTCTTTATCACAGTTTAGTGGCTATATATGGCCTGTAAACTGTAGTTCGTGTATTTTAAGATGACATAACTTTTTAAAGATAATCTATGCTATGTCATCAGGAGTCTGCGCTAAGTCACCTGCAACAGAACGTGTCTGTGGAGGAGCAGCGGTGGCAGAACCAGCTGGCGGAAAAACAGCGCGAGGTTGATGCGCTGCAGCAGAGAATAGCCGCACAGGTAACATACTACGTACTAATGCGTCACAACAAGAAGTAATTAAAAGAAACTACATAACTGCCAATTTCGGTCGACCACTTAGCGATTTACACAACGAAAAAAAAGATGGACAAAAAATGTCAAATTCAAATTTTACAGTATATTTCATTCGATTCTATAATATAGAATCGAATGAAAAAATTTAAATTTAGCTACAAATAAATATATTTTGTAGCTAAAATTAAATAAATAGAACAGAATTGTGTGTTGGATAAAATAAACCAAGAGTAATATTATTTGTATAATATTTTTGACTTAGGAAGAAATGGCGTTTGCATACTCCTGCATAGAGAAATCCTTGCCTACCATCATGCAAGAGGTACAAATGTCAACAATCAGTGTCAATCTTGTGTCACGTCAATTGAACACAATTTTCTATGCCTAAAATGAATAATAATTAAAAAAATATAAACCGTAAATAGGAGCTGGCATAATGTTTTGTCATTATTATGTGTATCTTCAAATTTTTATCTTTTGTATAAGTTAAAACATATTGCTTTATTTGTTTTGATACTCTGACTAAAATTATGCTTTTCAAATACTTTAATAGGACAAGTCAAGTTTTTATTAGAATTGTTGTGTTGTATATGTATGTCAACTGGTGATGGTTAATTATTAATTATTAAGTTGTGATTTAATATTATTTTTGGTTGCCAGATGCAGAAGAAAGCAGACAAAGCAGATGTTATATTAAGCCAGGCACAGAAACCAAACCACAGTCACAGTTTTGCTGACACCGAAAGACTAACAGAGGTAATGTTTTTGTTATCATAAAAAAATATATTTCAATATAAGCTTTAGCAATTAAATAAATAAAAAAAAATATTTTTAACAAAAAATTGTATATTGAATTTTAATTTCAGGAAAGATTGATGGGCAGCTTATCAGAAAAACTTGATTCACGTAATGGTCCCCTACAGGTGAATATGAATGTTTAAATTTCTCCAATATGATTTAAATATATATTTTTATTTGTTTAATAAAACATTTATTTCACTTTCAGCAGGTATCATTGGAAGAGATATAATACGTAGGATATACATAAACGAAGCGATGCCCCGCGCTCACCGGCACTACGCCGCGCAGATGCCGCGTCTGTGACGTCACTGCCCGTAAATTAAGCTTTATAAGTGATTTACTATGAACATTCAAATTTATAGACAGACATTTGTAAAGTCGAATATACACTACACCGCTCAAGTTCTGACAAGCCCAGTGTAAGTAAGAATTGTTTATTTAAAATGTAATAAAAATTGGTTATAAAATTTCTATGTTTGCTGTTGAGAATATTTATGTATGTAGATTTCAATGTACGTACTAAATGTATGCTAAGGGTCTGCCTAAGTGTCCAATTAACTCAAAGCCATAAAGCCCAGTGTAGATATTGTAGTGTGGCAATGTATATTTGACATTATAAATAAGGAATGCTTAGTGGATATGAGTTATTATTGAACGATAATTGTATGCAATTTACGAAACCGTTCACTGCTCAATGTCTCGTTCAAATGCCTTTATTTTCTACTAATTGCTATCAAAAATAATATTTAATTTGTACTTTTATATTTTGTATTCGAGTGATTGAAAAGATATTTTAGGGAATAATATAATTTGATGTATCCCAATAGAAATCAATATTCATTAAATGGTTGGGATAAATTAAATAATAGTGCAATAAGTGGAATAAATCTGTCATTTGCATAGTATTGTGCGACCGTTTAAATTTAATTGGCATGTTTTGTTTGTATTTGAGTATTTAAAAAAAACAAAAGGACTTCATAAATTTTTCGATTTTATTTATGTGTAATTATCTGATACAAATTTAATAAAATTTGTCAATTCAGATTAGTTATGACAATGAATTTTGACTTTTTTTTTATAATTGCTAATAGTCCATTGTTTAAAGTGATGATATAAAGATTGTACATTATTTGCTATAATTTAAATAACATACATCGAGATTTTTGTTCATTTTCTCATTGTAATACGTATGATATATGCGTGGTGAAAAAACCCATAGAAATTATGGCAGTGACTTTGTTTAGGTTTAAAATTAAAAATGTTCCCTAATTTTATTTAAAGAAAAGTTTTTATTGAAAATTGTTTAAAGATATATTCAATGATTTCATTTTATAATTTTATACATCCTTTGAATTGTTAGAAAACTATTTATTAATTTTAAACTGTATCATTTATAGCTTGGGTATCTATAATATAATCATTTCTGTCAGTGCCTTAGGGTAAGTTTGAATTTATTAAGCTATTTCACTTTAGTTGTAAAATCATACGCATGCTAAAGTAAGCACATCATGTTATTATTTTTTATTCACAGTAATATAATTGATAGAATTATATTGACTATAGTGAATCACTGTGTCGAATGTCCTGGAAAATGTGAATTAGAAAATAGTGATATCGTATCGTAAATGTATGTAAGTAAGCCAGTTTTTATGACGATTCATATATTAGATAAAGACATTATGAATAAAATATTTCTATGATTATGATAGTTTTATTTAATTTAAATACATAAGATGGACTGAACCTAACCTTTACAATTAAAAGCTAGTTCAGCAGAAATGAATGAGTAAGCAGACTCATTCATTTCATACACATTATTTTTAGTGTAGTCTTCGGAATATTGAAATGAACATTTAAGTCTCTAAAACTAAAATTTAAGCCAAAACATTAAAGTTGGATAGTGGGATAAGTCCAAGGAGATGATGTTTCAAATCTAATTAAAAATGTATAATGGCAACACAACATTTCCACGTCAATCTGACAGTGACGTCACAAGCAGAACCTCCCACTACTTGTCATTGTCACGCTAGGAAGGGTTTATATTTGTCGAGTATTTTGCGTCTTTTCCTCATTGTTTTGACTTGAATTACAAAGCAGATGTAATTTCAATTGGCGGTTGTTGTATTTACTACTATAATAATGGCATCAGAAGTAAGTCTTAAAAACGTGGACAATGCCTGTCAAACAGCAGAGGAATTCACAAAGCTGTATTACAAACAACTCGACAATCACCGACATTTAATTTCAAAAATGTACCTCGATACTGGATTGCTAGTCTGGAATGGAAATGGAATTACAGGGAATGACAAAATAATGAAATTTCTTATGGATCTACCGGGAAGTACCCATGTTTTAAAAACCCTGGACGCCCAGCCCATAGCAGAAAGTTTAGTCGCAAATAAACTGACCTACCTCATACAAGCTTGCGGCGATGTAACATATCAAAATGATAACACAAGGAAGCACTTTCAACAGACATTTCTCATAGTAGCTGTGGATTCAAAATGGAAAATAGTTTCAGAGTGTTTCAGACTTCAAATTCCACATAATAGTTAATGTCGTTTATGTGTGGATTGCTATTGAAATTGCAATGTTTTATGTTTAAGGTAATGAAGAAAACAATAAACAATTTATAACTAATATTTGTTTTTCTTACAATTGTAAAAATAAATTAAAACCTTAAATAACAAACATAATCATAATACTGAATAAGTTCCAAGATGTGTGTCACAATTAGAGCAGTAATGTTCCGCTTTTTTAAATGTTGGTAACATATATGGAATGGCCGCTAAACAGCAAAGCATGCACCAACTAAAAAATAAAATAATTAAATCAAGATTTAATTGTATCATTTATCAGTTAAAACTATTAAAATATCTATGTTCCTAATTTAACAACAACTCATGGGATGAGTCAGTAGCACTATTATTTTAGTGAATTATTACTCAACATTAGGAAATATATTTTAATAGAACTTTTATAGCAAGTAATATAATACCTTTATTTTACCTAATGCAATGCTATTAAATTGAATTTGTAATAAACTAAAAAAATAAGCTTTGATAGGATTTGTTACAAATAATTTGCAACAATATTTAAATGTTTCAAAACCAAACAACACTATTCTAAAAGCTATTCATAAATACTTACAAAGTGAGACCACCAATAAATCCAGCAATCATATGAGTTTTTGTTGTATTGACAAACTGCACTCTAGTCAGGCACATTTCTTTACATGCAGGACAATTAAACAAAATCGGTTGATCTTTTAATTCAGGCGGAACAATAACAATTTGTTGAAATGAACGATTGCTCCCTATTTCTGTGTAAGGAGGCGGAGGATCTGAATGTCTTGTATTTGTAACCTCTATAGTTGAACTTGTGTTTGTCACATTGTTATTCATTTTTCTATCAAATAACACAAGCACAAATATTTCTTAGTATTAATTTATCACAAACCTGATGTGAAACTAAATTTATCAGTTGCTTTTATGTACTATCTTATCAAATGAAGATAACACGCGATGATAAATCATATATTTATCTGTACATTTAAAGAAGTCAAAAATAAAACATACATTGAATAGATATAATTTATTCAAATAAGTAATGTATAAAAGGTACTGGTGTTTTAAAGCATCATAAATATAATGTCTTTTGTGACATTTTAGCACAACAAAAACAGTCCTTAACATATTGTTAAATAATTTGAAAATGACATAATAAAATTGCACCAAACAATAATACATTATAAGTTATTGTTTGTTTAAATATATACAAACATCATACAGTCAAACCAGGATAAGCGAGAGTGCAAGATATTTTTCTCGCTTATAGAGGATTCTCCCTCACCCAAGTTACTCGTTTATATAGGTTTCTCGTTTATTATGGTTCGACTGTACTAAGTAAAAACATAACTAAAATTCAAATCTGTGTGTGAAAATGTTTATTATTAAATTGATACACAATGATGATAATTTTAATCACATGAGATAAAGGGAATGCATTTTTCTACATTGTATATGACACATAAACTAATATCACACATTATATTCCAGATATACATGCTTTTGAAACTAAATCTATTACATAGGTTTATATATATTAAAAACTATTCGTAATAAATAACTTAAATTTTATTCAATCTACTGAAAATTGGCAGATATACAAGTCTTTAATATTCTTACACCAAACCAAAACCCAATGCATTTTTTTAACATAAAGGCAAACATGAAAATCATTAAAGTTTTCTATTAAACTTCATGCAAAAATATTGAAGTTGAAAAACTTACAGCTACTAGAAAATTTTTCATTCAATTTCTTTAATATATCAAAATAGAAGCCACACTTACATAAGTCTTACAGTTTATTATATAGTTTAAAAACACTTATAATTTGTGGAAAATATACTCATTATTGCTTAATCTGTTGAAAGACAAAAATGATGAGTTAAAAATTAGAAAATTACCTGTTACTAGGCCATGTTGGCTAGTAAAAAAGTATTACAGTAGGACCTGGATTGGTGGGAGTACAAAAGATCGCAATATTTTTCTCACTTATAGAGGTTTCATTCTAACCTTAGCTTCTCGCTTGTAGAGGTTGTCCGCAAGACCAGGTTTCGTGCTTATCCAGATTCAACAGTGTAATGTTTCGTTATCAGTGATATTACTAATATATACCGTTCAAAACTGTTTTCAACCGAAAATTACAAAATACTACATTCAAAGAAAATCCAAGTCAGTTTGAACCAGGACAATTAAGGGTCAATATTCTGGATAATGTCTAATTTATGCAATGTTATCTGCAAATATACTTATCCGTAAGTGTTTACAAAATCGTGATTTATTTTACTAAAGGTAAACAAATAAAATAAATACTATAAACTTCAAGAGGCACTATATATTACATTAGAATTCATATACTATATTGAAAAACTGATATATAATAAAGATACTACTAGCAATATGCAATATTATCTCAATATATCTTATATATTATGTTTAATGTAAATCAATCAGGAACATTGACGCTGCCAATATTTTTCGACTCATTGTAGAGTAAAAAATTATTAAAAAAAAAATTAATTCATAGAGAAAAACCAAAGCTAATATTGTATTATTTAGTGTTCCTATAAAATTTAAGGTGTTTATTACATATGTCGCATTTTTAACCACAAATGTTTCAAAAAAATTCACATTAGCATTTGGAGTTTTTGCCGATAAAAGAATTGCAGTTAGGGCAATAATGCTCAGCATCCTTGAAGTTGTCAAAGCAGTATGGTATCAAACCCAGGCAGCATAACGAACATACCCTGTAAATATTTAAGTACATTATATACATAATAACATATAAACTATTATTAAAAATTAGACTCTAAAAACCAAACTGATAAACAGGATAAATAAAATGAAAATGTTTTAAATTGTTTATTGAGTGGAAAATTAGTTATATAAATATTTTAAAGACAATACAACAACTTAATCTTACTTATATTATAAATGGATATGTTCAGGTGGATGAATGGATGTTTGTTTTAAGGTATTTCGGGAACATCTCAACAGATTTTGATTAAATTTGGCACTTACTCTCTTATTAAGTTTTTTTAATTCCGTGCTGATGGAGTTGCAGGCGAGTGCTAATATTACATAATTCTATTGATGTTACTGGCTGGCATGAGACAAAATGAATAAGTTACACTTGCTATTACTAGTGGGTAGTTAATTTTTATATATATGATGTATTTTAAGGTCAAATAAAGGTTTGTTTGTTAGCGTATTTTCTTAAATTCTCTATATATTACTTTTACTTTTAAATATTCAACTTACATCGTGGTGACGCATATGGATCCAGCGACTAAATGTGTGTGCCAGGCTGTTGTGTATGTAACTCTTGTTGTGACAACTTTGCCGCAATTGTAGCATGTTATTGTTGTTGGTTCCGTACCCACTGCGGGCGGAAGTACTATACCCACGGGAACAGATGCACCGGACGGGGCAGCACCCATTAATCCAGGCTGAGGTTGCGCACTTATGCCTGGCGGATGAGGGTAAACTCCAGTTGCTGTAAACTGTTTCGGTTGAGGATAAACACCGCCTGCGGCCATTGGTTCAGCTGGCGGCGCTACAAAGCCATATTGTGGATTTCCAACGACAGCGGAGTACGGTGGTGGAAGATCGTTTGGCCCAGAAGTGACAACAGGAGCACTCGGTACATAATTATTTGGAGTAGCCATTTTAACTTCACTTTATTACGAACAGTAGTAAAGAAAGTTTGCACTTCACTGTTTTACCCTTAAATTTTAGATAGATATAGTTTGATAAGTTGTTCAGCCTGCTATGAAAATAAAGGATTTCAATTTCATGGAATCATGTCATGTCAATACTTGATAAATGCAAGCCACAGAGTAAAGAGTACGCTCTAGGTAATGTTGCCAGAACGGAAAAATGTTTTATTATTTATTTACAAAAACTGACTGTATATAAAACTTCGTTGTTTTTTAACTTGTTTTGTTTGTATTTCCTCTTTCAATTTACAATTGTTAGTACTGGAAGAGGAAGTCAGTTAAAACGGGGTCGTTTTTTCTATAGTTTTATCTTAACTATTCGCTATCGATAAAATTAATAATTCCACTGGCATGAAACTTTTTACAAGAGGAGAATATGGGAGATATGGATGTTATGTTGGTTTCATCCCAACCCCTCATGGGATAAGAACCTGGAGCATACTCACTAAACCCTTCTGTTTAGGCTTCTGCGTTTGCATTCATCCACAGCCTAGACTAAGTCTTTTGCCGAAGCAGCTTTTTTCCCGTAAAAAAACAAGCCTTTCAGAGCCGCAACCCGGTTCGGTGGTTACCGCCAAAGCCTGCCCATTAAACTAACACACTACAACTACATACATAGCAATATTCTTGAACTATCCATTTGTATTGCTCTAGTAATGTTGATAAGTTATTTACCTACTGAACACTTTTCTATGTTTTATTTTCCACGGGGTATTAAAACATTTAGTACAAGCTAAAACATTACATATATGTACGCAAGATGGTCACTCAAGAGCTAGTGACAAACCACTGCAATTTTAATAGCGTTAATAACATGTAATACATATTTTTAGAATTGTAATTGTTTAAAATTGTAACAACAATTAAATAAGAATAAACAAATCTTTTTTTTAGTAAATTTTGAAAAAATAACCTTACATATTATAATTCAGAACACAGCGTATTTTGATTACGCCTCATGGTATTTAATAAGGGAGAAATTACTAAACTCAGGATGCCAAGACGAACTTGTAACATAACAGCAACGGGGTCACCGGTTCATAATTCGTATGCGTTGTGAGTATTGAATAACAGCCCCGTCTGGTTCCGCGGTGGTGGCTGATGTTGAGTAATATTACTGCGAGCCAGTCGACAATTCAGACGCCGGCAGTTGCTTACTAGTCAGCCAGATACCTTCGTAAAATCCGCGCGCTTGCGATTTCAAAGCTTTACGATAAATAAAGTAATAAAGTTGCGTGAAGTGTAGATCGTTGTCAATCGAAATAAGTATAGTTAATAAGGCTGTTTTTATTGGTTTTTGGACTTTATAAACTTAATTCTGATTGGATTTCGAACTGAAAAAGTTTGTTTACATTCAAATTATGTAACCGGATTGCAAACTGCATTCCTGAAAGGTATTAGTATTATTTTGAAATTGGAATATGGATAAAATTTATTATTGATTAAACGTAGTTGTATGTTACTTATATTTTGAGTATATTTTTTAATTGTATAAATACTAAATAAAACACATAGTAAGTTTGCGCATGTAATAATTTAAAATAAATGCTGTTGATATATGTCAACTACTGGGATACTTTTTGAAATCCAAACAGACTCGTATTGTTAAATTATCTCATTTAATCCTAAGCTTTTTCCCCTTCTTTTGGTCATTATATTAAGATTTAATCTTTGTATCTACCATGCAATCTGTACCATCCTTCATCCCAAATAATTTCCATTTCAAGTAATCATACAAAAACTATATTTGAATCCATAAGGTAGCTAAGCTAAAGTTAAGCTTTTTGATAATCACGGGAAATAAGATAACAAGAATCATAGAATCTTCTCGAATTATAAAAGCATAGAAAAACTGTAGAGTTAACAAATATTTTTAAGTAAAGTTTTTTTTACCAGATATGTCTATCGTGGTGTCTTACTTAAATTGTTTTTAGTCAGTTGCTTAATTTTCAATAAATATCAGTCCACCTGTCTTAATCGTTTATTAAACGTGTTATTTTTTAACATCTACGTGTCCAAATAGATTAAAATTGTATCTGGAACGTACTTCTTAAAAAAGCTATTGCCTTTATTTTTGCAGCTGATAAATTATTGGTCTAGTTCTGGCTGGTAATAAAACGATGCAATTAACCCGGAAATATCAAATAATTAAAAAAATATTATATAATATAATATTTATTTGGAGAATAACTTGGTATCGATTGTTACCGGGCTGCGGGCGGCGGGGATGCATTGAACTTCTTACATAACCTCCACAGTCACTGCCTTATCTCATGATTATGTAACCAAAACGAGTTTTTTAGTCTTTTAATGTAAGTAACATGTTATTCTCAAAAGAATGTCAATTAGATTGAAGTTAGTAGAGTAAGCCAGATGAGTAAATTTTTGATATTAAATATTGTAAGCGTTTACTTACTTTTTCAAGTAATATTAATCAGATAAAATATCTTATTAGTTATCGCTCGTATCAGCTCCGCCGTAAGGAACGAGCCTACTCTAGATAGAGGCGATTCGGCTTCATTTAAAATTTTAATGGTTAAAATATTATAAAGACTTAAAAAAGCGAATCGAAATATAATATAATAATATAATTAGTATATATTATTTTATATGTAATAAGTTATCTAGTTAAAAACAGTAACAATAAACAACAGTGATATCCCGTAGTTTTACGAGTAACTTGAGAGTCATAAGAACCGTCCCGTCGGGTTTAACAACAAGAGTAATAGGTGAACGTCCCGCTCGCGTTAACGCCTAGTGACATAATAAATAATACATCCGTCTTGGAAAATTCCAAGTCCCTATAATCTAACCATATGTAAGCGCGGACATTTTTAATGAACATTAAAATTATACTTAGCACATACAAAGAAATGCGTATGAATGTCTTTGCATCGCTATAAGCGGCCAAACTATAATATACCACTATTTTCAATGTTTTAAACTGTTATTATTTTATAAATTAAATAAAGTATTATAATATTTTAACGGTTTTATACATTTATATAGTTATATCAATTTAAAAAAAAAATGTTGCGCGTTGAAGTCTTTTATATGGGGCGGGTAATTCGTCTACGCAGTAGCTACATATTTATTTAGTCACACTTTCGACTTCAATTATTAAGTGATTTAATTACATGAATTATTATTCTGATATCTGCTAGTAAGAAAGTATGAAAGTTATATTTCTTAACAGCATTTTAAATACCAAATTTGTACATAAACGGAATTTATATTGGGAAAATTTTAATAAGTAGGCAAAAGTTAGAGTACTGTTTAATTTTTAATTAAAGTCGACACTTGATGTAAAGAGAGTAAAGGAACATTTTTGCAAAGGTTGTGTAAGACTCAAGTGATAATTTTCGATCGCTGTAAGAGCTAAGTATTGTAACATAGATTGATCGTAATTATATCATAATAGTAATATGTAATTACTTTTATATTGTGGTAAAAATCTAAATTTGAGTAAAGTTTTTACTTAATATTATGGTCACCACTTGAATAAACTGACTTTCGGATCTTAATCGATCATAATTTCAATCGATCAGTGGCAGTTTTCAAAAGCCTCAATTTTTGATTTCAACTCAAGTAAGTCAATAACCTTACAAATCTGAAAATTTTCAAGTAGTTTCTTGATGCAGTAATTCCATTTAATTATATTTTTTGTTTCAATTTAAATCTTACTTCTTACTAATATTATAACTGCGAAAGTTTGAATGAATGGATGTTTGTTTGAAGATATTCCAAGAACGACTGTATGGATCTCGTTGAAATTTGGCATAGATATAGAACATAGTCTGGAAGAACACATAAAGTGCTCAATTTCTTTGTTTTTAATTCCATGCGGATGGAGTCGCGGGCAACCGCTAGTATTTACATAATTTTTAGTATTTTAGTTTTAAAATTCACTTAAAACGCAATGTAGTAAAAACTTGAATGAATATACAGTTGTCTAAGTGAAAGTTTGTGAATAAACATTGTGAGCGCGCAATGCGACCACAGAACAGCGTCGCTGCAGACTTTGTTTTTGACATCAGAGTACAAAAGTTTAAAGGTTAAATTTGACATCCTATGATGATGGTCTTCTATCTTATTAATATTATAAATGCAAATGTTTAGATAGATAGATCTTCAAAACGGCTGCATGGATCGGAATGTTATTTGGCATAAATATATAAATGTCAAATAACATTCCGATCCATGCAGCCGTTTTTTATTAGCTTTAGCTAGAGAATAGTCTAAAACACACAAAAAATTTAAATAACATGAAAGGTTATGTGAAAACATGATGTATAAAACTTTATGGCAAAAATACTAATGTATTCCAAAATTATTTATCTTATTTTTTACAACCAAAAAAAATGCAATTCTCTTAAATGGCCCCGTGCTATGTATTTATTTACCTGTAGCTAACTTTATATTTTTTTCTTTTTTTAAGGTGAAAATAAAGGAAGCAAGAAATCAGTGAAGTCCAGAGACTCAAAAGTGTTGTGCTTAAAGTATGGCTTGTTTCACACCACCGTAGTGTGGAAAAAACATTTCTATGAACATTCTAGAAGTACTTATAGTGATCCAGAGACTTTTAAGTTATAAAGATGCGTGTACGTTGGTGGCGCGCGGTGGTGGTCTGCGCATGTGCGCTGGTGCTAAGGAGTGACGCGCTACCACCCGCCGCTCTCGGGGACGTCGTCGTCAATGCTGCCAACAGCCTCAACTCTATGAAGGTAAGTCCACAAATCCAAGAAACATTTTGAAATAGCCGCTGGGTTTATCTATAACGACTTAGCTCCAATAATTTTCATAATCTTTTGTGCATTTAATTCAATCAAAATGATGTCCTTACTCCATGAAACCATTATGTCGCTGCCAAAAGTTGGTTCATTCCCTTCAAAATTTAAGATTAATTATTTTTAAAGATTTTATTTCTTATTGATATTTAACTAAAAAACCCAGTGGCTAAGTAACTTTGGTACTTGTTTAACATCGTAAGTAGCTTTTAAAAATTCCAATGGAGTAACATCGTGACCCCGAGATTTTAGAGATTTTCTTAGAAAACACTGTAACCCAATTCTTATTGAATCACGTCCACTTACAAAACTTTTTGTGTGTCCTAATAACAATAAAACACTTGAGTAATATAAGTATTCACAAATGACATTCGTAATTTAACTATAAGTTTATGAATATAATGTAGTCAAAACCTTAGGCAATATGTTAGAATTATTTAACTGACAAAGTCTTGGACTTGCAAATTTTAATTGTGATAATGGTGCGCCTTACTAAATCCACAGAGTTTATGCGCAATGCGATTGATTTCTTGTGCAAGATAAGTAGGCACTTACAAACCAACAAAGGCATGTTGCTTCGATGCATCACTATCGTAACTAAATGATACTAATATCTATTCAAATAGCTGAATCTTTAAATTGCACGTTGTTTTGTGATGTAATATATTTGAAAAAAGGTCACATACAAACTCCGTACTGAATACAAGTAGGCTTAGAGTTTTTCTGGCGCAACCGACTACGAATAAAAGCAGTATATTACATTTTGAAACTGTGCGACGTCCATTTAAAACGTGAGAAAATTACTACGCTGGTTGTTACAGAAATTTTCTCTAATGGTGTTTTTACTCAGCATTTCTAATAAAGGATGAAATGTGTTCTCACTTTTATAGGCTAATGTATTACAAATTATTATGAAAATTACTTCCTATATTTCAATATGAGGCATTAATTTTCTTCGATCTTAGGGATGGCTTGTTTATATTCATTGCGACCCAAATCAAATCATCGTAAGCCTTAATTTCATACGTTGCATAGAACAATCGTATCCAAATATAGTTGCAATTTATTATTTAATGTATTTCATTCCATAACAAGCACATTATATGACCTTTATCATTGCTTATTATGCAATCATTAGAAATAAATACTATGAATTTAAATCGAAAAATTTCTCGAAGTGCTATACAGATTTGTATTCAATTAAAGTAAAAACCGTAAACATGAAATAATTGCTACGAAAATTTAAAATTAAACGCACAAAAAGGTCGCACTCATCAACGCTTTGTATCACAATATAACATCTTTATATACATTGTTTACGATATGACCCAGTCAAAAAACTTAAACGGCTACTCGCATCTCGTTAACAGTTGCCCTTAATGACGAAATTGTATATGCCTTTAACCGCAACGAAGCGTTAAATGGTTATAGCTTAAACGCAATCGTAAATATATTTTAAAGGAAAATATTACTATAATTATCGCGGTTTGTATGACATGCAGTTGAACCACATTATTCTTAATTTGTTTTTTGCAACTACCCGAAGTGGAGAGTTTGTTGAATTTATCTATAATAGGATAACAAATAATATAAGCAATTTAATTCAATTTTTCCTTATTATTTGTATTTTTATATTAAAATCATATGGCCCTGCAAGACCACTTAAAGTTAATTAGGAGCTAGTTTATATACTGGTCAAATACATAATCAAAAATATTACTCACCTCTATAAAAAGTGTAAGATTCAAACGAAGATAACCTTGCATCTTGTTTTTATTGTGTAGTGAGTTTCAAAACATATAATCTGAGAAAGTCGCACTTTATCTACGGTATAGTTCTACTATCGTCACCGTAACTAACCAACCTCAAAATTGAGCAAAACTTTGCAATTTATTGTTTTCATGCTCAACAATGTCTTAACATAGCACTGCCTTTTTGTTTTTTCCTTTGAATTATAACGAATTTCAAAATGAAAAAAAAATCTATTTGCACATGCATAAATTATATATCGACCAATTTTAAGAATTAAAGTGAATTAAAAGTGAAATTGGCTATAAAAAATTAATAGTTAAAGAAAACTTTTACATGTACCCTCCTATAAGTTTTTAAAATTGATTTTCCCTATGACCCACCCGTGCGAGTACAAGTTATACGTTTATATGTCAGGTAACAGGAGCATGGCGACGTCTATCCAGTACAGTGAGCGAATCAGTAGGATTGAAGCACGCGCTGCGGCGTCTGCAGGCGGTGCCGGCGCGAGCGGCGCGTCTTGTGCACGCGCTGGTAGACCGCATGCGGGTTGGTGGCGGTCCTATCGTTAATACACGTCTCGGGGCGCTACGAGGACGGCGGCTGGTCACGAGAACTGTGTCACAGACGCCTTATTACAGTTTTAAGGGCATACGGTAAGCAACTAAATACTAAAATTGTTGTTTTTTGGTTTTAGATACTAAGAATATCATATCATAGACAGCAAAAAACACGCAATCTCTCATATTAGAAGCCAGTTCTCCTTGAACTCTGAATGATCGTACTCCAACACCAAATGAACTTTAGATGCATGCTAGTAAATCCTGCTGTAACTTAATAACAAGAGTCTATTTATTTACTAGATACGCACAATCGCCTCGTGGCCGATTAAGATTCAAACCGCCCGCGCCACTGGAGCCGTGGTCAGGGGTACGAGACGCGTTAGAAGAAGGCGCCGTCTGTCCTCATAGGTTTATGTTGTTTGATACGTACAAAGGAGATGAAGACTGTCTATTTTTAAACGTATACACCTCCGCACTGCCTGACAAGCTAACAGGGTAAGTAGAGTATCTGTAAAGCAATACTTGCTTAATTTGTTGATGAAATTCATGATTATTTATGATGTTAATCGATGATGTTTGGTCGAGTTCGATGACATTACATTAGTCTGCACGATTACGTCTACTGTTATGGCAAGTTTTTTAAGTAAACCATTTCAAAATATGTTATTCATATCAAACCTTGAACTTAACATAAATATTTTATATTTACATTATGGTGAATATTTAGTAACACAGCTTTATTTCTGAAGTAAGTAAAATACTAAAGCAAAAAGGTACTGGTAATTAACCCCAATTTCTTATGACAGGTACAATCCAAAACTAGCGGTAATGGTTTGGATCCACGGCGGGGCATTTGCAGTTGGGTCCGGGAACGCATTTCTCTACGGGCCTGATCATTTGGTGGGGGCTGGCGTGGTGCTCGTCACGCTCAATTACAGGCTCGGAGCTCTTGGCTTCTTGAGTCTCGAAAATGAGGAGGTGCCAGGAAATATGGGATTAAAGGTAACTTTTTAAAATCATAAATCAGTAAGCGGCCATTTAAATTTGCTGAAATATCGCATCGACAGCTGCCCATCGACATCTGCAGTTGTAGCTGCGTTGACCAGAAAGGGGATATTCCCACCACCACCTCCACTTCCTCTCTTTCGTCAAATCCATCCTTTCTTTATAGGAAAAGGGCGGGAAGGGAAAGAAAACTAAAATTAACCCTCTGGCACGCACACTGAACAAATGAAACAACTTACTACGACTTCACTTCCCGCTTGTCTTCTGTGTAGTCGTTGTATTTCATCGGTAGAGTCTGCCTGTTCGTGCAACAGATATTGTTGACTCTACCAAAATTCACTCCTCATCAGCTCGCTATACGTCCCCACCGAGTTAAGGGTGATTAGGCAATAGTCAACCACGCGGGCCAAGTGCGGGTTGGTGGACTTCACACATATCTTTGAATTTTTTCTCAGATATGTGCAGGTTGCATCACGATGTTTTCCTTTGCCGTAAGAACACCGGATAAATGTACATATGTAAATCGGAAATCGAAAAACACATTGGTACATGGCAGGATTCGAACCCAGGACCTGCAGATTGCACGTCAAGTGCTTGACGCTCTCAACCAAAATTCACTAGGTCATAATTAATACATTTATATATTATTAACTACATGTTTTTATCATTTAGTACAGTAAATTATAATAAATTAACACGTCATTGAACTAAGATTGACATAATATATTGTTACGAAAATGTTAACATAACTGTTTTCTTGGTTACCTCCTTGAAACAAAACACTTTAAAACATAAAACTTTATATTTATTATATATAATTAGTATAATGCTGCTTTATTTAACGCGCCGTAATCGACAAGTTGCAAAATAAAGTACGAGAAGTTAACAATTAGTGTATGAATTTGGCAACGTTTTTGGTCATGGCTTAGTTATATTGGTCAAGTGCATTACTAACGAGTCAACGTTTATCTGAATCTTAGCAAGTTCATCGTCTGACAGATTTTTTTAAGTATTCTTATTTTAAGAAATGTCAGTAAATGCTGATTTGTAACGCTGATAATTCTGATTACGATGATTCATTTATACTCTTATATACTATAGTTATTTGAAAGTCTAAATTCGTAAAAACATCTAATAACGTAGGAAGAGAATTCTGCTGTCAAAGAGAAGAGAACAACAAAGCTAGGTGTTTAAACGCTGTAACTAAATTATAAGTGTGAAACTCTACCGCGAAAACCCATTATATAATCAATTTGAGGATGCTGTGAATATAATATAGAGCGAATCGAGTGATTCAGTGAGAATTCCTTCATTTATCGCGGCAACAAATGCCTTTGCCTTAATATGAAAAGTGTGTCAATAATCAAAATACACATTTAGCGATGCTTCACACATTTTTAGGATCAAGTGATGGCTTTGAAGTGGGTTCGAGATAACATCGAGTTCTTCGGCGGGGATCCGGAGAAGGTGACCATCTTTGGCGAATCAGCCGGTGCTGTCTCGGTACATCTGCACATGCTGTCGCCCGCTTCTCAGGTATATTATTCTGAGTTTAAACAATTAGGGCCTTTTATTCTTAAAATTTATTCTTAAAAGGCCCAATATTGTGCACGTGACCCTCACCTGTTTCTACAAGTGAGGAAATTATGACTTCAAGATTTTGTTTCCTTAAATTGTAAATTTGTATGGCTTGCCGTAAAATCCGCATTAAGATAATAATTAAACAAAATACTAATATAAATTTGTCATATAAATATCATAAAAGTTATATAAAGGCTGTTATTAAGTGATTTTTAAGTAAAATGCTTGTTTAGCACAAATTGTACCGTGGTTTTCCGACAGCAAAATCTCTGTATAAAACATATCGTATCCCCGTCAGTACCGTTCACAAAACAGAGATAACAATATGTTTTAAATGGATATTGGGGTCTCAGAAACCCACGGTTAGAGGGAAAGTATACAGCTGTTGCACAAAGAGTTTAATGAGTTCACAGTGCGTTGACTTTTGCTACTTATGGTCATTATAATCGGTAGACGTATGGTAGTTATCAGACATCCTTTCACATAATATCTGTTTCCTTCCGCAAATTAGCTATACGGTTGTTAAAACTAATGGGAGTGGGGGGTAATCTTAAATAATTTTCATATATTTCCTTACAGCCTTTAGATATTACTTTCATTCATAGTTATTTATTATATAAAGAGTTTGAATTTATTACGATTACTCTTGCAATTATATGTTTTATTTTATAATAATTAATCGCAGATAATGCTATTATCCATAAATTGTTACTCATTTTATAAAATTGGTTATAATATCTTTGCTAAATAATGTAACAAAAGAACTATGCTTACGTACATTAACATTTGGTTTCTGAGAACAAAATCATTGTATAAAACTTATCGTCATTATCTTTGACAAAACAGAGATAACGATATGTTTTAAACGGGTATTTTGGTCTCGGAAACTCACAGTACAACATGTCTTATTGCGCAGGGACTTTTCCACCGAGTGATAGCGCAGAGCGGTTTGGCGCTGTCACCATGGGCTCTAGGGAAGAACCCACGAGACAAAGCCTTTGAGTTGGGCAAAGAGCTCGGTATTGAAACCAACAGCACTGCAGAGCTTCTTGGTATGTTTAATCATGTATATATCTTTAAAAAATAGCCGCGGGAAAACGAATTCAATAAATATGTCACAAGTTTATATTAAAAATTGTTTTGCTATTGCAAATATCAAGACTGTGACTGTGTATCCTCATTATTATGTATTTTAAGATGATTTGAGATATAAGTAAGTACTTATAATAATATAGAAATATTTAGATGCTTCTTTTAATCATAGAAATATCAATTACGTAATTTCTCACATTATCCTTATTGGAAAATTCTTGGTAATTCTTTTCAAGGAGACAAGCATATATTTGCGATTGCCAAACAAAATTAAGTACATACAGATCGAGTCATTAAATATTTAAATTTCAACAAATTATAATGATTCATCCTTAAAACAAAATGTACGCATAAAATGACGACATACTCTAATGTTTGATTAAATAACACCGAACATTGAAATAAAATAAAACTCCAATGTACCCATACCTACTTACTTGTTGCCAATCGAACCCATCGCTTGAGATGTTAGGATAACAAAACTAATTTACATTCAATCTGACTCAAAGCTTAAACAAATATAAAACTCAGCTTCATTAATACCGACATATAACTGAAAAAATACACATATTTAATGCTACTACTAAAAATTCTATTTCTAGGTTACCTAAGAGCAACGCCGAGTGAACTGCTTGTAAAGGCGGGCGCGAGAATCGCGGGGGCGCCGGGTAAGACGGCCGACTTGCAGAGCACAGTCGCCCTTCCATTCCTGCCAGTGCTAGAGCCCGAGGGTCCTGACGCCTTTCTCACCACCAACCCCAAAGAATCCTTGCCAGGCGCTGATGTACCGCTTCTCACAGGATACAACGCTCAGGAAGGAATTATACTATTCAGACGTGAGTATTTCCACTCAAATTGACATTTCATTGTCTACCACATGCATAGCTGAGATATTTTTAATAGAAATAACACATTACAAGAGATCAAGATTGAACACAATGATAACTTTACTGTCGTAAAATTTCTTTACTGCTAAAAATGTGTGAATAGGAATGTCTGGCCCACACATGTAAATCGCCTTGTTACTACCTTACCTTGGTACCTCTTCGGTCTAATGTCGTTTACCTTTGCTCTAGAATAATTTTGAAAATAGCAGAAGGACGAGATTTACCTACTGTATTTGTTTACCTACTATGTACCTTATATTATTCGTTTATACGATAATGAACTTACTAATTTAATTGTATGATAGGTACGTATAAAGTTTGGCATAAGGCAAAATCTTAGCAAAGATTAAAATAAGTCTCTTTGAGTGTCTCTTTCCATACTATGACTATAATTTAATAGGTTAGATTGTGATAGTTGCTTACCTCGCTGTCTAGTAAGATCATACTTAAGTACTTGTAATCGTGCACCTAATAAGTAGTTATCAAATAGTATTTTCGATAATTAAAATAGGTGAACCATTAACTGGATTTCAATGTGGTAACATTGAAGTATATATATAGATATTTATAACTCAAGAACGGCTTTACTGATATGGCTGAAAATTGGTGAGGAGGTAGCTTTGAGCCAAGAGACGGACATAGGATACTATATTTATGCCTTGAAGAGCTGCTTTTTATTTAACTTACAAATATTATAAATGCGAATGTTTAGATGGATGCGCTGTGAATGGATGGATGGGTGTGCTACACTAATTTTTTTTTATATCCACGCGGACGGTGTAGCGGGCGAAAGCTAGTATGTAATAAATCTACTTCGATTAATGAATAAACAGTAAAGTTTTCAAACGACTTAGTTTTAAAGTAAATTCTTTGATCAATTTACGCAATTCGAGGTGGGAGGTCGAAACATTCTAAAAGTTCGCATAGATTTGCTACATTAAATATTTGAGGTCACACTTGATTTAACCTAATGAATACTTTCGTAATGTTTGTATATATTTTGAGGTCCTTTACGATGTTGTAATAGTGTATTTTGCAAAGTGTAGATGAATTTCAACAATATTTTACTTAGAATTTATTTACAGTTATTTCTTTGAAAGGTCTTGGTAAGCGTTGATGTCATTTGTATTGAAGTGTTGACCTTACATATTGTAATGCAAACTTAAGGACCCGAGTTAATAATGAATATTATGATTTTATCATTGTAATGTCTACTTTATATTTATCTGGCCCTGGTACTGATTGTATACGTTTTATTATAATTATTTCTTTTATGATTTTTTTGTTTACATATATACTTTCGCTTTTGAAGTAGGTTCATTTTTTAAAAAACATTATTTTAGTTACAAATTAACGTCTCTGTTTGTATGTGTACTAGCTATCGCCCACGACTCCGTCCACGCAGAGTTAAAGATAAACTTAATAAGTAGCCTATGTGTTCTTCCAGACTATGTTCAATCATCTATGCCAAATTTCAGTGAGATCCATACAGCCGTTCCGGAGATACCTTCAAACAAACATTCATCCATCCATTCCTCCATCAATCTAAACATACGCATTTATAATATTAGTAAGATTGTATACCAGGGATCTGCGTTATATGGACATGCACGCATTTTAGTCTGAGCATCGAGGTGCAGCCTGTAATTTTCCGAGTAGTGACTGCAGTTAAATCAGGACGGAAATCCTAGCCGGCATTGTGCAACTTTGTCAACAAGATCCGTTGCCTTGGATTCTAGACATTCACTATATACCCATAATTTATCGTTTTTAGTATAGCTAGCTAGTTTCGTCAGTATTTGCGTTTTAGCATAAATGTTCTAAGGGTTAAACAATTTCATTTTACTTGTTGTCATGCACGTATCGCTTTGTTCAAAATATTACGTATAATGGAATAGGGACAACTAGGGTTATTGGTTTACTAAAATAGACCGGTAGTAGAGGTTACGGAAATGACTGAAAGAACAAGTGCGAGGTCCATTCTTTAACAATGCAAATAACGAAGTCTATTCTACTCATGCTAATATATTGTTGTTTATTATGAACGACAAGCAGTAAAGAAACCTTCGAGTAAATAAGGTTACATATGTATATAGTAAGCTAAGGTTAGAATTAGTATAAGACATTAATTGTGCAAAAAGTAGCAGAGTGCCGTATTAAGTCGTCAAAACCTTTTTCTATCCGACTATACCAACATCACTTACGAACGATCGTATATGCTTTGAGCTAGGATAGTATTACAATAAAATAAATATATAAAAAAGCATACAGGCCTAACGTAAAGCAAACGTGACGTAACGAAAAACGTTGAAAACAGATATTAAAATCCTCAAACCTATTACCGAAATATCGTTTAGCGAGTTCTTACATGTTATTTCATAAAGCCCTACTTTACGTAATGACTTGAATTTGTGAACTATTGTCACATAGTAATCAGACCGTTGTAGTTTAGCTTAGCGTTTAGCGGCAATTTGTCGTTTGTCGAATCCTCATGTTGCTAAACATGTAACGCTTTGTTTACTAACAGACATACACAGGTCTCCGTGTGTTACGTTATGTAACGCGGCAGTGAAATTGAAACCGGTTCACTTTATGTCATAAATACGTCATTTGTGTCAACGGAATTAAGACAACCGGACGCCTGACCAGGATCAGACAGATCATTTAGGATGAATTCGTGTAAATTTTTATTTGATTTTGAAATTGTTTGTTTTATGGTCATTTTGCATGTCACAGTTTTGATTTCGTTGGTTGTATTGTGCTGTCGTTCATTCATAACGTTCACAAAAAAATAGTACCTTTTTCTAATATATTGAACCTTCGGTTAGACATTTTTATACTTGTCGAAGTTATAGATTAGCGTTTATCTCACACCATATATTAAATACTTCATATTATATCTGTAATCTATAGCTATAAAATTCTATAAAAATAAATCTACATCGAAGTAATCGAAAGATAAGGTTAGATCAAAATATTTAAACATTATTCTTTCCTTGTATATGCTTATCATAATACTACAAAAATTATCAATAACAATGTACGTGAAATAGCATAAGTTCCGCATGACCATGAAGGCCGTGGCCTTGAGAATCTTACCGGATACATAACCTTGTCGTTAATTTGATAGACGCAGACAATTTATCTAGCGGGATACATTGTTATATTCGACTGGCGAAATACTGGACTGCTGGACTGATCTTATTAACCTACAAAACATAATACACCCGTTCAATCTCTTTGGAAAAGCATAGATAGCATTATATGTTTTTGTGCAAGTGTTTTGATAGAGCACAAAATATCGTACAAATATCCGCAATGGTACTTACAAATGAGATCTAAAATGCATCTTGAAATCGGCCGTAAAACAAATGACATTATTGCTCTGATTTTACGTAACAAATACCCAAAAATGATGTTTGTGACAACTTCGAGCCACTTTCACTGTAACGAAACTTGCCGAATGCTGTTATATATTAGCATTTGTAATTTAAAACGGTTATGCCATGTTGTGGCCAGTGAATAGTTGACCGACACGTACAAATTGTTACCGTCAAGCTATCCTAAATTCTTCTAAACTCGAATTGACACCTAGACAGTATTCGTGAAACTTAAGTTCTATAGGATAAAAATCAAGTGCTGTTCGAACGAAAGGATTTATCTTATCTTGGTCTTGAAATGTTCGTGGAGGTCTAGGAAAGGTTTAAAAGGTGAGAAAAATTCGAATAATTGCCGGAAACTATTTAATTTTTTTTTCATCCCACGCAGACAGAGTCGCAGTCGACAGCTAGTCATATATATTTTCTTTATATAATTGCAAAATTTTACATAATAATTACGCTAAATGTATCGGGTTAATTTCTATTATATTTTAAAAGAAATCCACGCTTAGGTTATTTAATTATTTAAGGATAACGTAACTTATATGAACCAAAGCTAAACACTATATTTGTAGTAGAGTATGTAAGGTAAAAGGAATGTAAACTTAGAAGATATAAATGTGCACAACACTTGTATTTTCAACGAAAGGAAAGGAAGTTGTTATCGTTTCGAGAAAAAAATAGAATTCTAACGTTTTGATTTTGATCGTATCTTTTTATCGTTTTCATTATCATCGTCTGCGTCGATTTATCTCTAAGGTTATACCGATAAGTCGTCAATTAAACAAATACTACGAAATAAGTTCATGTGCAAGATTTTAATATGTAATCTTCGTATAGTAATTAAGTTTTAATGTTGCTTCGGTTTTTTTTTACTTTTATACGTTTAGGCACGTACATATTTTTAAGTATAAAATATATTTTTGTTATTAAGTTTTGAAGGAAATTGACGCAAGCTCATATGTGACCATGATTAACAATCGACAATCGCTTCGTTGTTGCCATTTTCTGGAAAGAAAAAGACAAAACGTTACTTCTCGACTCATTATCTGTTTTATGACGCCGAGGCATATTCCATTCAAACAACAAACGTTAACTAACTTTCCAGAGATACCTGCCAAAAATCCATCTATCTAAACTTTTGCATTTATAATGTTACTAAGAAATAAGATTATTTGTATTCAATTCCAGGTTTGCAACGCTATCCGAAGTTACTGAGTGAGTTGGAACATGAATTCCGTCGCGTGGTGCCGCCCGAGCTGATATCTTCTGATGAAAAGCTGACCAACAAGGTTGCGGATCATATCAAAGCTTTCTACTTCCAACAGCGTCCAGTCGATACACGAAACATCAACAGTCTCATTGACGTAAGTACATGTTTTAAATTTTAAACTAATTCAACAAATAACTTGAAGCTATTTTTATAGAAAATTTAGTAAACAAAATAATTTAGCATAAAATCACAAACCATTTGCATTACGATTATCTGATTTTTTGATATTGTTATGGAGTGGGATTTCCCTGAGTGATAAGATTGCTTAAATTTAGGATAATTATATATCACAGGGTCGCTTGTACTGCGACGGAACCTACACATGTTTAATACGTAATATATGTACGAAAAAAAATCGAAAATTGCGTTCACAGGTTGTATGTAGCTACGTAAAGTAACTTATTTATAAAAATGCTTACTGTCTCTAAAGAAAAAAAAACTGATTATTGAATGGCATGGAAATGTACTTCACGAGACGTCAAAATACGTTAGTCGCTTAAATGAATATATCCTACAATTAGTCAAGTTTAAAAAGCAAATTATGGGCATCGGGTATAACTTTCCTTTATTCCACAAGGTCTTAGAAAACATGAATGTAATATCTTTTCTTGTTTTTGCAGTTATTCACGGACGTGATGTTTTTGAGGCCAGTGCTCCAAACGATTCGTCTCCAAGCAGCCACCAACAGGACAAGCCCCACGTATTTGTATCGGTTCGCATTTGACGGCGCGCTTGGCCTGTTCAAGCGAATGCTCGGCATATCCCACCCGGGCGCCTGTCACGGCGACGAAATGGGATATCTCTTTTACTTTTCTAGACTCAATTACAGACTGGACGACGAATCAACTGAACTTGCAGTTTCTAGAAAGATGGTGCAGATGTGGACTAACTTCGCAAAGACTGGGTAAGTTAATATACAAAAGTAATCTAATTATGTGATCTAGGCTCGAACCATTATTATTGGGGCTTTCAGCTTAACAACCGTAATGTTTTCGTAAATTGCGGCGTGGATAAATTCAGACGTAATTAACGAATTGTATAAAGTGTGACGTGACGGTATGACGTCACGTCAACGTTTCTATTATAATTGACGTATGTTGTGATGATATTACTTTTATACTATTTAAAATGGAACCATGGATTTCCACAGCCAAGAACATAACACGTTTATGTATTTTTTTTGTTATAAAGATAATCAGCCAATTCAGACTGTACGCATCTAAGATTATCTTGGGCGATTAGAATAATACCAATAGATGCCTGTCGATAATTACGAAAATAGACTTAATTTGCATTTGTCATTTTCACCTTTATGTACACAAGCGTTATTGTTATGTCTATAATTTATTGATTCCAGAAACCCAACCCCGCCGATGGATTACGAATCGGTTTTAGACTTCAAATGGCTTCCCGTAAACGGAACGGAACACATGAATTATCTCAACATAAATGGAAACTTCACATTGCTAACAGATCCCGAAGCAAAAAGAGTCAGGTTTTGGGACTGGCTGTATAATAATTACGCCAATAAATCAATGCAAGTTTAAAAAGAAAATGTGCGTGATATCCCACAGATAAAAAATTAGATATTGCTTTGAATTTAAACCGTTGTAACACTTGGTTCAAAACATGGTTTTGCCTCTGTTTCCTTCTGATTGGATGAGAGAGATGACATGATACAAGTGTAGCGACAATTCGACAATGAACACTCACGTTAGATAGATGAGACATTGATGATAAGTGTTTATGCTATACCGAGTTATAGTTGATGTTTTTGTTTATAAGTGAAGATCAAGTGCAAATATATTTACGTAAATATGTACTTATTTTGTTATATTACTTATAATCATAATAAGATGAATTGTATTAAAAATTAGATTTAATCTTCGTTGTCTTCCATTTTAGACTTCGTTAACAAAATGAAAAGTCAGATTTTTAAGACTTTGATTAAAAAGTGTTATATTGTAAATAGCTTCTGTATAATTTATAGAAATCTATTGTAAATTTGTTACTTCGTTATACTCATGTAAGTGTTACTTGTATTAATTATATGTATTTAAGAATTATTTAATCTAAATAAATAAAAAGTCTAACAAATTTATTTATGCACTAGTTGTTGCCCGCAACTACGTCTGCACGAAATTAAAAAATAACTTAATTATGTTGCCTATGTGTTCTACCAGGCTATGTTCTACATCTATGAAAATTTTTAGCGAGATCTATAAACATTCGCATTTATAATATTAGTAAAATATAATGGTACTAAAACACTTCGTAAATTGTACCTATTTACAGTAGACTTATACCTGATGACTGAGTATTCAGAGTACAAAAGTGAGGCCTACGGATGTCTTTTTTGTGGTAAATTTCCCCAATATTTACATCACAATATTTACATAAAAAGTCAATCGAAAATAACATTTTCGCAAAAATACTTGTCAACTAAACTTTGACGAATATAGACTTGGCTGTGCCACACATTGCATTCATGCAACGAGTGTGACAGTGATTTTCCGCAAAATAATCCTTGATCGCACAAATCTTATCGTAATCAATTAAAGTCGCTAAACAAATGATATAATCCATATCAAATTCATTTCAGCAATCAAGTTTTAAACTTGTTTAATGTTCATATATACATATATCGACTTATAAGATATTTTTATGTCACTTGCTTTGGATTCTATTGATCTCATGAAGTCCAACAATTCTATCGTTTCTTACATCACAGATTAGCTTTTTAGGACATGAAATCTAATCTACGCAAACACTGTAAATCTTTTCTTGTGATCCCATTTTGTCTATAGTTTGTCTATTTAAGATGGATTAGTTTGACAAGTGACCCGTTTGAAGTATCGAAAAATTTGGTTGAGGAATAATGGAATATTTAATGGACGGCTGTTTTAATGTCGGACTGTACGCGCGTAACGAATAATAACTATGAACTATCGAGCATCGGTCTTTTAGGTACTATATTTTAGGTCTTAAGTTTGTTATAGTGGTTTGGCTGGTATTGCACAAATAATTAAAATGATATTAAATACATTTCTTTTTTGGTTTAATGTTTTTACCTTTACGTAGTTTTGAACAATAAAGTAGGAAAAGAAAGAAACAATTATATTTATGTTTTAGTTTTAATTCAAAAAACAATAATCCTGCAATTTTCGATTACAAGTTCTATGAGGACAACCACGGAGAATCGAAAAGATTCATAATCGATTTTACACACTATAAAAAAACCCTTCAGCAGTGGGTTTCTGAAACCAGAATCCCCATTTAAAACATATTGTTATATCTGTTTTGCCATGGATGACTGGATAACGAAATATTTTAGATGGAGATTTTCATATCAGAAACCCACTGTAATAGGTCACATTTGACATCTACCATCTATATTTATTTGCTTCATAGTGAAGTGCCTGCTTAAAACATCGATTGTGTGAATGAATCGATACGTACATTAAACATACGTAATTCGAATTCAGTCCTACCTCTTTCGTATTAAGATTTACCAAAAACGCAATCAATTCTCACAACTATAAGAGCCTGCATCTGCGTCCTATAACATTGGACATTCACTAACTTAAATAGGGCAAGAATAAAAATATTGGACACAATCTTTTTTTATAATACAGATTATGCAAATACTAATAGTCTGTGAAACCATCTGTTTTGATTGACGTAGAATTGACTTAAACTTAACCTTACTTTTGTACACTTGCACGCTGTGTTGTGTACATAAGTAATTTATACTGTAAGATTGGCGTGAACAATAACTTTACAAATAATCAGTCGGTGATAAGACGTCGAGTAATAAAGTCGTACGTTCGTGAAGTAATACGTTACAGTATTTTCATAGCTGACGAGCTAGTAACGTGCAATCCTCGTAAGTTTTTAGATCGTTAAAAGTTTTTAACTTTGAAAATTTCCCTCTTTTTATATGAAAGTTTCTGTTAATAACTTTAAATAATTTAATTAATTTCTGTAGGTTGAAAAAATTCTAATCTATCAAATAACAAAAATTACCGCTTAAAAATGCACAACGGAACTACAAATGGGTGTTCAAAATACTTCGATCTCAAGGATATGCCTCACATTATTAAAGCTTTGTGAGTATAAATGCATTTTTTGTTTTAAACACTCATGAAATTGACTTTTTTTTAAATAAAATTTATATTTTAGGGACAGAAATCAAAAATTAGAACCCGACATTCTCCACGTAATCGGCAACACTCCATTAGTGAAACTAAATAAAATACCCAAAAAGGATGGATTATTATGTGACATGTGTAAGTTATAATAAATATTTTTAATATAGAAAATTATCTCTTACTGCCAAACTTTTGAATTATTTATTTTTTTTAGATGCAAAATGTGAATATTTGAACCCAGGTGGTTCTATAAAGGACCGGATTGCCTATAGAATGGTGCTGGATGCTGAAGAAAAATGCATATTAGTACCGGGGAAATCTGTTATCATTGAACCAACATCAGGAAATACTGGCATTGGTTTGGCTTTAGCTGCAGCAGTGAAAGGTTATTTTTCTCTATGAAAAAATAATTGACAATTTTTTTTATAATTGGAAAAAGATAAAAAATTATATAGTTTTGCCAAAAAGTTTTGTGTCTTCAATTTGCTGAAGAGTATTTTTACTCTATGAGAAATGTAGTTATATATATATTTTTTTATCAACAGGGTACAGATGTATTATTGTTCTGCCAGAGAAAATGTCAGATGAGAAAGTAAACACTTTACTAGCATTGGGAGCGGAGATCATCAGGACACCCACTGAAGCTGCATCTCATGACCCTGACAGCAATCTCATGGTTGCTAAACGACTTGCTAAGGAGATACCAAATGCTGTTATGCTGGATCAGGTATGTTTTAATTGTTTTTTATAAGGCAAATAATACTGACCATAGTTTCAACAACTCAATGACAAATACATATTTAATGTGTATTATTAGGAAATAATAATATTACAACGGGACATAATATATTTAACATATTATTTATACATACTGTTTATGTATATGTTAAGAAATCTGTTTCAAATGATTTATTCATAAAGTAAATCGAGTTTAATGAAATTTTATGAATAAAAATAAACTTGAATGTTTATCTAAAAAAAAAAGATATTAAATAAATCACTAATTACCCAGAAACTGAAACATTATCAGTGTTGCAAGATATAATTATGCATTTATATAATATTTTTTTGATAAAGTAAGTCAGATGCCAATATTCACAATCTCGTTGTTATAATATGAAGTGGCTGATAAAAGTTATTACATAAATTTAATAAAGTTTTTTAATGTTTGTATCTATTTTTATACCAAATTTAGTACATCTCTAAAAATTCATGAGATTTTGCTAATTTTTTGTGATTTCATTTTATTCCTGTAAAGTGTAAAAATGTATGTATATAAATAACATAATATATAGATCAACAAGTCTCATCTAATTTTATTAAAAATAATATACAATAGCAAAATACTCCTCTTAATTATTATTATATTAAAAATAATCATAGACAACTCGACAACAATAACACAAGACCTCACTCCCTGGGCCGGCGTTAGAATAAAGCGCGGAAAGGTGGCCGCCCAGGGCGATGGACAGAAAGGGACGCCATAAGTCTGCGAATTACACAGTCTCACACAACTGTTAATCCCCATAGAAATCTAAGAGCTAAACTTGTTACTGCTCAATTTGTCATAGGGTATTTTCATGGAGTACAATAAAGTTTACATAAAATGACAGCAATGAACATATATAATCACTAACTTTGTTGCTTGCTGTATAAACAAGAATGCATACAAAGATATGTGGAGGTTGCATTGCGTTCTAAAAGAGTATATAATATGCACGTATATAATTGTTTATTTATTCTGTTGTGTATTGTGCAATCCCATAGACATTCTTGTTACACGATCATTTGACCTTCACGCATTTAAATGAGGCTATAACATCCGTTGATCTATTATTACATTGTTGTAAACATCTCAAGAGATTTTACGATTTCTCATCTACATGAATGATTAAAAAGATTTATTTGCAAATAGTATTACAACAAAAGAGCGTCGGTGGCTAAGGAGAGAAGCACTTGACTTGCAATTTGCAGGTCCTGGGTTCGAATCCCGCCATGTACCAATGTGTTTTTCGATGTCCGATCTACATATGTACATTTATCCGACATTCTTATGTGAAGGAAAACATCGTGATGCAACCTGCACATATCTGAGAAGAAATAAAAAGATATATGTGAAGTCAACCAACCCGCACTTGGCCAGCGTGGTAGACTATGGCCTAATCACCCTTAACTTAAGGTAGGCTCCGAGCCCCTCGGTGGGGACATATAGTGAGCTGATGATGATTACAATTTCAATACGATTTGTAGAGAATGTTAACAAAAAGTAATTAATTCTAATATTAAGTATCATTGACAACTTGGAACATAAATTTCCAAGTATAATGCAATAATAACTACGTTTGACTATATGTTTACTACGTAACTCACATGTTTTGTTAACTTTTCCTCCATGTTTCGTCATGTTGTGTTTTTCGATTGGTATTTCCGCTGGATATTTTTCGATCGTTCGCGAGATTTCGACTTGAAAACATGACGAATGATTACTATTATTATTCGTTATTGTTTTATTGAATGTGGATGACTACACAGGTAGAGGAAGACCAAAAAAAGTATGAAATGACTGTGTGAAAGAGAATATGCCTAGGAAGGGGGTAGATTCGGCTGATAGACATGTATGGAGGAGTAGTACATACTGTGCCGACTCTTAATAGGGATAAGGGCAGGTTGATGATGATTTTTAAAAACGTTAAAAATAAAACTAACATACAATTTCCCTCCGTCACCATTAAATAAATCCAATAACCTTCTTTCGGATTACAGAAATAGAATTTAACCTATTTTTACAGTCTCCAAGAATTTCAATGTTAAATGAACCACACTATAACTCTTTATATATTTTTTTTATTATAAACAAACTCTTAATAGTGACGACCCTGCGACCAAACGATTACATTACAATATCTTGTTGTTTTTCCAAATCAAGGACATGTTATAATGCGTTTATCTTATAGCTTATTTTAGTTCCCTATTATTTGTCGATTAACAAAAGAGTAATGTTTTTCCTACGTATGTCCATTCGTATACTTCCCATATGTAATCAGTCGAGATTCTTAGATTTTATTTTAGTTAATTACTTATATAATCAGTCAGCTTTACGTCCCAACGAGGGACTCGGAGTCTACCCTATGTTCGGGTAACAAAGCATAAGTAAACGCCAGCCCAGTGCGTTTTGTTTGACTGCACACATATCTTTGGAATTCTCCTGATATGTCCAGGTTCAACGTATGTACGTAGTAAATGTTCATATGAAAATCTAAATCCGAAAAAAAATGGCGAGAATCGAACCCAAGACCAGTAGATACGAGTGCTTCCACATTACGTTAGTATTCATTCAATATATTCCCCAACAGTACACGAACGCTTGCAACCCGTTGGCGCATTACGATGGTACTGCTGAGGAGATTCTGTGGTCATTGGACGACGACGTGGATATGGTGGTGATTGGAGCGGGTACGTGCGGTACCGTATCTGGCATCGGACACAAGATCAAAGAGAGATGCCCCAAGTGTGTCATAGTGGGTGTTGACCCGCTTGGTTCAATACTCGCCGAGCCGGAGGAACTCAACGATAGTGATGTTGGCATGTATGAAGTAAGTTTTTTATACGTTATTTACATAAAACCTATTTTTTTAAACCTATTAACGACTCTATCTTGTAAACATATTTTACAAGATTGTTCTATTATTTTTGTGCGAAATGTTGTAATTTTGTGTGTGATTTTTTATTTACATTAAATTAATTTAACTTTAATTAATTTTAACCCATTGATTAAAATATCATCGGTTATAAATATTTTTGAAAATTAATATGATTTAATAGTTCAAGTTTTATAATTAGACTATTTTAATTTATATATTTATATAGACGTATACTTCGCGTCGAAAACAATACTATTCAAAAACAATAGGTTAATCAATATTTGCCTTTATCTTATAATTGCACATTTAGAAGTACTAAGTTAATAATAAACTTTCACTATATTTGATGTTAGCAAATATTGTACACATTGATTGTATTATAATACCTGATAAGTTTTATATTTATTGACATTTTTGATTTATTTGACCAATTGAACATTTTCTATTGAGAAAACAAAATGTTAACTGATAAGACAAAGTAACAAATATTCGCAGTGTCTATGTAACTTGGAGTATTTTATAATTTATTTTTACTTCATATCTTAAAGAAAACTATGTTATTATTATACTTTTTATAAACTTCAAATGATTAGGGAAAGTAATCAAGCCACGATGCCTGACCGTAGGATTCTGGAACCATGCTGTATAAAACAGAAATAACAATATGTTTTAAACGGGGATTTTGATCTCAGAAACCCACGCTTAGTTGATACTTATCTTTACTTTTATTTCGACACGAGATCTTTTGTAACAATGGAAATAAGAAATTTTATTGCTTAGAATTTTGTAGACAAAAAAAAATCTTAGCTTAACACGGATATATATTTCTGTACCATATCTTTCCTTCCTTGTCAGATAGCTTTAGCTTAAACCAGTTTCATTCGGTTTAAATTGGGTCACGAATGTCAGTATTTTTTGTGGTTTTATCACATTCTATTATATAATGTCCTTAGTTATAATTTTAATATATTAGCGTTACATTATCAATTTAATCCTCTCCTTTAGTTTGTATCGACGAAAATTGATTTTAAATCACGATAAAACGTGCAATTGGAATACGTAATGTACAAATAAAGGAAGTTATGACGTCACAGAACAGTTTATCAGTTTTGCATATTTGATAATCGTGATTTTATAAATTCTTCGATTAGCTTCTTTGATTAGCACATCTATATTGTTCCAAAGGCTTCCTAGAATATTGAATCATACACGATATATCATTTGTATATAATGTTAGAAAGAAAATCCGACACCGTCTGGTGTACTGGCGCAACTTAACTGGCCTTACTAAACTGTCGACGTTTATACCCCCTCAATATTCATTCTGATACTTGACTTTGTAACGAAAGCCCACCAATCGCACCAAAGGATTCTAACTAATAATGTCTAAAATTAATAAAAAAAACATATCTAAGTAAATTTCAGAATTACGCAAATCCCTTATCAATTACGATCCTTGGTCCGGCCCTGGATGATAAAAATACGCGACAATATGCCTGAATGTTAATATTCTTTTTTACTCTTTCCCATTGAGTTCTCTATTTCATTCAGTTGTTTTTTGTTACTAAATATATATTGATAGTTTAAAAATAATTTGTTAAATATTTTGCCTTCACTAAGAACATGTAAACAAATCTATCCCATCTAATGTCAATCGAGGTCGTCTCTTATGTGTTTGTTGTACTAAATATACGTAATAATTGCGTATTTCTGTACTCTATCATAGCAGTTTGATAACTGAGAAATAACAGTATGACAAATATGTTACGTGATACATGACGATGTTTCGATTAACATATTACGTTATTACAATCAATATTTTATATCTTTAAATGTAATTCACAGATTTCTTTAGTTATCGCTTATTTCTTATAATTTATTATGTCATCAAATTACTAAATATTTAGTAATACTAGTCCCAATCACCCTGTAGATAAGTCCAAGAAGGGTTTGAAATTAGTCGGTACTTACAACGAATAAAATGTACGTGAATGTACATAGCCGTTTTTATTTTGGTTACCAGCTTTCGCCCACAACTCCGTCCGAGTAGGTAGTGTGTGTTTCTTCCAGGATATGTCCTACATCTATATCAAATTTCAGCGAGTTCCATGCAGTCGTTCTGGAGATACCTTCTAACAAACATCCACCTAAACATAATAATATCTCACGAAAGTTTAAACGATTTAAGTATTAGTTTTATTTACAAAGAAATTTGATTGTTAATTACGAAAAATAATGAGAAAAATTCAAAATTTTGCGACTCGCAATGTTTAAAATAATAATAATCCTATATTTGTTTTTTTGAAAGGTTGAAGGCATCGGTTATGATTTCCTGCCAAAGGTACTAGATAGGAAGGTGATAGACAAATGGATCAAGACGGAAGACAAAAATTCATTGACCATGTCTCGACGGCTGATAAAGGAGGAGGGACTACTTTGCGGTAAGTTTTACACTGGTCCTCGTGATATTCACGAACAAAGCGTACCATCGATAGATATTACAATGTCTAAGAAACTTCTGCATTACGAGGCAAGTTATTCCAATCCTATGGATACCTAGTCTTAAAGAAAAAGTCTGGTTATTGTCCCATCCATGTATCTATGTAACATATAAACATTATTAAGTAATAAAAAAAAACAGTTATTATTTTTCATGTTTTGACAATTGTAATGTTTTGTTTTAAGGCGGCAGCAGTGGAGCTATAATGTGGGCGGCGACGCAAGCGGCCAAGTCGTTGAAGGCGGGTCAGAAGTGTGTGGTCATTCTGCCCGACAATATTCGCAATTACATGACCAAGTTCATCTCCGACCAGTGGATGGAGGCCCGCAGCTTCAAACCCGTCGTCAAGCACGATGAACTCCCGTATGTTCTGAATTTAAATTATAGAAACCCCAAACATTGTCATGAAACGAGTACTTCAATAAAGACAGGTTAAAAAGCCGTGGCATTTTGTGCCTATTTGATTTCCGCCATTTTGGCGCTGATGGTGACGGTTGATAGCGGTGGTGGAGGTTCGAACTATTTAACGATAGAATTAACTGTCAAGAACTTCGAAAGACGCGTTTAAGTCGAAACGAAGCAATAGCAATGATCTATCCATTTATTGTGGTCAGTTAATTTTATGGACTTGAGTATTTTTATTTTCTCAAACAACCGTTAATAAGTTTTATAAACGTGTATAACCTATTGACATATCGTGATATCAGTAATTAAAGAAATAAAACATGACTCCTTGATTGAAACATCGCGAAATTGTTTCATCTTACACATTATTTATACCACATTAACGTTGATCTTTGGCTTTTTTATCTATATTTAGATTAAGATTAATTATTCGTAGAGACTTGATAATATTCAGATGTTAATTTATATTTCCTTTTAAGTCGTATAAACTTGACAAAAAATATGTTTTCCGTCTTTGAGAAGTGTTTAAATTACGCTTAAAACTAGCATGTCCTAGCTAACCACGGTTTCTAGTTGTATTGGAAAAAAATTATTTGTATTTAATTAAAAAGTTGTAAAATATAAGTAATTAGAGACATAATTGTTATCAATAGATGGTGGAATGCTGTAGTGACGAAAAATCTGATTCAACCGATCACCGTGATCCCGCATGATACGCCCGCTGTGGAAGCGCTCGCCGCTCTCAAGACCTCAGGTGCGCCCGCGCTGGCCGTCGTAGATGACCAGGGGTAAGTTATTTCATCCATACATATAAATCAAATTGGTTATCTGGAAGTATTGAAGAAAAATTATATCGTAAACCTCATGGTTTTTTTTCTGACAGTGAAAAATTACCTTTTCTTTAATTTTGTCTGCCTGTCCGCAAATACACGTTTGTTCCGTAGTCTCTGGAACAGCTAGACCGATTTTGAAAGTACTTTGACAGGGAAAGAGTAGCCTAGTTGGTTAAAATGTCGGAATTTACTGCCTCGCACAGTTGCGTCCTGGGACTGTCTTTTATCGGCGATATTTTAAAATTTTATGATTTAACATTCTTCATGAAACGAGCATATCTCTTTCTGAAAGACTGACAATGCCTCTGCACATTCTCTGTTATATCGGATGGCCGTCGAAAAAAATATTTATGGATCCAAAAGTACAGACAAGACATTCGTTTGTTATGTTGGTAAACAACTACATTTTATTGTTTTTTCCGCTATTGAAATGTACACATGTAATGCAATGGAAATATTTACGTTCCGACTTTACTTTTATGTGTTATTGTGTAAGCTAAATGGAAATATCTCGCAATAACACTGATAGTAAGGAATTTCATTTATTACTTCTTTTTGTATTTATACGTATGTGTAAAGTCATTGGCGGATATCCGGGGAAAACCAACTTTGACTACAAGATACGAAATAAAAAAATTAAAACGATAATTATTATTATTCAGAATATACGATTCCCGAATAAAACCACTTAATCCCGTTGAAAATATTCAAAAACACCAATTATTGCAGACTACTTTTGTTGTTTATTTGAGATGAAATATTATCAATGGTATCTGTCAGTGTCAACAATTCGATATCAAATTTTCAGTGACTTTTATAAAATGTAAAAAAATTAAAATCATAATTATAAGAAAATCTATTTTATTTCATTGTCCAAATGTGACAATGAAATGATTGTATTGATTTTCTTTCTAGCTTTGTACGTTTACGTTATTACCCTCTTACTTATCGGTCAACAAGAACAACATATGAGAAATAATGAAGACTATTGTCTAGGCTACTTTGGGTCATGAGGTAAATTTAAGTCTTTAAATTTTTATTATAGTTCGAAAGAGGTAAATCTCGACAAAGACGCAAACGCCATTGAAATATCACAAATAAAACAAAATAAAATTATCGTAACATACACAACTTAAACAGAAACAAAATAGGCTTTGCAGTAATGAGCAATATCAAATATACATTTATTTCAGAGCGTTAATCGGCGTGGTGACGGCGGACTACGCGCGCCGGCGGCTCACCAACCTATTCGGCAACGTAACGGATGAACTGAGCAAGTTCACTCAGAAGAAGTTCTATTCGGCGGACGTGACGCAGGCGCCTGCACTCGGATATGTGTCGCGAATGCTGGACATCGCGCCATTCGTCGTCATCGTCGAGTCTGGTAATATTCTACTACCTTTTAAAATAACTATAGCAAACAAGTGTGATTGTGATTTGAGAAAATTTTATATTAGAACTAGCTGTCGCCCGCGGCTGGGTCCGCGCGGGAAAAAATAGAAATCCTAATTATCTATACTATGTTATACATCTATCCTAATAAAAATCATCGAGATCCATTCAGCTATTTTGGAGATACCTCCAAAAAAACATCCATCTAAACATTTGCATTAAATACATATTAGTAAGATAAGATTGAGTTACCATAAAGGTTAAACTTCACACTTCTCATATTTACTAAGTATGGATCCCAATCAGGACACTCAGAAATTTCAAGTACAGTGTATGGTTACCATAGTATTATAGATGTTAAGTAATCATAAGATAAAACAAAATATAGATTAACTTCTGCACCATGAATTTTTTCCCTGATGTGATTTCATATGTCAATGTTTTTTTTTAGTTTCTACCATAAAGAAACCTATTGGAATCTTGACATCAGATGATCTGCTGCGTCTCGTCACAGACAAAAGCCTCAACCTCAGCTCGTAATGCAATAGCCATGCAATATTCAAGAATAGCAACTGCTCAAATGTTATCAAATATAATTTATATTCAGTATTGATAAGCCATTGTTAATGTACTGTATCTTATTGGTATACAAAATGTGCATGTTTAGAAATAAGTGAAATACAAGGTCACAAATTAATAACTTCCTTGGCAAATTGAATGTTTGTTTGTAAATATTTGTACAAATTATGGTTTTACAGCATTTAAGGGGGAATTTTTTGGACCATATCTATAGGTTTTATCTTAGGCATTTATGACATGAAACTGATTATTATAAATAAAATTGTATACACATTTATTTATTGTTTGTTATTTAATCCTTTCCAAATCCATATCCATTTAAAGTTATTAAAATAGACCTAAGATATCATTTTGTTTGTAAAACAGTCAAAATGTTGGACATACTAATACTCCAATTAAACATTGGTACAAAATGTATTTTTTTAGTATGATTCACTTGTATGAGAAAGCAGGTAATGTTGCTAACATGTTAAAGTTAAAAAAATCAAGGTTATTAACATAATTATTCCAAGTAAAATTCAATCAAGAGGTAAGGATACCAAAATTATTTATTCATAATGTTCCTTACAATACAGACAACTTACGGACTAGGGAGATGGTGATGGTGAGTGCTTTTTAGCATTTGCTGCCAAAATAGCCCCAGGTGCAGGGTATGGTCTCATTTGATACAATGACCCTGATGCTGTAGTATCCACTCCAGTTTTAGCATGAGAGTCTAACCCAGAGGTCCAATTTCCCCTTGGTATATCAGAGTATGAAGCAGGATCCATTGGATCTAAATCATTATCTCTCACCCGTTGCCTCTTCTTATCCCTGTGATGAACCATGTCTCTCTTTTCTCGTCGTTCATGACGCTTTTCCTTGACATGTACATTTTGCTGAGGTACCTCTTGATCGGACACCTCACTACTGTCATCACTCTCATCACCTTCCTTCAGGACCCTTTCTTCTCGTAGATGAGCAGCGCTCTCAGTAGGAACTGCCTGTGGGTGAGCAGGGGGTAACCAACTTACAAGGTTGTTGTGAACATTCCAAAAGTAATGTTGGCCACTACCCTCATCATACACCTCTTCCCATCCAGGAGGAAGCGGCCACAGTTCCAGAGCTTTCCTTTTATTTTCTAAATATTTTTCATTTGGTACCAATTTCCCTTTTTTCCAAGTTTTTACACAAAATTTAGAACATTCGTGATAAATGTTGCTTTTGTTTGGACAACCGCGGTGGCCTTTAATAGGATCTACGTTCACGCCTTCTATACCTGCCCAGTAATGTTCTTTAGCATTGTGGTCATCAGGCTTATTATCATAGTCTTCAGCTATAATTTCTTCGCTGGCTTGAACTGCACCTGAATTATTGATTGCATCTGCAATTGGAGTTTTTATTATGCCTCTTTTGGCAAGACGAGCCGCTAAAGCAGGCGGCAACGGCATTTTATTGTAATTGTTAATTGTAATCAGTAAAAACCAGCACTAACAAAACTCCTTATTTGACGTGTGACATTGACAGTTTGTCATTGTCAATTAAATATGGTTGCCATTAAAAAAAGTTTCCATTACTTTATCTATGAACTTTGAAATATAGATTAAACAAATAGTTTCCAGCAAAAAGAACAATCGTTCTTAAACCATTACATTTGTTTCTATATTTGTAAATTAATTTAAAAAACATATAAATTTCTATAATGAAAAATCTATTTACATTGAAAACTTAGCATTTACTTATTTAAATTCTTTCCTGTTTTACTAGAATTAATGTAGGTAGAATTCTATCTACGACAAAAGGTAAAGTAAAAATAGTTTTAGTCCAAAATTATTACTCTAATAATATTTTAAATCAGCAATACACTTAGCACATTCTGATTTAAGCTGTATGAATTGTAACGTTCATGCTATTTTGTACCTAGAGGGGTCAATCAAGAGCCTTGTTCTATCACGATTATGCAACTACCATTCGCCACACGAAGCAATTTCGTCTCTCAATGCATCTGCTTTAGTACTAATTCGTCGGTTATATGTGCCATAATGAATCATATTCGGTTTAAAGAATATTTGTAAGTCCTACCATCGTGATTGTCAATACTAGCATGGTTCCACCACTGGATAAAATTGAGACATCAACATAATACTTAAATAACTGGCTATTCGCTATGTTAGTCTGTATAGATAATTTTGATGTTCGACATTGAGGGTCTAATTTAAAAGTAAACAACTATAATATAATGGTTATTTTTAATAACACAGAATAAAAATATAAAATTTGCAACTTATAAACGCTCAGCTATTTAAATAATAAATGTTTGTTAATTGTTCCAGACTAAAAAGTACACCAGGACGTTGTGAAAATCTGAAAATGAGAAATGTATGTTATCGTAATTAATTTTAATAAAATGCAGATTTGTAATATTTTCAAGCCATCTAAATTTACCATAACATATCTTATTTTTTTAAAATTTACGAGCGATATTACAACGCAAATGTCATTATTAAGTACTATACGTACGGATTCAAATTGAGCGTATTCCAAATTTTCTACAAAATATCGATACTACGTTGCAAGAAACTACAGGTGTTTTTAAATTACAAGTTTAAAATATTTTATTAAATAAAAACTACTAGTTTTAATTAAATAAAAGGTCTCTACATTTGCATTTATGCAGTTCATCTCATATACGTGACTCATGGTTTTGGTTTGGAATTTTCTTTGTACAAATAAAGTAACATTAAACATTGACTACTTAATTTTTCACATAAAAACAGTACTGTAAAATTTGTGCTCGTATTACTTGATATTTTCAAAGGAACTAAATTATTTACGTAGCATTAAGAAGCCTGAAAATTAAAGGGCAATACAAACTACCTAAATACTTAGCGCTCATGCGTTGGCCTCGGTAGAACGAAATGGTTTATCACCTGATAATAGTTGTCTTCACTCACCACTGACGACTGGCGTGTCATTGCGGGACACCTTCGTCGGTAGAACTACATCGTGGAACTCACCGGAATGTAGCAACTTTGGTTTGTCAGAATCATAAAGCTTTTCTTCAGTAGGTGTAAAAGGAGTTACCACATCTAATTCGTCAGAAGATATTTCTGTTCCAGTTGTATTTTCGGCATTGTTTTTTAAAACTTCATCTTGAGTAGTAGCAACATTTTTTTGAGAATCAACATTCTGCTCCGAGTCAAGCTTATGTTTAGTTTCTTCTTTTCCGTCTACTTCCTTAACTATTTCATGCTCTTCACTGTGTTTGACGTTATCGTTTAATATTTCCTCGGCTGAGTGTTTTTGTACTAAATCGTTTTTAAGTAAAGGATCTGCAGATTCCACTACAGCAACACTATTTACCGCCTCTATTTTATCGTTACTATTAAGGACATTCTCTATTTGATCCTGCTTGTCACTAACATGTTCACAATTAGTAGGCTTTTCGGAATTAATCTCTTCTGCTTTCTCATTTTCAACCACATTAACAATCACTTCTTTGACAGAGTCCTGTTCTTCACTTAATCTGCTATTGTTACTAGGTGGCGAAATCGATTGTATTGCGTCCTCCCGTTTCAATTGCTTTCTACGTTCGCTTTTATCATAGCCCAGTGGGTGCAAATTTGCAGAAGTAGGTGGACTACCATCCAAAGATAATTCCATTGAGGTTAATATACTTTCATCTCTACTTACAAATTGACCACCTTCGGGGACAATATGAATGTTTAAGACGGTTTTATTTTTAATAAGGTCAGGATCGGCTTCAGAAGACATCGGGGATGAGTCTTGAGACGCGCTCGAAGTGATTTTGTTACGATTCAATCGATTTCTGCAAAGAAAACCTCTAATATGGGCTTGAATAACAGTAGCAGCACTCGATATAGTAGATGAGTCATCTGTAGATAAGGATAAAGATTTTTCTTCGTTGACCGTTTGTAAAACAGTGTCCATCCTGCTTATACCCATAACCCGTCTATCTTTATTTTGATTATGAATCGTAAAATCACTTTCACCCTGAAATATTTATCGTAAGTTTAATATGTTATAACATTTTTAAACGTTTTATTTGAGTTTCAACTTTGGACTAAGGGATGATTGATGGATAAAAAACATACCTTTGTGTCGGGTTCACCTCCAAACATGTTAAACTCAACGTTTGTTGGTTCCTCAAAACTGGACGTTTTACTTCTAAAAAGAAAATTACGAAACACTTTTTGAATTGTTATAGCAGCTGTTTCCAAATCCATAGTCTTAGGACTTTTTGATATATTTGCTTCGGGCTCATTACTATTGTTTGACTCGATGTCGTCAGATTCTTTAATGGAGAGTTCAGTGTTATCCCGATTACTGGTTGCGTCATTTTTAATATCTTCCTTTTGCTGTTCGTTGTCAATATTTATTTTTATATCACTTTCTTTTTGGTCGTTACTTAATTTATTTATATCAAAGTCTTCTTTTGTTTCATCATTATTTACTTCAGTAATATCTGCATTACAGTTATTCATTTCATCAATTTTATGGTCGCTTACCAACGCCACTTTAATTATGTTATCTTCAGATTTATCCTCTAAAGATTTATTAAGGTCATTCGTTGCCTCAATGACCTGTTTCTCGTTTTCAGCAACATTGTCCCCAGTGTCTATAACAATAGTTTTAGTATCTTTTTCTTCCGTTTGGTTAAAGTTATTTATCTGACGGACATTTTCAACCGTTTCTGCTTGATTTTGTGATACATGCGCTGTATCTTCGACAGTTTTTGTATTCATAACGTCTTCCTTCTCTAATATGCCACTGTCAACTTCTGTTTCATAATTCGTTACTGCTGCGTTATTAGTATCATCTTTTTTTTCGTTATCCGTGCTGATGTCTATTATGTCTATGTACTTTACTTGTGAATTATTTTCATTAATATCATCATTATCGAGTTCATTATTTGACTCACTATCTGTCTGACCGTCACCGATAGTTGTATCAACATTCTCTTCGATGTTTTCACCACTATCATCACTAGTTTGTTTACTTGCATCCTGTGTATCGAGAACATTGTTATGTTCCGTTCCCTTTTTAGAAATATCCTGAGAGTCATCGTCACGTTTACGTTCTTTTTCTTCCTTCACATTAATTTCGGGTGTCCTTAATTCGCAAACTTCTTCATTAGGTATCTCATTAATATTGGTATTAACAAGATCAGGATTTACTTCATTCTCGACTTTGATATCTAATTTTTGAACTATTTTATTGCGATCTTCATTATCTTCGACATTAATGCATATTTCCTTTTCACTTTTATCGCAAACAATCATATCAGCTTGCGCAACGTTTACTTTATCGTCATCTATAGCGCTAATGTTATTCTCTTGATTTACGATATGCGCGGTGTCCAAAGCTTCTGTAATTGTTTCATAAACTGCATTGTTCATATTACCATTATCTTTTGTAGGCAAATTGGTTTTGATTTCAGTGTTATCCTCTTTAACTGCGCTTTCATCAGTAGTGTTATGTCCATTATCTTTGTTGTTTGTTCCAGTATTCAGATCACTATCCTCTTTTTCAATATTTTGCTCAGAAATATTTTGATTACTTTCGCGGGATTCCGAATCTTTAAATTGATTCAGATTATCAGCATTTATAACAATAGACGCGATCTCAATATCGTTAACAAACGATTGATCTATATTATCTTGGTCCACATTTAATCGCATAATATTATCATAGTTTCGACGTCTTTCCTCTGCTCTTCGTTTTATAATGTTATTTGCTTTACTTATCTTTTGTTCCAAAGTTAATTTCTTTTCAGGTGCTAAAATTAAAAATAAACGGATAGGACGGAATTAATAATAACGGAGACTAAAATACCATTATAGTCAATTTCTATAACCAGAATTTGAAAAAGAAAGAAAAAAAAGTTAAACTTACGTTTACCATCTCTCAGAACTAGCAAGTTCCTCATATGCTGTGCACAAAATTTATATACTTCACTCGGATTATTTTTTAACACCTCCCTTGAAAGACCTTCCATTAGTTCCACAAGGCCTGCTGGCATTTTGGGCACAGGCGTTGGTTCTATGTAAGATCTCATACCGTGTACTTTCATCTTCTACAATATCAAATTTCTAATAATGTACAAGGAGGAATTTTATTCAATGTTCATTTATTAAACACTTACCGTGCTTCGTACAGCTCGGGTGTAGACTGACCACTTTGAACGCTAGACAAAGTGTATGGTATCGACCAGTGTTTGCACTTTGTAGCCATGGCGATTCGTCAAACTTGAACTTGATTGAATATCAACGGTGGAATATATCGACCCGACAGGTTCAACGTACCAAGTCGGCGACACGCGATGCGGCCGCCTTTACTTCGTACATACAAAGCAAATCAAGAAAGAAGGCCATTTGAACACTAATAAGTCAAATCATGTTACTCATAGACATGCGTTTCTTTTTTTTATTGTTTTATACAGATTCATGTTACAAGTGTTATCAAAATTTCAGCTGAATCCCTTCTCTCAAAGTACAGACACGTTACAACATATTAGTAATACAAATTAAAAGAAGGTTAACATCCTTTTAGTAAAATAAAATATATAATCGTAAATATTAGTACTACCTAAGCGTGGAAGATTTCGATGGCGATCGGCTGTTGGCCGCGAGAGGAAATGAAAAACTAAATGAATGTTAAAGTTGTCGTGTATTTCGAATGCGCAGCTAGAATATGCCAGGGACAGCGCGGAACAGCGCGGAACAGCGCGGGACAGCGCGGGACGGGGCGAGCGAGGCCGTCGCGGGGCGCCTACTCTTACACACAAACAATTAATGTGAATCAACTTTTTTATTTCCATACTGTGTTCTATAATAGTAATTTATTTATAAGATCATATATTTAATTTTTGCAAGTTAATACATTATACATAACAAACATCTCCATAGTGTACATACATACATCGCGGCGGCGCTGACGGCGGCGCTCGGCGACGCTCCGCCGGTGATCATAGAAAATTAATGGCTACAGTAATATCATACAAATTAATGACTATTCCCTTACAAATTATTATAACTACCTTTAGCATTGTTCTACTCCAATGTGATCGTATGAACGTTTTACCACCGAGCCGCGAGAGCCGCGTGAGTCCTATGTCCTTGCTCATCGGGTCGAGTCACCAGTTCGCTCCGACCGCGCCCGCACACTGTCGCACCCGTGTATCAAAATCATCGGCCGCTATTAATTTATAATAAATAAATGCCTATTTACACTATGTAACTATACAGAATGATGATAGTACAACCAAATTACATTTTTTTTTATTTCAGCATCTAATTTTTAAATGAAGATTTCATATAGAACAATCTACACGCGGGCCCCGAAACGGATCCCTACCACATCCGGGACCTCGCACTAACATATTATATCTTGTAATTTACCTATTTGTTTTTTTTTTGTACAAAAATTCAGACGAAAGCTGGGTGCCCGATTATTACAAATATCGGTGTTTCAGCATGCAATACAAACGACCATATGTTAATAATAATTACATACAACTATTTCAACTTATTCAAACAATTTTAACAATGTTGGAAAATATCTAAAATAATATGCTCACGTACCAACGATGTACGAATACTGACGCATAATCACAACGAATGTGACATCTTGCAAACTTATGAATTAGTATAATTTTCAATCAAAATAAGAGAAAACAAAAATATAACTTACAGAATGTATGTGATAATTTTTATTTATAAATTTAAATAGAATCTGATAGAGGCTTAAAATAATTTGAAAACAAAAATTATAGTAGCAAGACGAAACTTACGTCACGTATTCGTCACATCAGTGGTACGCAGGCCTACCTAATATTTAGTAAAGTGATGACAGTGCATTCGGGGCGGAGACTTGCGAGTCGCATTGCGGAGGTTAGAGGGTGCTCGCGAGCGAACCGACGGACAACAGATCAGGGTTGCCACCCTTCAGCAACCTAAATGTTCCCCTCGTGAGGTGGACATGTCGGAAAAGGCGACACAAAATGCAAGTCTATCATTAATTTTCCTAACGATTTTTAATCCTAAATTATTAATAGCGAGAAAATTTTACATCGATCTGTATGCCTGCTCCATCCTACCGTACCACATAAATATCTAGTATAAAGAAGGGTATAAAATTAAAAATATAGCATCATCTTTAATATATTTCTCTCAATACTATAAAGTTTAGAATAAATATTACGGGCCACGTTACTCAGTGTACCGACGCCGGCAATTCACCGGCATCGAATCAATTTATTGCTCTCTTACAGATTTAGGATGACCGTCGATGTTAAAACGTGAAGCATCGAGGTCGCGGCAACATCGTGGGAACGTCGTCGGGGACCGCATCGGATCTATCGACGCCACTAACCAAAGCAACAATAACTATAATAAAACAGATTATTCGAATACCATTTTTTTAGGGTTTAGTGGTTTTATTAAAATCTAGCAATATGTACAAGAACACTGATGTCGACCAACATTAATAGTTTGCATTCGACGTGCGTCGACTTCGATCATCCCTATTATAAATTCCCATCAAAAAAAATTCCAACTAGTATGTATAGAATCTTTTTATACTTCATATGCACAAAAATGCAAATACATTGTCGGGTGGCAACCCAATACCCGAATACGTACGAACGAATCATCGAATGGTGTAAAAAAATTAATCACGTCGTTAACAAAAATTGTAATTGAATAGACAATACGAATGGATCGTGTAACCGTAAAGTGTTGGGGGCATTATCGTAGGCGTGCGGGCGCGCGGCGGGCGGCGCGGGGCGGCGCGGGGCGGGCGGGGCGCGCCGCGGCATCACTTGCCCACCGCGCCCCCCGCTCCCACCGCACCCCCCACACCCACCGCACCCACCGCACCCCCCGCCTGCCGCTTGCTGCTGATCTCCAGCTCGCCCAGCTTCTTCCACAGCTCGTCGCGCTCCTTCTCGCGCTTCTTCTCTCTACAACAACCAAACAAACCTCATTACACAACATTACAAAATAATTGTCAGGCACGATTTTAATTAAATGTGTCCAACATTAGAATTTAGAAAAACCAAGACTTAATTAAAAAAAGCAATACTTTGCTACACAAAATCCGTACAATCACTAATACGAGTTATTTAATTGGTTAATTACATCACATAAAATAATTTAACATTCTATTATATTGCTAATAAAAACCAATCCTAGTATATTCCGTATACTGTTTAAAAATTTAATCTGAAACAACATTTTTACCAACACCTATAACTAATAAAAAAGACAAACTTACTTTTGTCGTTCAGCTTTGTAGCTAGCCGTGAGCTCGTCAAACAGCTTGGAGTTCATCTCCATAAAGGTCTTGAGCACGTTGTAGACGAGCGCCACAATCGTTTGGTTCCAGTGCTCCTTGCTGATGCGATACAGCGCCGGGAACATGATCGGCATTATCACCTGGTTGTTCTCCTCCATCAGCGACAGAATGTATTCGTTGTTCCAGAAGTACAGAGCCCGCTCTGCCACCTGAAAATCATACACATCTCATTTATATTGCTTAATACTTTGTTCGCTTTCCATGCAACAATGTCTCATAAAATATCACCAACAGATTACATACTTAATAAAGTAAGGTTTAAAGACCATTAAATATTCCCCAGTTATTCTTAAATGTTATTAAAATATTATAAATAAAAAAATAATGAAATTACCTGAAAATGTGGACTGGACACACATTTTGCAATTTGTCTAAATAATGGCTCTTGTATTTTGGCAAACTGAGCTGGCTCAATCACATCCAATACCTCTTCTATCTCGCCCAAGAACATAACCTGTAAATAAATAAAAATCAAAGAAAACTTTAAGAATGATTAAAAGACTACTATAGTTCTAGCGGTCACCCGCGACTCCGTCTGCACGGAATTGAAGAAAAAATTATTAGTGGTCTGTGGGTTCTTCCAGTCTATGTTCTATATGTATGCCAATTTTCTGAGATCTGTTAAGCCATTCTAGAGACACCTTCAATCAAGCAAACATCCATCCATCCAAATATTTATAATATTAGTAAGATATACTATTAGATTCCACTGATTGCACATTTAGCCACAGACATGTACGGTATCTAGTCTTTTCAGATAAGATGTATGAAAACTGCAACAACACAGCTATTAGTATAACCAAAGCATACCTCTTTTTGGGAGCAGGTCTTGGGCCAGAATTTGAGCAGTCCGCGCACTACAGGCTCAGTGAGTGTAGCATCCTTCTCGAGGAACTGCACCACGCAGTAGGCCAGCTGCGCGTGATACAGCGACAGGCACTTCACCTTGTGCAGAGGCAGCAGCACCTTCACCAGGAACTGCTTGTGTTCGCTCTTCAGTGGCAGAGCGAACCCATTGATTATGCTGGAACAACAAAATTGGATGACTGCAGACCCATCAAGTCTACTTCGTCGTATATTTAACTACTTATATCTACACTTTATTGGAAAACTCGCTGTCGCCCGCGGCTCCGTCCGCGCGGAACTAAGAAAAACTTTTAGTAGCCTATGCTTTCTAGTAGATTTCCTCGAGGTCCGTTTTTGAGATATCTTCTAACAAACATTGAATGGATGTTTATGCCCATCCATCCATTCGCATTTATAATATTAGTAAGATAGCATAATTTTAGAACTTTTTCTCCAAATCAACTCACTCAACTAATCTTAGTAAAGGATTTTAGATAAATCCGATACCGATAGCTAGATGGTTATTTTCATGAAAGTTGACACATTGGATTCTTAATAGTAATAAAACAATGGTAACAATGGCAGTTACTATTAACCTCTAACAAAGCTATATGACGCATAACAATAACAAATTACACTCATCAATTATATTTTTTTCACTAAAACCGAAGTCTGTTCAGAATAGAGACGCGGACATTCAATCTTCGGTATTACAAAAACAGTACATATACATTTATGTAACAAATCTTGAGAAATAAAATAATACGTAATTAGCACCCTATTCATTTACGTTAAATCCTCAGAATAAAAAACATTGGTAATGTCATTCAAAGTATAGCACTAAATAAAAGTAATAATTATTTTAAAATGTAAAATACTAACCTTCCCAATATTTCTAAGAGCTCTCCGACACCGTTGAAATGTTCAGTTTCATATACAAATCGTAGGAAAATATTATTGATTTGTTTCCGTATGAAGGCTCGCAGTCCCAAGAACTTGCCGTAAATGCGATGGAGGACAGTTTTCAGAAAGTCGCGTTCACGAGGATCCTCCGAGTCGAATAAGTCTAAAAGCTATAAAAACAAAAAAAAACAATAAGAAATACATAGAAATAAAACAAAAAAACGTATGAAAAATGGAGAAGTATTTATAGGTATTACTGGCAGTCGCCCGCGGCTCCGTCCGCACGGAAAAAAATAACTTAATTATTAACCTATGTATTCTTCCAGACTGTTCTATATGTATGTCACTTTTCATCGAGATCCATTTAGTAGTTTCGGAGATACCTTCAAACAAATAAACATCCATCCATCCAAACATTCGCATTTATAATATTATTATAACTAAGATTTTAGAAAAAAATATTTTCATAGAAATGGTTTTATATTTTTATTTAAACTATAAATTCCAATAGACAAAGATAAAACGGTTATCTATTTAAATAAGTTTATTAGGCCTCAGACATAACGGGGGGTAAACAGCTATCGTCGTACTAGTATTATCTTATCAAATTATTATACTATTTATCTTCCTATAAAAATGCGAAAAATGTTTTATTGCCGTGAAACAATAAAATCGATTGTTTAAGCTAAACATCTCAGTAAACAGTAATTTTAAGTAATCTCAATAAACATTTTCAGTGTATTTTTTGTACCACCATAATTGATTAGAAATTGAAAGATAAAATTAGAAAAAAAAACTGTTGAATACTTTGTAACTTTGTTAACAAAGACAGTTCAATGGTTAAAAAATTATGCCAGTAAGACACACAGATATAGCAACAAATTCAGCTGTGAATACTCAAAGTATAATTGAAATCAATTGAATGACAATATCCAAAGAATTGTTCGTGTCTATATAATAGTGAATGTATTGACATAATGCATCACATTATGCCATAACCACTCTTTTCTACTTCAGTAATAAGACGCAATATCCGTTGCGCTTAACAAAAAAAACACTATAACCGACAAAAAGTCTGCAGTAAACTCATTGATAGATGACACTTTATTAAAGTTGTAATTATAGACGTATTGAAAAAAAACGAAATTTCACACTGCAAATATGGTAACAAAAGTTCCAATGTAATGTGGGAATAAGCAATTTTTGTGTGGAGTGATTTTAAACATATCTTGGAAACATGTGTAGGTTTAAATTATTTCTACTATAAGTTTTAACTAAGGAAAATGCTGTGATTTGGGCCATTGTTATTTCTGTGAGCAATGTATGTATTAGTCCCATTATTTAGATTCGTGGGTAGATTTGCTTAGTAGAATAATTATATAAATATGGGATGACAATTTCTGGAAATATAAATAAAGTACGCTGTGTCATTACCTGCAAAACAAATTTCTGGTCAATAACCTTCTTGCCGATGGTGGGCTGGAAGTCGGTCGACTCGAGGAAGCGTAGGAAGAACTCATAGACGAGCTGGAGATGCGGCCACGACGCCTCCAAGGTCGGGTCGTCCTCTTCAGGGTCGAAGTCGGGATTTTCACTCGGCGGCAGAGTGCGGAACAGATTGGCCGATATCTACGACAAACATTACACATTAAAATTGAGGAGATCGGTTCGTTTATCGAATCATGACTTCGTGAAACATATCTTTTAAAATATACCTTTTTTTTATTTCAAAGACATATATCGTATAGTGACATTTTTAAATAGGTACGTATTAGCTATTTTTAATTTTCGCTTTATTTTGCAAATACTGTGATTTGGCAGTCATTTCACTAATAATGCCACAATCTGAAGCAGGAAAATGTCAAAACGCTAATTCAATAACACAAGCTTTATCCAGTATTTAAATGTATAGGATTCGAATTACATTGTCTTATATCCAATTAGATATTTGTACGCATTTAGAATTAAGATCAGTGTATGGATTTTTGACCGGGGTTTCATTTTTTTACACTAACACAAATGTTTTACGTGTTACATAAGAAAATTATAGTGTACAGTCGAACATAAACAAGCAAGAGTCTAAAAGGACAGCGATATTTTTCTTCGATATCGTCCGTATGTGCCGGACAATGACTCTCGCTTATAGATGTTCCTCGTTTATCCTGGTCCGACTCTACTATTAATTTCATAAACCTACTAGCTGTCGCCCGCGACTCCGTCCACGCGGGATTAAAAACAGATGTTGGCCGATACTCAAATCTACTCAATATGCTCACATAATTTCATGAGAATCGGTCAAGCCGTTTCGGAGGAGTATGGGAATGAAAATTGTGACACGAGAATTTTATATATAAGATAAAGTATGTAACAATACATACATCCGTTAAATAGAAAACATAATAATTATTTCGAAAAATTTGGAGTGTATCGATTTTACGCTAGTTGCCTTCGTAAGTTAGGAATAACGCTTACACCAGCATAAAGAATGGTGTAAAATCTTCATATGTTAACAATTAGGCAATCGTAAGGACGTTTCAAGGTCACGACTCCATTTTATTGATTTTTGAATGCTATAACACATACTTATATCAGTCGTCATATCGTAATTTCTATGTAATTCTCTGGATCAGTGGCAAGCTAAGCTATGAAATCATATGTGAATGCGATGTTATTTGATATAAGCTGCATTGCATTGTAGTTAAAATATCATATCCACGAGAAAACGGAAACAATGGCCCCATGTAAGAAATAAGTGTTTAAAGATAAGTGGGGTGAAGTCAACTTAAAATATATCGAAAAGCTAATTCTATACCTATCTATAATTTCAAAAAATGTTCCACTCCTAAGTCAAAAAATACTGGATTTCGTTTTTTTATTGTCTTAACCCCTTTTACACTTAGAGAGGATATTTAGATATTCAAACCCCTAACCCCTTATGAAAATGGTTACACATTTTTGAATGGAAAGTCGTAAGCGTTTTTTTTTAAAGTGGACGTCAAAAAATGAGGGGAACAGCTATTCTATTGGTATAGAAATTTCTAATAAGATCACATAAAAGGTGAATAGAGACAAACATTTCAAGATGTGACTTAAAAACAATTGCAGTAAATATTCTACTTATTTATTTTTAATCAGTCATAATAAAAAATATGTGCGATGATTTAGATATTTTCATAGGCATATCTATTGACTCAATTTTACTGTAGTCAAATTTGTTTTAATATTACAAATTACAGATACGAAAAACTAATAATTAACTCTATCATTCATATGTATGGGGATTTCATCATGACAAAACTATTTTGCTCATGTTATAAAAAATTTAAATGTGTTTGTTGGAACTTAAAAATTTATGTCATAACTTGGATGTTACATATATTAAGGCTAAGAAAATAACCATAATAAAAATGCTACTTTCTAATAATATTTTTTTAGTATTATATAGTCATATTAATTTTTTGATCTTGAAATAAAACTTGAAATATAAATTCAAACAGTAATAAAAGAATTGAAAAAGTTCTTTCACCAATCTAGATGTCCTATGAAATAGTAAACTTGTAATAAATTAATTATTCCCCATCTACCTAAGAGATTTTGGTAGATCATAAGTCAAAACTAATTATGGCTCTATAAAGGAAATCTTTTTAAGAAAAATAATTTACACTGACTAAATACATGAAAAACTAACATATCATCAAAATTTACTGAAATAAATGCCAATGCCACACCAAAGTATATTATCATCCTAATCATTGTTTTTAAGATATTATTATATATATGGTTTTGATAGAGAAAAATTGCAGTTATGGTAGGGCCAATTTGATAGGTATCATATGACATCTTTCAGTTTTTGCTTTATTAACCCATTTAAAGCATTGAATAAAAATATAAATTGAATTCAGTTATAATAAAATTTGATGTGTTTTGCTTATTCTTTTGACATCCCCAGTGTTTAAAAAGAAAGAGTTAATTTAGGCAAAATTTTAACAACATTCAAAGCTTTATGATTTATATAGTTTTATGGTATAAAAAAAACTATTTTCCCTGACCTGTTAAAATGTCCCTATGATAGTTTTGTATTGCTCATTTTATTTTGACATGCCACATAAATAAATATGAAATAAGAAAATTTTCCAATTATTATACATAGAAAATTTAAAATAAATACTCAATAGAACAATGTTTTAAATAAAAAGACAACATTCAATCAAAAAGCCTGAAAAGGAGTTGATACATGACTAGAGCAACTTTACATAAATGGACTTTATACATAATGTATGTGGTAAATAGCAATGGATTGGTAAGTGGTAACCAAGTTGCACAAATATCACCATAACACTTTGCAACAATTATATACCACTATTTTATAAATTGTGCTATATGATAAAAAAACCTATTAGGTAAATAGGTAAAGTACATACACATCACAATAAAAAATGGTTTTCCACATGTTTAAATTTTCTAGTTAATGAAATTATTTTTAAGTTAAGTTTTTGTTTTACTTAAATTGGGTAGGTGTTACCTTACTTAAAAGAAGATACAAAGTTATTATTCACTTAAATGCACTTTAAACTACTTTCAAAACCTTTGGATTTTATTAATCAACTTAAAAATACTAGACAAATGCAACAAGTCCCCCTGCATCCATGCAAAATGTAACATTTGCTTAGAGAGCTAAATTGGTGAAGTCTCATTCAAAACCAATAAAAGTTCCTCAGAGTAGCTAAGTAGACCTTTGCTCTTTGGTTTTCTTTTTTTTTAGTACTCACAACCAATAAATGAGTGGCAGAAAATGTAACAGCAAAAATAATTTGAACATTACCATTTTAATAATCTCCGGATACACAGGCTCGGTAAGCACTCCACGGCCACCAGTGATGTACTCTACAAGCTCATTGAGTGTGGCACGTTTTATCTCCTTGCCCTTGAGATCAGCAACAGGATCCATGAAGTCAAATGCCACACAGCATTGCCGCAGTTTACGAATAAACAGTTCTTCTTGCTCACTATTTGGAACATCTGAAATTATTTTCCAATGCCATTACTAATTATATTCGCTAAAAAAACAATTTAAGACCACAATTTAGTCATTTAATTGAAATATCATTATTCATAGAAACCATCAATAAATCAAACTTTTCTTGCTATAAGTTAAAAAATGCAAACTTCCTAAGAACTCAATCTAATTATTTGTTAATGTAAATAATCATTTGTTTACTTAATAAGCATCATAAAGTCAAAAAATTGTACAAAACATAACAATTTTTTTTTGTAAGAACACATGATTTAATAACATATAAAGATATTTTCCTCTTCCTTTACTCAATATCAACAAACATTGTGACTACATATGTGCATGGATGCAACTGTGTTTACACAAACATCTAATTATTAAAGCTAACTAACATTACATATATCTACTATCTATAAACACATTTAACTAAATAACCTTAAACAACTTGACTAAATAACACAATAAGTTCTTTATAACCTGTTAATCCAATTGAGAGTTGAATCTTACGAAAATCTAATTGGTATTGTAATGAGATAATTCTTCTAATTGTCTTAGATGATCTTTGATAATGGTAGCGTTTATAAACAATGTAGATAAAAATGATAGGAGGGCAAGTGGCAGAGATAAAGTGTATTACGCACCTTTAAGAAGCGGTAGCGCCTGAAGTTCCACGTCTTGCGTGTTGCGGTAGCGAGAGGATCCTTGCGATTTCTTGGTTTTTTTCTTTAACGAACGCTTGGCGAACGGATCAATTCTATCCACAAACGTTCCCGAAGACATTTTGCTTATATAAAAGTGTCCCAAATGACAATATCGAGTGCGATCAATGCGATGCTTGTTTTGATTCGGATAGTGTCATGATCCGGTCCAATTGACGAGACGAACGCGCACTCCTAGTACAGTCGCAACAAAATACTACAGCCTAAACAAACATTCCTTCGTCACACATGACGGCAATAGAGTGCTCACACTCAGGCCATTCTTTATACACTTCAAGATTCCACAACAGTTACGTAATTTTAAAACGTCTTTATCACCAAAATGACACAATAATAAAAAAGAACAATTCCATTCACAAAATCAGTTTTATTTTCTGAGGCGTGTCACGAATACCAGTAGGCAGAAGTAACATATACATACAAGCCTCGTGTAATATCAGCCGGTCAGTCGATGACAATTTAATTTCTCGACAATATTCTTCAAAATAGTTGATTTTTCAATTTTGTAATACACAAAAGTCGAAACAAAACTGTTATTGTCTTTCTCAGACGTTATTGAAAACTAAATCGACAATGACACAGGGCAAATTTTCAACACCAAAAATCTATCACCGTATTCTCGCCATCGCTCACCATCCGTTTCGACACACACAGTGAAACTAGATGCATTTTTCCGCTACACACGAGATTATTTTGATATATTGCACTTTTACATGAATAAATATATACTTCTGCGACTTTTTCCGCTTTGTCTAACGATTAATTTACAATTGCAACCTAGCTAAAAGACTATCATCACTGGTTTTGCAGTGAAAACGCCAGCACTCAAAAGTACCTATTTCTGAAAATAGATGGAGATATAAAAATGTTCCAATAACCAATACAAGTACTTTTTTAATTTTATTGTAGTAATAAGCTATAAATTAAAAGTTTAAAACACTAAAATATATTTAAAATTTTATTAAGGTGTTTTCTTTTACCAAAGCACATGAGATTTTAAGAAATCTAATAATAAATTATTGTGAGACGGATGATCATTTTAATTGGAATGCAAAGTAGCGTTCAAGAAGGATTTCTCGATACAGATAAGCACAGTTAACATTACTTGATGAAATAGCATAAAAATCATATATTGTTAAACAAGCATTTAAATCTAAAGATTTTTTTTATTTTCTTCTTTTAAAATTAATACGTATTTTACACAAAAAATTTATAAACTGAATTTTAAAGTTTGTTAGAATAATACTTTTTCAACTAAAACAAACATATTTTCTTCGAAAGTTTAATTGAATATTACGTTTGTAACATCATTTTCATTACTAATTATGATATCGTTACCTAATTTTAAATTAGATTGATAATTGATTTTTTATGTTACGATTCTCCATGACTTAATAATTATCGTTATTTTTAGTTATGAATTTTGTATCTGTGGCTCCCGAGTACCTACGTTGAGAAAGTTGCTTTCTAAATTTCTTAGAACTTTGACTGTCTACAAAATATAAATTTTAGTGATTTGATATTAGCAAATTAAAATTAGTAACATAGTTTTGTGTCTTGTGCTGTGATATACATTAAATAAGAGTACTGAGTGGAAGACTAATTAGAAAGCAACATGGAAGCGCTGACAGTTCCGCCATGAATGCAAAATAAATAGAAATTGTGAAGGTTCCTAAGTTAATTCTTTGCTTTATGTTTACTTGCATGCCGTAAGCACTTAGTGATTACATATAGAAAAACCAATATTACAACTGCTTCGAATAATGCTGTTGTATGTAGATACTAAGAAATCATTTGTACTATGCGACGACACTGTGTAGGAAGTAACTGCAAAAATTTGGACCCCCTAGTTTCATTACTTCTCCTACTTAAAACGACCCTACATATAACAAACTCGACACATATTAGTTTCTTCTATAGAGAATTCTGATGATTATTTTTTGTAAAAGTATAAAAAATATTTTGTAAACCTTTATTTTTATAGTCATATATTGTTAGCATGTTTTAATTGTTACGTGAAATTTTATCGTTAATAGAAATAATAACCAGTTTCTAGTATTTTATGACTCAAATGTATAATAGAGAAGCTTTGTTCAATGATAAATAATAGACTCATTCAATATGAACATGATGTTTTAAATTAAAGATTTATTTTGTAATTGTACTCATTTAGTTTGTAAACAGTCCTCTACTAAAAAATATCTAAGGACTTACTCTATTAGCTCCTCAACCAAAAGGCATAAAACAAATTAGAAAATAAACTCAGGATTGGATTTAAGTGTTGTTTTACATACATTACATCTATAAAGCTATTTGTTTCCCTTATATCCCTAGATCTATTCATCATCATATCAAACTTTACCAATATACTGCTTGATGTAGGTCTCTTTGATTTCACACTATTCTTTATGACCCTGTGTGGCTCTTATCCATAGGTTGCCTTGCACCTGCACAATGGCATCAACCCATCTGATTGGTGGTCTGCTGTCTGATCTAAACCAATTTATTTGGACTCAATAATTAAAGGGATTTTAAATCTGTTAGGTTTCATGTGTAACAGTTGCTGTTGGTGTAATACCTTATTATTTATGTTAAGCATTAAGTTTTTGTTCCAGGTGCTGGGCATAGGTCAGGATAGGCTAGAAGCTTCACAATGTTGAGAGGTGGGCGTGGCGGCCGTCACAGTCCGGAGCTGTATCCCCACACACTAAAGTGCTCCAACGCGAGCGACACCAGCTCAGCCTATAGTGGTAGTGACACCATGACTTCGGTACACAGTTCTTTAGACATGGACATGGAGGTAGACTTATCGGGTCTCCTTGAATCCATAGTGGATTCAGATGAGGAAGAAGATTTGGAAGAAAGTATGGATAGTCTTACAGTACGAGATGCTGTAAGGGACTGTCTTGAAAAAGACCCAAGTGACAGAACGGATGAAGACATTGAAATTCTGTTAGAATTCACACAGCATTTGAAAGCCTTCACTAATATGACACTCACAGTTCGTAAAGCACTTTGTGCAGTGATGGTGTTTGCAGTAGTAGAAAAAGCTGGAACAGTTGTAATGAATGATGGAGAAGAACATGATTCTTGGTCAGTGCTCATCAATGGCCATGTAGGTATAGAACATCAAAATGGAGAAATAGAGTATCTTAATGTCGGAGACAGCTTTGGAATGGCGGAAGCTACACTTGAAAAACTATATCACAGGGGAGTTATGACGACGAGATGCGATGATTGTCAATTTGTTTGTATTACACAAACTGATTACTATCGTATTTTGCATCAAGGTGAGGAGAATATACGAAGGCATGAAAATGAGAATGGCGTCGTAGTTTTAGTTACGGAATACAGAGGTGTTGCTGGCGACTCAGCACATCAACAAGGACACGTAGTCATTAGAGGGACGCCTGAACAATTGATGCTTCAGTTGATTGAAGATAACGCACGAGATTCAACGTATGTTGAAGATTTTCTTCTGACACATCGAACCTTTATAGAAAGTCCCCTTGTGGTTGCTAAACAATTGCTTGCCTGGTTCTCCGAACCTTCCGATCGTGATAAAGTCACTAGAGTGGTTTTACTTTGGGTAAATAATCATTTCACAGATTTTGAAACTGATCCAAATATGATGGAATTTCTCGAAAACTTCGAAACAGCGTTAGAACGCGAAAAGATGGAGAGTCAATTGAGGTTACTTAATATTGCTTGTTCTGCGAAAGCGCGAACCCGAAGTGTAACTCTATCGAGGTCTTCAAGAGATGAGCCTTTGAATTTCACAGTACTCGGTGGTTATGAACGAGGGTATGGTATATTTATATTGAAAGTTGAAAGACACTCAAAGGCTGAAGATGTAGGTTTAAAGAGAGGAGATCAGGTTCTTGAAGTAAATGGTCAGTCATTCCAACACGTAAGTCATGCTAAAGCCATGGAAATTATTACGGGTTCTACACACTTAAGCATCACAGTTAAAAGTAACTTGTTAGCTTTTAAGCAAATGCTACTAATGCCCGAGAATTCGCCCCGACAAAGAGGTTGTGCATTACGCTGGCAAACAGACCCTAGAGCTCGATTGTCTACAGCTGAGTTATTGAGCGATGACCCGATAACTCTCAATTCCGTTTTTCAATCGCCAACTAAGAAACCACAACCGATGAGCGTCAAAAAAGAACCACAAAAAGGTTTTATGACTCTCGGTCCAAAAAGGAGACTTCAAAAAGCTCTAATGAAAATGAACATTTTGCCTAAAAATACTATCAGTGACGGAATCCACACAGACGATAGTATCCTCTCCAATTCTGAATCATTAAATAAAGCCAACTCGAGCACCTCTTTCTATAGTTCGCACAGCAACCCAGATTTAATATCAATATGTTATGATGAATATCAATCGTCGGATTATCCCGAACACGTACTCAAGGTATATAAAGCAGATCAAACTTGCAAATATCTCTTAGTCCACAAGGAAACTACAGCTAGAGAAGTAGTGATGTTGACACTACAAGAGTTTGGTATAACAGATCCCAGTTCTAACTTTTCCTTATGTGAGGTATCAGTGGCACAGGGTGGCATCATTAAACAACACCGTCTTCCAGACCAATTGCAGAACCTCGCCGAAAGAATCGGGCTTAGCTCTAGATATTATTTAAAAACTAATGGCATAAGTGAGACTCTAGTACCTGATGAAATGGCGCCAGAACTTCTGCGAGAAAGTGTGGTTCATTTCTTGCAATTGAATGCAGTCGAAGTAGCCGTTCAATTAACTTTACAGGATTTCTGTATATTTAGACAAATCGAAAGTACTGAGTATGTTGACGACTTGTTTGAGTTAAAAAGCAGATATGGGACACCTATGCTATCGCAATTTGCTGGTCTCGTTAACAAGGAAATGTTCTGGGTGGTTACGGAAGTCGTCAATGAACAAAATCTCGTTAGACGATCCAAAATTGTAAAACAATTCATTAAGGTGGCTCGTCATTGTAAAGAATGCAAAAACTTTAATTCCATGTTTGCAATAATTTCCGGTTTGGGACACGGAGCTGTGTCTAGATTAAGATTGACATGGGAAAAATTGCCTACGAAATACATTAAGCTATTCTCTGATTTACAAATGCTGATGGATCCCTCAAGGAATATGTCGAAATACAGACAGTTAGTAACGACAGAACAAGGACGTTCGCCGGTAATTCCATTCTACCCGGTCGTTAGAAAAGATCTCACATTCATTCACCTCGGCAACGATACTAAAGTTGAGGGAATGGTCAATTTCGAAAAGCTCAGAATGATCGCTAAGGAGGTGAGAACTCTTACAAATATGTGTAGCTCCCCATATGATCTTTTAACATTACTCGAGCTAGGAAAACAACCGCCTTCTAACGCTATGGTCGCCCTAAATCAGTTGACCACGGGGGTGCAACAAGGTCAAGTCACAGTTAAAAGAAGAAAAAAATCCTCAAATGTTCCAAATCCCAAAAAAATGTTTGAAGAAGCTCAAATGGTAAGACGCGTAAAGGCATACTTAAATCGTATGCACGTGGAAACAGACGAAGAGCGCCTTCATGCGCTGTCTTTAGAATGTGAGGGCTCCGGGCCGGCCCCCGCCATGCCCCGCCGACGACATCCGTCACCTTCATTGTCGACAACTAGCAGCGCGTCGTCAGCCAGCGAGAGCAAGAAAAGTTTTGCGGGCAACAAGTTCGGCGCTGCGTCTCCGCAGGCGGTTCGGAAGTTGCTTGCCCTATCAGAGCCCGCTAAAACCAGACCGCATCAGCCTAGACCGCCTCCGCTCGGACCATCGCCATGTTCGCATCGCAGGGACGGCACGGGGCCGGGTATATGCTGCGCCCGGGCGGCACAT